TAATGTAGCAGAAAAATTAATGCAATATATGTATAAGCAGAATTAAACAAGATAACTGTTAATGTTGCTGAAGCTGATTCTACAATTTTAATTACGGAGGCTAAAAGGCCGTAGTTTTGATGGAATGTTAAAAAAAACCTATTATGAACATGACATGGAGCTACAGCATTGAAAAATTTAAAAAAAAAAGAAAAAACTTGGACACGTCCCTTTTAATTTCCCGAATTTTTAATAAAGCACTTTTTAAACGTAGCATAATAATCTAGATAGGAATCTAGAGTTTTATTTCTATACATATAATTTTATTGACTATGAAAATACATAATAAGCGTTCATGTGTTGTGCGAAATATTAAAATAATAATATAAATAATATACCGCGTACTATGATTCAAAAAAAAATAGCGTCAGCGATGACTATGAAATGAAGATCGCTGTCATTTTATATGGGAAATGTCCTCGTTATTTCCCAGCCAACTGGATGCCGTTTTTTCGATCATAGGGTATATATTGACAAAAAAACACTGAAAAGCGCATATTTGTTATCTACTGAAAATAATTTCAAAATAACTCGCAATCTGGCAACATCGAAGATGTGCGCATGCGTAGTGTCTGTGACTATATGCCGCAAAAACTCGTTCCAAGGTCAACCACCGGATCCACACCATTACCTATTTGTCAGTGAAAAGTGTTTTATTTTTTTTCAAAATAATAGATAGAAGTTGGAGTACTGCCTTTTTTAATATAAAAAAACTGCTTTGAGTTGCCTAAATTGAAGAGACCCCAAATATTTATCAAGATACAGTTAAGTTAAATACTTGTTTAGAAATATATAGCTCAAAACTTTACCAGGTGTCCCATTTTCGTGTGTTTTATGGTGATTTGCGTTTATATGTAGTAATACAAAGATGCGGTTAAGAAACCACAACAGAAAGCAAAAAAATATATGGTTAAATTAAATTAATAATAATACTCTTTTAAAACAGGTTTATTGATGATAAAACGTTAACTAATGCATTTCTTACCTACCATATTTAAGAAAATAAGAATAGAGCGTAGTATATTTTTAGAAAGCTCATAATAAGACAAATAAAAAAATATATACATAGATGTCCCATTTAAAAAAATAAATATTTGAGTCGTATTACATATTTCGAAAATGAGAGCTCTCACAGAAAAAATAGTTATGATTATGAGATACACAAGATGCAACATTTTCAAATCCCACCAGTATTTCCAAAACCAAGACAAATCTGTGTGTAGCATCTTTAGTTTGACAAAATAGTAGTACCTACAGTGATGTGAAAACCGCATTTTTATATCTCTACTCATAAAGGGGAAAGTCCATAAAACACAAAAATGGGACACCACATACCTGTACGTCTTCTTGTACTTGAGAATCTTCTTCACTGTTATCAATAACATGAACATCAGTTTCACAGAACAAAAATTCAGGAGGTTTCTTCTTCTTGTTCTTGTTGCTACGTTCAACATTTTCAAAAATCGCCGGTACAGCATTTTTCGTAAGTTTAACGCGTCTCCTATTTACGGTTAAAATTGTGCCATCATCTCTTTTCATCGAATCTTTCATCACTATATCACAAATCGCGAAATGCTTCTCGCAAACGGCACTGCTCTTCGTCACAACGAAAGTTCCTTCGCGATTGATTGCAGCTATCCATTTTTTACGCAGTTCGTCGTCTTTAGGAAACGAGAATGTGGAAACAGTAGGTTCGTCAGAACGGCAATTACTAATGCAACCGGGTACACTACAGTGTCTCGGCATTTTTGGCTGTTATAAAAATAATTTGTTTATTTTGAAACTTTTTGTTTTGAAACCACTTCATAGAATCACTTTGAAACTGTACCCTCAGATCAATTACTTTCGTAAAAGTTTTGCGACAAGATTAGGTTATGTTATCTGATCCACAGATAAAAAGATCAGAGATGAAGTTATTTAATATCTATGGATTAAGTTTTCAATCAGGGATGGGGGATGCCGCGTTTCTTTATGAAAAATACACGTAAATAAAAGGGAAAACCCGTAACAAATCTAGTAAAAAGGATATTTCTCTCCTTAGCGTACATTTTCTACACAATATAAAAATATGTTATCAATAAAATGACTTCATGGTGAAATATCTCATTCTGCTTTCAGCTTAATCTTTGCTTTTCGAAATGATTGCGCCGCTTTCTAGTAGACGCAAGGTCGCCGGTTCGAGTCCGGCCCCGGACATGGATGTTAAATGTTGTGTGAGTCTGTATTTGTCCGAGACAAGTGGCCAAATAGGAAAAAAAAGCTATCTATTTTTGGCTCTAGATCATTTAAATGACCTATGGACCTGGGACAAGGATTTGTCCTAAAATCTATGAGGCAAAATAGGTCAAAATCATAAACTTAAAAGCTTAAAATAAAATATAGACTACACTATTTACATCTGAACGCGGTCAAACAATCATTTTTGTACACATGTTTACTTCTGGGTACACTCGACCGCAGCCGACCAAACCTTCCTCGTCCAGCCTATGTTGTCACGTCTTTAATATTATCAATATTTTTTTACTCATTATACACATATATTGAGATATTAATACTGCATTTTAATAAAGTAGGTTTTAATATTCCATAGATGTATTAAATAGTCCTTATACTACTTAATTATGAGTCGAATACTATGTAAAAAGGATAAATCCTTTACAATATGGCAACACCGATTAAAGGCGAGGTCGCCTGTTCATTCTTCTATTAACTTCTTGTCTTATTCAAAGCTTCTTGTTGTACGCGTCGCACGTGTGTAGTAAAGCATTGTTGCCGCTACTTCTCTCTGGTTGTATTATTCCATTTTCTTAGTTTGTAGTCCTTAAATGTTTATTTTATTTACTTTTTGTATTCAAGAACTATAAAATATGGTTCGCCAGTGCCAAATTTGCAAGAAATTTAACTTAAATAATCCATTTGAGTCTTGAAACCACTTTCGACCGGTAGGCAAACTGTCAATTTACCAATTGGGAATCAATGGCGTTGTTGTAGAAAGGCGCTTATTTATATAATATTTTAGTAAAATGTAAAATCTGATTTTTTTTTATTACATAATCATTTATATAAAAGTTTTAATAACAAAATCATAATTATAACCCTTGATTATAACCCTGTTATTATACAAGATAAATTATATTAGGCATCGGTTGAAAAATTAATCATGTATTTATTAAAAATATATTCCGATTTATTCTAAAACTATCTTCAGAATCTAAAATAGCATACAAGAATTCTAAAATGATATGACATTATGAAACATTATTTTTTAATATACCGGGTGCGTCTCAAAAGTAACTCACCCCTATGACTTTTTTATTTTTTCAGGTAAAAAAAATACAGATTTGTATGTTAGTATATGACATAAATTAATTATTTTTAATTATTATTAATAGAATGACATATCATATGTCAACTTTTGGCATTGTCGGTTAAAAACAAATCGTATTTTAAATTTCAATCCACGGTGCCATGGCGGTGTTAAAAACACTAAGTTTTAATCAAGGAGCCTTGGAAAAATAGTTTTGATCGTCTAATGTTTTTCGTGTCTTGTCTAGGCCGGTTAAAAGATGTACAAATCGTATTTTTAATCATATGTCAATTTTTTCAAATGGAACAAGGGTGACATTTAGCATTTTTAGCATATTTCGAAAAAGCATTTTTTATGAATATATTGATACTTGGTATTTCGAGTCCAATTGTCGTTATGAACCGCGTGTTACAATTTCAATTAAACCATATGAGAAAATGTCAAAAGTTGACATATGATATGTCATTCTATTCAGAGTCATTTTCTATCGAATAAAGTAGAGATATACCTAGGGTGCCATTTAAAAATCAGAAGTTATAGTCATTTCCGGTGAAACAGGAAGTGACCAAAAACAAATTAATGCGTCAATCAATCCTAATTTATGTCATATACTAACATACCAAATCTTGTTTTTTTACTTGAAAAAATAAAAAAAAATGGGGGTGAGCCACTTTTGGGACGCAGCCGGTATAATAAAGACAGTAGCGAGTTAAATAAATGTAGTCTTCATTTTATCCACTTCCTAAAAGCTTGCTTTAATGGAACAGATTTCTATTTTCTCTAATTTACATAATAAGACATCACTTAGCAGAAAAAAAAATTACAACAATCATGAAGTTTTTTCTCTTTCCATGTCGCCGATTCTATTATATGTATAGAATAGATTCTGTGTTTATTTTTAGAAAATGTTTGATTAAAATTAATAATTTATTATTAATTTCAAAAATTAAATACGTAATTTCGATTATTATTTTTTTTCTATAACATGTATTTTATTATTTTTGCCGTTTTTGGACGTTTTTTTCTAAACTTTTATTTAAAAAACCTCTCCTAAATCTTAATAAAATATAAAAAAGTTAAATACGATATATTTTTAATTGAATTAAAGCTTCATTAAAATAAAAAATTACCCGACTATGGTACGGAGATTTCAGGTGTACTGAGGAACGAAAGACAGTATTGCATTCTTCGTCAGAGTCGTCATGGAACGACCGTTACGACGGAGACAACCTATCTATCGCTCATGTCGCACTCGTTAGAGCCTAAAACAATAACACAACAATAACAAGACATTGTCTGTCCGTATTTTCCAGCTATTTATGAATGAGATGCTCAGTCTATATTTTATTTTAAGTCTATGGTCAAAATCATATATACAGGGTGTCCCAATATTCTGCAAACATAGAACATGGAAAAATAAGAGAGGACTAGCGCTACAATACGTATTATAACATTCCTGATAAAGTGAACCACTTTATCAGGACCGGGTTAATTAAATCTCAAATAATAAAAGCAAACTGATTAAGATTTGCCTTTAGCTAAGGTAATATTAATCCACTAAATATATGTACGTTTGTTGTAGTAAACTTATGCCACATAAATGCTGCATATATATCTTTTTTCATAATTCAGCAATAATAAGTTACGTACTTGCCTTACGTTTCTCTCTACGCCTCAGTTTTTTTTGTAGATTTTGTATATGCCTTCTTCTATTAGCGCTGACAAGCCTCACCCTGTCAAGTTTATCCCTTAGTTTTCGCTCATTATAAGTCATCAAACAATCCATATACAAAGATGAAACATTGGTAGGTTTTGATGAACTTGAAGGCTCAGAAATATCCGTCGGTCGTTCTTCACAATTTTCAGAAGATGGCGGTTGTTCTTCACAAATTCCGTAAGATGTAGGTTGTTCTTCACAATTTCCAGAAGATGTTGGTTGTTCTTCATAATTTTCAAAAGATGAACTAAGTAATGAAACGTCTTGACGAGGTGGATTTACAAGGTTTGGTGGGACTACAGAATGCAGATTCTCGGCATACTTCTGTCAATAAAAAGAAAAAGGAAAATTTGAAAATATACAAACGTACAGAGTGCTCATTAGACAAAAAATTGTGTGTGCACTATGTGCGCATATTTGAAGTGAAACTTCTTACTAACGGCTATTATCTATAACAAATAATTTTATATGCGTAAAAATAGTTTTTTACGTGTGAAAATAGTTTTTTACGTGTAACAAATAGTTTTATATGCGTAAAATAAAAAATTAATAAAGAATTAAAATATCAATCTTTTAATAAACATAGTTTATGTTTTTATTTTTTTTTAACATAGTTTAAATTAAGTAAAATCAAAACAATCAAATAATTTATTCAAACTCAAATTTTAGTTATTGGCTATTCCACGTTAGTTTCTGTGTGTAGGTTAGTGCACAAGTGCATCAAAAATATCAATAACTCTGATTTTTGTTTTAGTTAGCTAAAAACTGATTTTGAAGTTGATTTTCATTGCAGTTTATTAAGAAAAACCGACGGAAAACAAACTTATCTGATTAAATTAAATAAAATAACAAATCGCTTATCAAACTGTTTTTTTAATACCGCATGACCGAAGAAAAAATGAGTCAGTGATGGCTATGAAATGAAGATCGCTGTCATTTTATATGCAAAATTATATGAGGAATGTCATCGATGTTCATTTCCAAGCCAACTGGACGCAGTTTTTTCCGATCATATGGTATCTTGAGTATAGTATATTTTTAGAGGGCTCATAAGGCAAATAAAATAAAAAAATATATACAGGGTGTACCATTTAAAATAAACTTAAGTTTGAGTCATATTCCGAAAATTACAGCACTCAAAAAACTAGTTACGCTACTGGATTTTACGCGAATGTTACAGTATAACTGAGATACAAGGGGAGAGGAAAAAAGCAACATTTTTAAATTCACGCTGTATTCATGAACTATGAGGGTGCATCCACACTATCCTAGAGACGGCGTATCGGCGTAACGACCTTGAATAGATTTCCAGTAATTATATTGGCTGAAAAATTCCTCTGTCGAAAATTTCAGCCAATAGAATTACTGGAAATATATTCAAGGTCATTACGCCGTTACGCCAATACGCCGTTTCTAGGATAGTGTGGAGTGTGGATGCTCCCTGAGAGCTAGGAAAAATCTGCATGAGTGGCATCTTTAGTTTCATATAAACCTAGCACAGTAATGTGAAAACTGCATCGCTGTATCACTACTCATAAAAGAAATCCTATAAAACACACGAAAATGGAGCACCCCGTACAGTATTACATTAGTAATTAAATACATATTCGTACAACATACCTGACCTGCTGACTTTAATGTTGGAATAGCATCATATCTCAAACGAACAACAACGTCTGAGCCTTTATCAAAGTATTTAGCCTCAAAATGTTTTGAGCATAAGACACTATATTTAGTTGGTTTCCAATTACCTCTGTTTACAAAACGGGTCCATATATCAATAGTGTTTGGATTCTTTGGAAATCTAAAAAATATATGCATAAATAATGTTAGAAGATATTATCAATCCAATGGTTTCGCAATCTAAGATCGCAATGAATAAATTATATTGCATTACTATACCAAACTTAAAATAGGCATAAAATACTAATTAATGGCAATTTAATTAATGGTCATTTGTTAGTTCGGTCATTACGGACCTGTACTATGTTACCTGTGAAATGTTATTCCGGTGTGTTTCTTCGAGTGGATACCTTTCCTGTTATTACATGCGCGTATCGCACACGACACCATTTTTTTATTAATATAAAACTATGTAAAACACTCACATTGCCGGCGAAAAAACATTAAATTTTAAGGAAAATCAACGAGGTTATGGGAAAATCAGCTGGCAATGTCAGCGATGTCAGCTGCATAATTGGCTGCATAGGTCAGCTGGGAAAATCTATAACCACAAAACCAGAGATATAGAGACATTATAGAGATATCTCTGCACAAAACACATCTATAGATAACCTTGATCTATAAAAAATGCACACAACAACCAAACACAACACAAATCAAACATTGTACAAAGCAGTGGGATTCTGTAAGCTCCGCAGCAAGAAATTTCCTGTCTAGCCTATGCTATTTGTATACGATTGATGAGTCACAAGACAAGAGGTGTTTACAGCATGTTTACAGAATCGGGCCTCAGATTGGATCATAGGATTGGATTGTACTCAAATCCTCTGTCAAATACTCAAAACTACCACCACCAAAATGGCTGACTGGTTCCGATTCCGACAAAGGGTTCCGAAGTTCCGAATAAAAACGGCAAAAAAAACGGTAGCAATTTTTAACTCTATACGTATCAGAATCAGATCAGGACATGGTATCAGCCGTGGTATCAGATCAGCACAGTTTAGAAGTTATTGGGGTTTAAATTATATCACTTCAAAAATGTGCCATTTTTCCAAAAATCTCAATATTTTTTAATAAATTTATTTAATGAACGGGAAAAGATATGTTTTTGAAGAAAAATTACACGTAGTTAATCAGGTAAATTACGTCTTAATTAACTACTTCCGAACCCTGATTACGTCTTAATTAACTACTTCCAAACTCTGGTTCCGGCGGGGCAACCCCTGTTCTATATTTCTGTTCTTGACCCTTTAACATTATCTTATTATCTATGGTCTTACGACATTTGTCAAAATATGGTCAAAATCAGCTGATAACGTCATTGACCTTTTTAAATGTAATTAATTCTCTGTGGTTATTTGTAGATTGTAGAATCAAAATAGTTTTCACTTTATATCGGAATCGCAGGAGATAAGCGAATCTTCTTATCTTCTGTCCACTGTGTTATCAAATTATTAAATAGGACAAAAGTTTTCATATTTTAAATTTGTGAATTGCAGCTGTTATTCCGCTGTTTATTAATAATGAAGGATTGACGTTTTCAAAACAAGGTATTTTGATGATACAGAAATATGTTTGTTAAACCTGAAGAAGTTCTTATAGCAAACGCATTTTGGTAAGTTTTTTCTTTAGTTAGAGATGCTTTTTAGTATTAATCAATAGAGGTCATTATTGTATTTAAAGGGAGACTGAAGAGAGTTCCATCTACTTTGTTTTACAACATAGAAAAGGACATGGAACAGTTAAAGGTCTATCATCTCTTATTGTAGGCACTTTAGATAGCATATTCGATACTAAGCCCGCTCCTTACAGAATATTGCATCAAACACCTAATTCGGAAGTATATCTGTGTAAGCAACGTTAAACAGTTTTCTAAATATACTCCTATAAGTAATTTTTTCTTCTAATAGTGGTTGCATGTGCAATGACAAGGCATGAAATTTTAAAAGACTGGGAATGGTTATTCGCTAATGTAAGTTATACACTTCATTCATTTGAGAATGATGAAGATATAACTGAATTTGTCACATGTAAAATAGAGTCTGTGATTGCAGCAAATCAGGAAATTGATAATGTAGAAGGTAATTATGAGATTAAACATAAACTAAGACAGTTTTTGGGGAAATAATCTATATAATAAAGTTTAATATGCTTGTTTACTTTTTAGATGAAGATTCAAAATCTTTTAAGGTGACTTGTGATAAATTTCAAAGGTTGTTTGGTTTACAGAAAGATGAAAAACTGGTCAATTACTATTCATGTAGGTAAGTGAAAAATAGTTTTTGTTATTTGTATAAATATTATACTATATTATCAGAATGAGTGGTAATCAACATGTAGGATATAATATGATGTATCATGAAATTAATGTTAAACACATTCGGTTTTTAGTTACTGGAAAGGCAAGCTTCCTAGGCAAGGATGGATGTACCTCTCAATAAATTATTGTTGTTTTTACGCATTTATTTTAGGAACAGATACAACAGTCTGTATAAGGTATGTATCTACTAGTTTATTAAGTAAATTTTGTTAAAGTGCAAACCTAAAGGATGTACTAGGATGCCTTTCACGAAAATATTTTAACTTCTACAGGGTGATTTGAGAGTGTGGTTGGGTCATAAAAGTATGAGTGGATTGGGACGATTTTTTTAAAATGGTTTACCCTGTATATTATTGGGGTCCGTTTCACTTTAGGGCTGTCAAAATTAACAAATTTTCTATAAAATAAAGTGGATATTCTGCCTACGGCGTATTTTGATCGCTGTTACCAACAACTCTAAATAAATAAAACCTGTACAAGCGTAGCGTTAATTTAAAAGCGTCTATGTTCCCGGTATGAGCATGCGCGTTAGAGCAACAAGACGCCATCCGTCAATCGGAACGTAAATATCCAATGACTAAAGAATATAAGGACATGTAACGCCCCTATACGGACTGCAGCAGAATTTGTGACCTTTTTTTTTGTTGTTTTGGTGGCAAACAATGAGTCATCATTTGGTCACCAGCGACAATAGCGATTTTTAATAGTTTGTGTGTAGTAAACTTTGTATAAACTTTATTACAATGGTGATTAGTTATTCAGCTTTCAAGTGTAAAAGCAGCAGCGATAAGAAAGAGCCAGGAGTTACATTTCATAGGTAAATAAACAGTCCACTCCAACTTTTTAGCGTTTTCTTATCGAATTCGATAATTATTCTTCAATTTCAATTAACATCTATATGTACTTGATATGTGCTATACGTCGATACTAGTTTTGTACCTTTTGTTAACATTTTAATACGTTTTTCGTAATTAATTAGGATGATACACCATAGGCGTAGTCAAAACAATTATCAAAAAATATAAATATTGCTTCAAACAGCTAGGTTAAGAAAAATATGTGCCACGGCACTGTTTGGTGACATCGTCATAATTTGCTCTCGGGTGTTATTTGTCCTTGGATTCTTTAGTCATTGTAAATATCGAACACCCGACATTAATCCGCCACCTCCGCGTCAAAAATAGTACCCATTTGTGTTATTTATTTTATAAAAACTGTTTTAAGAAACCGAATATCCCTCACCTAGGTCTTTCACAAATGTCTTTTACTTTGTTTTGGTAGCAAAATTTTTATTTTAAATGCAATCCTCGCGACAGCCCTAAAATGAATCGTCACCTATTATTGCACTATTTGTTTCATTGGCACTATTAATCACTTTACATAATCCTAAGATATTAAATATGATTCATAGTTTCAAAGGTATTAATAAATAAATAAAAAAATATATATTTTTTAGCCTTTAAAAAAAATGATTAATAAAACCAGAAATGTTCAGAAATCAAATCATATGTATGTATGTAGGTATTTACATTTACTAATGTTGGTCTGTATTCAATTTAAAATTATGTAAGTAACGTTATTTTAAAGTATTATACAGAGTGGTCAAAATTGTAATTCTAAATTCTAATTCTACGTGAAACTTCCTAAAATATAAAACAATTTTACTTCGTTTTTGTTATACCTACCAGGGTAATACCCTGTCCTATATGCTATTTTTTTGTTTTTTAACGGTTTCGCAGATATACGATATATTACGTATGGCTTTTTCAACAGTACATTTTTTTCAAAGCCACCCATAGTCTGTTCCAGAAATCAGGGAAGATGTCGACAGTGAATAGTTGTTTCTGTCATTTTAATTCACAGATAAATTGTGTTTTCTGTCATTTTTAGGATAGACGACATCCGAAAGTGACAGAATATATAATTTGACTGTGACTGTCAATTACAACTAGACACATAAATAGTTACTTTCAAATACCGTATGATCGAATAAAAACGGCGTTAGCGATGGCTGTGAAATGAAGATCGCTGTCATTTTATATGTAAAATTATATGGGAAATGTCATCGATCGTCATTTCATAGCCATCGCTGGCGCCGTTTTTATTCGATCGTACGGTATTACCTGCTATAATAAATATTACACTTTATATTAATAAAATTCTAATTTTATGCGGACGAAGTCGTGAGAAAACCAGTGTATGAAATATAATACCGCGAATATCTGCGATACCGTTAAAATTTTAAAGTACTTTAAATAAAAAAAAATACAAAATGTATTCATTTTTTAATTCTCCATCTAATAAAAAATATATATATATACAGGAAATTTCATTTAAAATAAAAACAAGAAAAATTATAAAAACATGTATATTTTAGAATGTTTGCATGTAATTTTGAACACCCTGTATGATTTAAGATTGCGATATTCATAATAAAGTAAGTACAGACCAACTATAGTACCTAGCATAGTTTTGATTTCGGGACACATCTTATATTTTGAATATATTTTTTTTTAAAATGTTGAAAATATATTTTTTTTATTTATTTATAAATATCTCTGAAACTATCAAAATATTTATTAAATAATTATTATTTAATAATAAGTTAGAATTATGTAAAGTGATTAAGAAGGAAGCCAAAATGCAATAATATACAGGATATTCTATTTAAAAAAATATTCCATTATATTAAGACTTTTTTGAGCCACCCCAAGTTAAAATATTTTCTTGAAATTATCCTAGTACACATTTTAGGCTTGCACTTAAGCAAAATTTCAAAAATTTTTATTATAGGGGCTACATATGCCCAACGCAGTATTGCAGGATCCTTCTTCATTGCTAACATATATGTTATAGGTGGTCTGAAATTACAGAATTAAGCCAAAAAAACAGTATACTGTTTCCTGATTCAATAAAAATCACAACCAGAGAGAAGGAATATCATTTCAGTATGTTTCTGAGGAAAAACGAGACTTTTACTCTTATGGAACAGTTGGTCGATTTAGCTGTGAAAAAGTAAACGTTTTTTAAACTAAATAGAGTGTTTACTTAAATATTTAACTTTTTAGACTAATAGACGGAAAGAAGAGTTATAGGGAAGATAAGGAACTGTTAAATAAATTAAGGTAATTTTTATTTCTTAGGGTTCTCAAAAGAAAAGAACGGAACCCTTTTAGGATCACTTTGATGTATGTCCGTCCGTTTGTCAAGACCTTTTATCTCGGGAGCGCGTGGAGGTATTGAGTTGAAATTAAAACATTAAGCCGCGTCCAAGCTAAGCGAACAAAACGTTCGCGAATATATATAATTAGCACTATATACTCGTAGCAGCAGGTCGTAAACGACGGCACAGCCCATCACATCGGTCCCGAGGACTGAGATGCGGGGAAGAATGCGACAACCAGTTTACTCTATAGATCTAGGATGCGTTTAGGCAATCGCTGTTTTTTCGAGTGCCCGGCTTAATGTGAGTTGAAAAAATAAATATGGATGATAAGGTCAAAATTGCGGCAGCTGCTTTTATTGTATTGGCTGATGCTTGCAAAAAAAAAGAAACTCTGTAGCAAAACAAAATTGATGCAAAGCTGAGAAAACTACAGTGCAAGCATTTTATTAAATAAATTAACCGGTAAACAGTTTAAGAACTTTTGTCGTTGAAGAATCAATATTAGGCAGGCGGAGGGTTACAGGGGTCTTTTGGTAGATTATTCGTTATAGTGTATTTTTAAGACCTGTATTCATTTTCAGCCGATTCTACCAGGTGTTTCTCAAAAGGGGCTTTCCTTTTTTATTTTTTTTATTTTTTCATATAATACAATGAAATTTGGTTTGTTAGTATATGACATAAATCGGGATTGATTGACGTATTCAATTACCTTTGGTCGCTTCCTGTTTCACCGGAAATGACTACAACTTTGGATTTTTAGATTGTATCCTAAGTACTTATACTTTATTTCGTAGAAAAATTACATTCTGAATAGAATGACATACCATACGTCAATTTTAGACATTCCCAATTAAATAAAAATAGCATTTTAAATTTCATTCTAGAGTGCCAAGACTGAGTTAAAACTATTAATTTGTAATCAAAGAACTTTAGAAACCTATATTTGATCGTGTAATTTTTTTTGTATCCTTTCGTGGTGGCTTAAAAGATGCCCAAATCGTATTTTTAATGATAACTCAAATTTGTCAAATGGTACGACACTGGCTCAGCATATTTGGAAAAAGCATTTTTTACGAATAATTTGGTACTATAGTAAACGCCACGAATGTTTGGGAGTGATTCATCGCTTGATGAAGTTAGAATCGACACGCGCGCTATCATTTTTACAATTAAAACGTAAATTTTTACCGCAGACGTAGGTTTTTAAAGGCCCGGTCTAATCATCTGCCTGCGCTCCTCCTACTTATTCTAAAATGTTGCGTGATTGACAAAGACGATACTATATCGCGTTTCTTTGATTGATTCGTTTTTGTGCGTTTGATTATTATAATCATTTGAAACACCACGGCACTGAAATTAAGTTTTATGTGACCTTGAATAGATTAGTTCACATGGTAGAGACCGATAAATCACTCCCAAACATTGGTGGCGTATACTATACATACTTGGTATTTGGAGTAAAATTGTCGTTACGTTTATTTATGGCCATTTTTTAATTGAAAATGTCAAAAGTTGACCTATATCATTCTATTTAGAATGTCATTTTCTATTATATACGGTAAAAAAATACGGGTACCATTTAAATCAAAAGTTGTTGTCATTTCCGGTGAAATAGGTAGAGACCGAAGATAAATGAAAACGTCGATCAATCCTGATTTATGTCCTACATACCAAATCTCGTTTTTTATCTAAAAAATTAAAAAAGTTATAGAAGTGAACCACTTTTCAGAAACACCCGGTATATTTATTTCTAAAAATGTAATGGTAAAATTTTATTTCCGGTGTCAAACTTCCTATTAAGTAGTAATTTTCAATTTCAGAATCCCATAATAATTCCGGTTTTTAATAAAAATAATCATAAAGGTCTTTATTAACAAAAATGAACTTATATGGACGAAGTCTAGCTACATAGCTATTCACACTCAACCCACAATAAAATTAAAATTATAAAATCTTTTCTTTGTGTAAACAAATTAGTTGTAAATGTTTTTCACGATTCCAGTTAATAACTGCGTCTCCCATTGTCGAATACTCGGTAAAAAATAAAAATCACAGATGGTCGCCCGAAATTAAATGAGACCCTTCCAAGTGTCTGCCGAAATGCACGCCGTTCGCTCCTTTTGATGTACCGACACCCGTCGGAAAAAGAACGCGCGCGCTCTAGCATAGGCAGACGCACGCTCTGGCGTACAAGCTAGCTATTCGGCGCACAGAGGGGCCTAGACCCATAAATGTTACCGGAAAGTCGAAAATTGAAATATGAGATTTAAGCAAAAAAAATACTCGTAAACTATGCAAAATTCTTCTCTTTATTTGATCATGCCAGCCATGGATCAGCATCTCCAGTAGGACACCTGCTGCAGCTTGTCAAAGTTGACAATAATCCAAACGTAATAATTAATATTTTTTAATGAAAATATTGCTCAATTTCAAAGTGGTATTTCTTTATAACGAAATATAATAAAATTAAAATTTAAATGGCTAACACTAACTCCGGTAAGTGTAGATTATTTCTATAGAAAATGTTTTTGGATACGTTTTTAGCTTGAGCGAAATAATTAGGTTACAGTTAAAAGTGAACAAATGTTGCAAAACAATTTAAAGTTGTTGATTTATCGGTCCAAAAAGTTAATGATACCTTTGTATTCCCCAAGCACTTTAATTAATTCTTAATATACAAGCTCTTACCTTTAATTTGGTACTAAAACTTACTGCTGTTTTGTGCTGATTAACTAGAAAATTATAAATTTGAAATTTGAATACATAGAAATAGGACCCAGCATAACATATTATTTTGCCATATAATTTTTACATATCATTTTTAGGGTTCCCTGCCCAAAGGGTATAAAAACGGGAACCCTATTACTAAGACTTCGCTGTCCGTCCGTCTGTCACAAAGGACCCAGCATAACATATTATTTTGCCATATAATTTTTACATATCATTTTTAGGGTTCCCTACCCAAAGGGTATAAAAACGGGAGCCCTATTACTAAGACTTCGCTGTCCGTCCGTCTGTCACAAAGGTCTATCTTATGAACCGTTATAGCTAGACAGTTGAAATTTTTACAGGTAATGTATCTATGTTGCCGCTATAAGAACAAATACTAAAAACAGAATTAAATAAATGTTTATAAATAAAAAAGTACTTCCACTAAACATTATCTTTTAAGTAAGAATTTTACATAGGATCTTTCAAGTCCTCGGTGGCCGCGTGGTTTAAAGCGTTAGGACTTTACGCTGCTATGACGTTGGAGCCGTAGGTTCGAATCCTAGTCATGGAAACTTTTTTAATCTTTTTTTTTAATTTTTACATATTTTTACATATTTATTTTTACTTTTTACATATTTATTATTGATTAATACAATTTTTAGTAATGTGTTTCTTAATTTTTTTTTTAAATTAGTTATACGCGCATTCAAAATTTCAGTTAAATCGGAAAAAAAGTTTATAATAATATAGTGTCTAATGTATAGATAATGAATGGTACGGAATCCTTCGTGCGCGAGTCCTACTCGCACTTGACCAATTTTTTTTTTTTTTAGTTTTAACTATTGAAATAAGCCACAGTGATTTGTGGAAAAAAACCAAAGAATGCTCATCATCCAAAATAGATCGACAATGCCAGTTTTTAAAGGAACACATAAAACAAATTACAAATTGCCCAGCAGACAGATTTCCCAATATTGCTATGAGAATATCAAAATTTATGTTCTCCTACAGACAAAAATGGCAGAAGTCAGGTAGAAATGAAAAAATGTTCATTCGAACAAACAGGGATTGGCTTGATATCAAAATGGTTTTTCCGAAATTTGTTATTCCAAAAATAGGACGTCCGAAAACAAGTTTTCAAGAATGCTCTGAAAGTACCAAGCGTCAAAAAACTACAAATATACGCAATGAAAACACAGTTGAAGCAATATGCTATGCTGCCCAAATGGAGCTTAGAAAAGCCGGACATCTAGAAGCATCTAAGTTAATAAGAGAAATATCGTCAAATCCGACTATGGCATCACAGTACCTAAACGCCTTGAAAAAAACAAAGGAAAATCACATCATCCAATTGTCACCAAATGAGGCACTTTCGGTTCTTGTAGAAGCGGGCTTGTCAAGAAGTCAATATAATCTTATTAGAGAAAAAGATAAACTTAAATTTCCTTCGTACAAAGTAGTACAAAAAGCGAAAAATTCATGCTATCCAAATACCATTAATGTAACATCCACTTCCGCAGAAGTTTCACTTGAATCTCTACTAAAGCACACAACGGAAAGAATTATTACTCTTCAAGAAGACGTCTTAGATAGGTTTGGTCCAGAAGAACTTAAAAATGCGTTTCTTGTATGTAAATGGGGGTTTGATGGCACTTCTGGCCAACAAAATTACAAACTAAAATTTGATAACCTTGAGGACTCTGATTCGAGTGCTTTCGTTACCTGGCTGGTTCCACTTAAACTGGTTCTTGGAAATCCTGAATCGGAAGACCCTCACAAAATAATTTGGCAAAATCTATCTCCATCATCTCCGCGCTACTGCCGACCAATCAGGATTCAGTTTGTGCGCGAATCAACAGAAGTGTGCAAACAAGAACAGAGCCGTATAGAAACTGAATTAAAAAATATCGATGGGTTGACTTTTGAAATCCGAGAATTTGTTTTATATGTGCGATTCATCTTGTTGTTAGCTATGATTGATGGAAAGGTGAGAAATGCGTTAACCAACAACAAAAGCACTCAAAGGTGTTACATTTGCCAATATACCCAAAAAGACTTTAATGATTTAAACTTGATACTTGCAAAGAAATGTGACTCAACTTTATATAATTTTTCACTTCCAGTTTTACACGCTCGTATTCGCTGTTTTGAGTTTTTTTTGAGTCTTGCGTATAAATTACCGGTAAAAGTTTGGAGATCCAGAAGTCAGGACGAAAAATTACTAATTGCCGAAAATAAGAAAAGGATTCAACAGGAATTCAAGTCACATCTTGGTTTAATCATAGACCAACCAAAACAAGGCTATGGCAGTAGTAATGACGGAAACACGGCTAGATGTTTCTTCGAAAATGCGGAAATTACCTGCAAGATCACACGAATTGATATCGATGTAATAAAAAGATTCAGTGTTATTTTGGAGGTGATTTCTAGCTACCATAGTATCAATATTGAAAACTTCAGAAATTATGCTCTAGAAACAGCAAGGCTCTTAACAGAAAAATTTTCATGGTACTGCATGACACCTACAGTACACTTAATTTTATTACATGGAGCGGATATAATTAAGAGTGGCCTTGTTCCGGTTGGTCAGTTATCAGAAGAAGCGGCCGAAAGCCGAAATAAAGACCTAAAACAATATCGATCAAAGTTCGCGAGAAAAACATCCCGAAAAGCAAATAACGAAGATGTTTTGAAAAGACTGCTCTTATCATCAGACCCACTGATTACTGGATTGAGGAAACCGCCTAAATTATCAAAGAAACATTTTTCTAACGAAGCTTTGTCCATGCTGTTACCCCCAGATTTTAGTTATAACGCACTAAATAAAGAAACTGATTCCGATTCTGACAATAATTAGCACAGTTTTTTGGCTGGATAAAGTATGTATGTATGTCTGTTAGTCTATCTACTGTATGGGCAGGTTTCTATTTGCTTTGTAAGTTTTATTTGGGCACATATTATCAAGGAATCGCACATGAAAACAATATCTCAGATTTCAAAAGACTCGTTAGGTTAGGATATTATTTTTTAATTTAAGGTACTTTTTAATATCAGACGTTAAGTTTCGCCCTAGAAACATTGAAGAAGATTTTTACATGTTTATTATTATTTAGTTTGCAATAGATTACTTTATACGTTACTTTTCACTTTACTAATAAGCTTGGGTTAGGGCTTTAAGGACTTTAAAACGTTTAAAAGTTAAATAAATTTATTATTTCTTGTATAAAATGCATTAGCTTATGACATACCTCGGCTGATGTCTCGTGCTATATTAAAATCTTTTAAATCTTTTGACAAAATAATATTTTACGACTTAAGAAAGCATTTAGAAGCAGTTTTATTAGATATGAAATAAAATTAGATTTTTCGGTATCTTTTCGGGCTCGCTGCCCCACTGTGCGGCGCTCCGCGCTCCTTAATAAGCCTAGGCTACCTGTACTTGTTGGCTTTATTATTTGTAAATCTACCTATCTCACAATTCTCACTTAATATCTGTTTAATTATATATGTTCGCGGACATTTTGTTCGGTTAGCTTGGACGCGGCTTTATACTCAGGTCTACAGTTCCTTGAAGCTGTGAAAAAATAAAATATCTAAGTTAACGTAAAAAAAAGATACGACCGTTTATGCCGCAAAAAAGTATCTTTCACTCTCAAGGGAATCAAAATTTATAGGGTATTTTCTATTAATCTAGAACTATGAAATTTGGCAAGTAAATACAAGTATAGGGAAACATCTGAAAACTGTACATTTGTAATTAAATCATAAAAAATATAGTCTTTGTATGTAATCAATCATCGATGTTATGCAACGGTATGCGCTGTCATAACTGTATAGGTTACCAAATCTTTTTGTAGATTTTTTAAACTTACTAATTTTAATTGAAACACAAAAAACGGGGTCTTTATGCAAGAAATGGCGGTTCAAATTTTAAGTTGCGTTAACTGTATCATGTGGGATAACATATGAGAGGACAACCTATAAATTTGTTGATCATATTTTGGTCGAAATACAAAGAACATTTATTTTTTAGCAAGAACGTTCCTAAGAAGGCATCGTTTTTGAAAAGAGATTTGGATGCTAGGGCACAGTCCGAGGCCTACAGGCTGATGTTTAGGCTTCCAGCAAGTGAGAAATTGGATGGATCCATTGATTGCACCTTGTTAACACCGTACAATAAAAAATTTGTGGCTGGGCGGTTATTTTTGTCTCAAAACTATGTTTGCTTTGACAGTAGGGTAAGTAGAAGATCAGCCGTTAGAGGGCGTCCGTAAATTTAATTTAATTTTATTTTGTATAGTAAAATGGGTTATTCAATTTTTAACTTACAAAACGCCTTCTACCAGTAGGAGACACATTTACTGTCCTCCATTCACGCAGTTGTACAGCTCTGAACTGTTCAAGAACGCGATACTCTCGCTCCATTCAGTTGAGTCATTAAAGTTCAGAACTATTCCGCGCCATATGGAGGCACCATGCTATCGCGCAGAGCTCCTTTCAGAACCGTTCTCGAGCAGCCCAGGGCGTAAAGCTCTGGAACTTGAAATTCGCCAATGGAGGACAGCAATTGACATCAAAATCAAATTTCTCATGTCAAAAAACTCCCAGACACCATTTTTCATCCAAATATTTATATTACCTCATAAATAATTTGGAAAAAATCGAAATAGAAATGAAATTTTACACCCTCTATCTCCGAAACTAAGCCATTTTAGGACATACTTTTTTACTTATTTTTATCTGCAGAATATACCGCCGAAGTTTCCGGAATACAGTTCGGACCAACCTATATACATAGAAACGTAATTCCTAGTTCTTTCTTCTCGATGTGGCTTTTACACTTGAAATCTGAACAAATCACCATTGTAATAAAGTTTATACAAAGGTCACTACACACAACTAACTATTAAAAATCGCTAAAATTGTCCCTTGTATATTCTTTTGGTGACATTAAAAAAATGGCGTCCTATAATTTTCCATCGCAAATTTTTCTTCAGCTCGTATATGCGCGTTACGCGTCCTTGCATTCTTTAGTCGTTGATTACAACAGTTACAATAGGTACCTGTTATTACTTAAGATTGAACCAGTGAATTCTAATATATTTTGTACATTTTTTTAAACAGATCAAAGCACAAGTTAGTGTGGTAATTCCATTACGCGATGTTGTCAGCGCTGAAAAAATAGAAACGAACGTTTCCAATCAGGCGCTGGATAAGGCGATAATAGTGACAACCAGGGATGTGTTGAACAAGACTAATTTTATATTTGCACAAATACTGGACAGGGATTTTGTCGTTGAAAAGTTGTCCGAGCTCCTAGCCAAAACTCAAGAAATGACGACGTAAGTTGAGCGGTTGGTAGAATTTGATGTACAGGGTGTCCCATTTTCCTGTGTTTGCAGGATTTCTTGTTTATGAGTAGAGGTAAAAACATGCGGTTTTCACATTGCTGTGCTACTTTTTTGCGACACTCTGCACATATTTGTCCTAGCTTTGGTTCCTGAAAAACAGGGCGAATTTTAAAATGTTGCATTTTTCTACCCCCTTCATATCTTGGTTGTCTTATAACTTATCGAAAAGATAAACACTGAGTCTCATAAAGTTTGAGAGATGTCATTCATGAAATATGACCGGAACTTATGTTTTTTTTTAAATGTAGCCCATTAATATAATAATATTCTATGTCAAATTTTGGTTATTAGCTATTGCACGCTAGTTTATCTGTGTAGAGTTTTTGCACAAGTGCATCAAAAATATCAATAACTCTGATTGACAGCGTGTTATCTAAAAGCTACACAAGTTCATTTTTAGGGCAGTTTAGTAAGATAGAAAGCAAAATTATCTCTAAAAAGTTAAATAATGCATTTTGACTATTTATGAAATTAGGTATAAAGTACATTATATTTTTAGAAAGCTCATAACAAGGCAAATATAATAAAAACAATTATTATATACTGGGTATTCCACTAAAAAAAAAATTGAGTCATATTTGACGAAGACTGTGAAAATGACAGCTCTCAGCAAAAAAAAACTAGTTACGTCGCCGGATTCCACGTGAAAAACTCTACGGAACTCAGTTGAGTGAAAACCGCATCCCTTGTATCTCTACTCTTAAACGAGAAACCCCATTAAATACACGAAAATAGGACACCCCGTATATCGCAATTACCGTTTTAATTGATTTATTGGTGTAGGTTTTCTGGCTCAAACAGATCGAAAGGATCGCTGGTTGACCTAGAACCAGAGTGGAAGCCTCAACAGGCTTTGATGAACATTTTTCCACTGAGTCCGATACCCGAGGTGAACAAGAGGCAACAACAACGTGCCAGGGAGTGGGAAGAACACTTTAACACCTACGGAAGAGGAGTGTGGATGTACCGAACGACGGAAGTAGCCAAATTGGTGCTGGAAGGTATCCCCGACCATTTGCGGATGCAGATCTGGATGTCTTTTTCAGGTAAAAAGCTGAGATTTATGAGTTAAAACTCGTTATGGTGTGTCCTACTACAGGCTACATGACAGCATATAGTTAATACTCCTATAAGGCTAGCATACAGTGTGTTGCATCGTCGACCTGGACATAAGAAAACCCATGTAAATTTTAAAAATAATGAATAAGTTTTCCCCAATTTATTTTATAGAAAAAATTATTGAAAGTTTTTAAAGGAACTCCTTAAACAAAGTAAATTGTTCATTTTGAATAATTTGTATGAATTCATTTTTGAGTTATGAGAGATACAAAAATACTAAATTAGGCGAAAATTTAAAATAATTTTGTCCTGGAATATTTATGATTTTCTTCTACAGGGATTTGTGAACATTTTCCGTTATGCTTACTCATTTACTGCCATTACTCGCTGACGAGTATTTGACACGCTTCAGAAGATGGTTACGTAAGGCGTTTTCTTTCATGAGCTTTTCTGTGACTGAAAATATAATGATACATGATGTTATCTCTCTTCCGCAGTCCGGACATTCAAAAATCTCATTACTTTGTTGCCTCTTTACTCTTTGGTTGTCGTTGTTAACGGAGTTTACAATTCTTCTCCATTGCGTTCTATTGTGCGCTGCTTCCTCCTACTGATTCTATATGCTTATCCCCTTTAAGTTTTCATGGAAAATATCTTTGTACCTTCTACAAGCTCACCGTAAAGGAGAGATTTCAATAGGCGTTTTTTTTGCATCCTGCATACGTGACCGGGCCATCTTAAGCTGGATTTAGTAATCATGACTTCAGCGCTCTCGCAGCTAGGTTTTTCAAGGACCGATATGAGACATGGAGGTATTTGGTGGTATTTGATTCTTAACAGTTGTCTATGGTGTCTCTGTTGCAACTTGTTTAATGAGTTCGTGTGCTGGCTAAGTTATATACTCTATGCAAAGTTACGAAAATTACACTGTAAACATAAAAGAATCTTTAAAAAATCAAATATATTTCGTGGATAAGTAAAAATATCATAATCAGTCTTCGTACAATTTTTTCCTTGTTTTAGGAGCGTTAAATTTAAAAGCTGCCCATCCTGGTTACTATAGATCTCTGGTTGATAAAGCACTGCTACAACAATCAACTGCGAATGAAGAAATAGAAAGAGATCTTCACAGGTACGTAGTTTGTACGTATTGTTAATAGAATGCTTGCCCACAGCATTACCTTACAACAAACTTTAAATAGAAATATTAATTATTTTTATATTGTATTCAGTGTACGCTTATCACAGTCTACGCTTACTGTGACATCATTCGATTGTCATACAATTTTTATTGGTTTTGTTATAGATCATTACCAGAACATCCCGCATTCCAAAACACTTTAGGTATCGACGCTTTAAGAAGAGTTCTTTGTGCCTACGCTCTGCACAATCCTAGTATAGGTTACTGCCAAGCCATGAACATAGTTGGTGAGTGTTTAAAACAGTTTAAAATTTATTTTTACACGGTTTTAAAATATCAAAATTTTAGCTGTTATAATAATTTTTACGTAATTTCTTGTAGCATCCGTCCTACTGATTTATTGTAACGAGGAAGAGGCGTTTTGGTTACTTGTAACTTTATGCGAAAATTTACTACCAGATTACTATAATCAACGTGTAGTTGGAGCTGTGGTAGATCAAGGAATCTTAGACGAATTAACTTTAGAGCATTTGCCTACGCTACATGATAAATTACTACAATTAGGTTTGGATAAATTTTTATTTATACAGGGTGTCAAAAAAAATAGTGTATACAACTACGTTTTCTACAGATAAAAATAAAACAAAAAGTTCCTATGAACCTATATGCCCTAAAATGCTTTCCGAAGAAGTCACAACCCTCGAAAGGGTGAGTAAAAATAATATATTTTGTCCATTTTTAAGAACAATGGTAAACCATTTTTCTTGAAATTTGGTACTCTTACACGCATTTTGCCAGAGCGAATGGCGATAGTGTAAAATTCCGTAACAGCCCTGAAAGGGTACTTTACATTAGGGTAGGGAGTATTACTTTTCGTACTTTTTTTATCCTTATAGATACAGTAATTTTAACAAATGACATAAAAAGCTAAGACTTTTTTACGGTGCTCTTCATTTAGTTTGATATGATGAACGGTTTTAGGAATAAAGGAACATTTATTTTATTTTTATCTGTAGGATCACCCACCGAAGTTAGATACACTATTTTTTGACACCCTGTATAATTTGACATTTTAATAGACTGTCCAACATAGATAAGGGAAATAAATTTAGATTGGAAAGACCGTCAAAATATATAATTGTTTTGGGTCGCGACCGTTCTACGCGATCTGGCACTGCTGTAGTGGTTGCTAAGAACAACCGCCAAACAATAACAGAAAGAATTTTCTCTTGTCAGTCAGAATCTTCAAAAATTATAAAATCTTTCAAAGTTTAAACCGCCCTCATTTGAAAAAATACCGAAAAGTGTTTAAAGCGTCCATTCTCAAAGTAATTATTGCTATCTTGTGAGTTTAATTTAAATTTTACTAACTCAAATCCGTGATAACTGAAAAAGTTGCATTAAAATCTAAAAAATTGTGTTGTGAATTGTGAACTGCAAAAACCATCGTGGATCGTGGCATAACGTCGGTTTCCAATGTTTCATAGGTATTTCACATACATGTCCGTATATAAAATAAAGTTTCTTGTATGCAACACACTGTACTTTATTTAAAAAATTAAAAGAAAATAATAATAAATTTGAATAAATAATATTTGGCGACATAATTTCGGAAAAAGCCTAACTGCTCCGAAATTATCAAAAGCTTTGGGTCGCGACCGTTGCAAGAATAGCGCCAAATACCGTATGATCGAATAAAAACGGCGTCAACGATGGCTATGAAATGAAGATCGCTGTCATTTTATATGTAAAATTATATGGGAAATGTCATCGATCGTCATTTCCTAGCCAACTGGACGCCGTTTTTTTTTCGATCATACGGTAGTATTTACATTGTCCTTATGGGCACTTTCCAATTTTGTCCGTTTATCTATGCGGTCTAAGTCTCTCATATTCGTGGCCAATGTTTAAAACCCTTTCCAAACAAAGCTGTAAGCGCAGGTAAAATTCCATAAGTCATTAAGAGTATCTATAACAACAAACTGTTAAAAACTACTAAATCATTTTCAAAGTAGACGTACTTTTATCAAATTATAGGAAAACCTCTATGGTAGCACACGCTGTATTCAAATAAATACCTTATTGAACTCATATTTGCATGCAAAAAATGAAATCATACAATTGTTTTATAGTTTTTACCCTGTATTTACCGCGTTGTTTGGAATGATGATTTCCACTCCATCTATTAAAGATTAATTTGTATTCTAGGAATGATTAATATGATCTCTTTGTCGTGGTTTTTAACCATTTTCCTTTGTGTAATGCCCTACGAGTCGGCAGTAAACGTTATGGATTGTTTTTTCTATGACGGTGCCAAAGTTATTTTTCAAGTAGCTTTAATGCTCTTAGAATGGAATCAAGAGAAACTTCTGCAATGTAGAGATGAAGGTAAGAGTTGATAGTTCGTCAAAGAGTAACTAAGCGTCCTTGGCCATTCGAAAGGGTAGAAAATGGGAAAAAATTATTCAAGCGCGTCAGATATTGAAAAGGGATGTTAAGTGAACCCTAATGAAGATCCTATTCAAAATAGTGGCGATTTAGACGCAACCAAAACGCTTGAGAGACGCAACCAAAACTTTCTAAAAATTTTTAGAAATGCATAGTTCTCAACACCAGACTTTATTGATAATTTTAGCTCCTTCGGTTTCTGGAAATCGGCAGATTATGTTATTCTCGTGACTCTTGAATTATTTCCTTCAAAATAAAAATAATAACCACGCACGAGAAAGTCCAGGTGACATTTTTTTACAACTTTGTGACTCTCCCATTTCCTTATGTCACGCGTAATAAGGCTAAGAATAATAGCGAGGTACTTGCAAATTTATTGTTTTCATTTGCTTATTGATTATTTAAAATGTTACCAGTGGCTACAATTCTGGACAGTAGTGTCGCAAACATTTGGTTTATTCGAAACCAACAAACCAGAAGATGTAGTGTATATGATATTTTCAAAAACCGGAGAGAATGTGGCAAGTTTTATAACCTTTACGAAAATTTGTTGTCACTTCATCCCATAACTTATCTAAAAAGTACCTGTTACGGTGATTACTATCTTTCTGATCCTATAAAATCTCTCTTACAAATACTAAATCTATTAATTTTTGGGAATCCATCATTTTCTACAGCGCGACAGAGCGACGAAAACAAAATTATTTGAATCGATCTCGCCGCTAGATCTAACTGCTCGAGCAGATCGCTTTACTATGTTCACACGTACTTGTCTTCACAGGTTTTTGGACGCGATGTCGCGCTGCTGGCTCGCCGCTATCCTCGTCGCTCCACTATGTTCTTAGCCTAAATCGTCAGATTATTTAAATGCACACATTCCTGTATGTAAAATAATTAAATCGCCTTCCTTTAATCTGACGCGAGTTTTTCTATAACGATAATTTTTTGACTACTCTGATTGGCTACCCTACACGCACGACCCTATACCGTGCTGGTAACTGTCAGATTTGGGTCGGAATTTACATGTGTGGAAGTAAATCGCATAGGGATCTTATTAAGTCGGAGTGAGAGAAATGCGACCGACCGACGCGACGCGCGACGGTGTGCTGTTGCGGCGTTGGCGATACGCCCTTCCCTATCAAGTAAAGTAAAATCACGATCGCAAACCGCTTATTTTTAAAAGACTTTTTTTTCAAGAGATAACTAGATAAAATCATTAGACATGTTTCTGAGCATCTGAAATGGAATTATAAGGATATCGTTAAGGTGTCATTTTTTTATAACGAGAAAACGTCAGTAATAGCGATAATTTAAAAACTCAACTTTTTAACACATAACAGGCCATAACTCAACCACTTTAGATATTGAAACTTTTTTTTATTTTCAAGATCGGATATTTTACAATATGTTTACATAAGAAAAATTCGATAAAGTTGTTTTTTCCATTAAAAAATTGTAAACAATCCATCCATTTACTTTTAGAGCATAGCAATTTTCAGCAGTCGTGTAATTTTTTTATTGATAAAGATAAATTGATAAATTAAGACATACTGTCTAAAAAGAAAATACAGCAGAAATATTAACAAAGTTATTGAAAAAACTACAATCTATTATTTCTAATAGATTTCGAGATATTGATTTTTGAATTCAGAGTTCTAATAGCGCGACCACTATCGAACACCCACTCAATTCCACTTATTTTTGCCAAAAATGCAAGTGTTTCTAGCTTGCACTTAAAAAAATTCAAGCTATAGGGAAAATTACAACGACTCGTTAATAAATAAACAAATCAAGTGTCACGAAACGTAATTAAATCGTGAAGCTGAACGCATGACATACACCTTTCCCTAGAACTTTAAGCACTGACAGGTATTGATTGGGTCTTGGGTCGACCGGTCAACTGCGACCAATCTGCTATATCCCCTTCCACGTCTCTTAGCGATGTGCACAGTTTCATGGTTTATTTCATACGTTTGGCAACGTGTTTACGGTCCTCTCTTTGTTCAGTACATTATAAACGCATTGTATTCTTCTTACATACAGAAATCTCGACCCAAGACTAACTTTTGCCAGCCCTTAGTATAAAAGGTTCATGTACAGTGGGGGTACTTAAGAGGAGGCAAGGTTTCTCCCCTTATGTTATTCTGCCGCGCTTGAGTAAATCCCAAAATCCCAAAATAATATAATTTTTAGGGGAAGCTATGCAAATTTTAGCTGATTATCTTATGGGTATATTCAACGATGAAGGTAGAGGAGCTATTAGGAATAAAAGCTACGATGAGCAAAAAAGGGTAATCAGACATTTTATTATTTTAAATTTGTGAATTAGTTCAAATGTACCACAGTTTTACCATTATTACAAGATTGTTGATACACCGCTTATACAGGGTGCTCCCTAATGGCAATATAATATTTAATGGGGTTATTCTTGGACCTATTGTATTAAAAAAGTCATATGAATGAACTTTTTTTCGGTATAACTCTAATACTATTAATTATCTTAATGAAATTTGATACACGTCTTCTGCGCATAAAAATGAATTTGCTGGTGTACAAAGGAAATTGTATCTTTTAATTTCCATCCTGCCAATGCAGAAACGATTTACACACAACAGTTATCGCGTCAGATTTTCGGCGATTTGACTCTGAAGTAAAATAATTTTAATTTTTATAAACAAAAACCATGCATCGGACGAAAAAACTCAAGAGATGAAAATTGTTTAGAAATGAATGAAGATTTTGAAAATAATTTTTATTTTTAGAGAAGTCAGTGGCGTACCATTTTTTCTAGCCGCTAGTTGAAATAAATAAAATTGTTTGTACATCAAAAAAGGTATTTTGGTACATAGAAGGCGTGTATCAAGATTCATAAAGATATCTGAAATAACGTCAGAATTATTATGGAAAAACCTTGTTATTTTACAAAATGTTGCTCAAAAGTGTCTCAAAAGTTAAGATGCGTAAGACATACATTAATATTGATTTTTTTTCTTAGAATAGGTACAAGAATCATCTTAAATATTAGTATGTCATTGTAAAAAAAATGATTCCTAACAATCTTACTAATATTTTAGACTGTATCTATACAGGTTCTTGTATACGAATCTTATAGAAAATACGGCACTTTGACCACCGGCCAGATAGAAAGGTTAAGATTAAAGCACAGATTACGAGTGGTACAAGATTTAGAAGACACTTGTGAAAGAAATGTGATAAGATGCGTTATAGGTGACGGTTACTTCACACAGCCAGAACTACAGGTAAAGAATAATATCTTCCCCTTACGTCTCAAGTGCTCTACGGTGGAGCCACGACTCGTTCTGCGGCCAACGCATAAAACACTCATTTCCTTTAATTCGGCCAACGAAGGCATATCTAAGACGGTGTGGAACTCAAAGCGCCAGTGTTGCTATATTAAAATGTCTAATATCGGTAATACGTTTGACGAAAATAGCTTGAAAAATCCGCGTTTATGTATTGAAAATTTATTCGTGTTAAACATATAGAATAAACAACAAAAATAAAAATTCTTTTATAGGTACTGAATATTTCGTATTATCGAAAAAAGTCATTTAGTTGACTTGGAAATGACGATTATTGACATTTACCATAATATTTTACATATGAAATAACAGCGATATTCTTTTCCAAGCCAATTCGACGCCGTTCTTTTAACGTACTCTACCAAAAATCCGTAAATCTACGGATTAATCCGTAGTTCGGGCAACACTGTCTCCGGCAACCACCCACTCTCGACTGAAAGCAGAAATACGGTACAGTATTCTTTATCCGCTGCGCTGTAAACGACTATCAGCGCGCAGCAACGCGACGCAGAGCTAAACTAAATTTCGGACACCCTGACGGTAACATCAGTTACATCTCGGACCTCTTTTGTGTCGCGACATCGCCCATAAAGTTGCGCATCTTCTTATTTCACAGTGGTATATTGAACAGTCCTTTAGAATATATATAGTCCTTGGTGTACGCCAACGTTTTATTAATTTCCTTTTTTGTTAAAAAGCGACTAATTTGAGGTGATTTTTTAAAGGATTTGCTGGGTTTGGTTAGGGAAGAAACTATAAGGCAGAAAAAACACATTTCAGATAAACACGACCCTTCTTTGCAACCCTATGAAGTTTATAAAGTGGATTTCGATTATTTTAAAATACTTTTCGTGGCGTTGTCGCCATGGGGTAAAGGAGAGACCGCAGAGTCTTTAGCTGCTAGAATATTTAACGTAAGTAGAAGAGCCGCTTATAGGAATGGTCATATTTGTAAAAGAAAAATTTTGTCCTAATTAAAATACGTCCTGAATCGATGCATAACTCGCTATAACAAAAAAATAAACTAGCGCTTTAATGGATTTTTTTCCAGCTTATGGATTGCAACAGGGATGGCTACCTCAATTTCAGAGAACTAGCGGCCTCTCTAGGCCTCACCTCCACATCTGAACCCGCTCAAAGACTGAAACTGCTCTACACGATCCACCTACCGCCTCTACTCAACACCAGCGACATAGAGTCGCCTATCAAACACGAGTCCGGCGCGGAAATAGCCTCGGAAGCCACTGATTTCTTCAACGACGTAGAAAAGAGCGTGGAATCGTTCAATTTGATTGATGACAAGTCACCCTCGTCGCCTGAAGCCTCAGCTTTTGGATGGCAGTAAGTTTATTGATTTTATTTCCTACTGAATTAATATAAGCTTATATCGTTTTGGTTACGCCCTAACCATAAAATAGAGTCATAAATCCCTTGGAACAATATTAACGGGAATTAAGATTCCATAATTCCCTCTACCTTTTATAGGAAACAACCATGAAATACAATAGATTTTGCATCTAACTACTCTAATATATCCAAGGACCTAGCTCTAAAACGGCAAAAGAACTGCTAATGCTTAGCAGGAATAAATTGCGGATTACAACAGGCCTCTTGACAGGACACATGGCTGTCAAATGTTACCTGAACAAGCTCAACCTGTATCAAGGAAGTTTTTGCTGCAGACTCTGCGATAAAGATCCTGAAACAGCGGAGCACATAATATGTCACTGCGAGGCTCTGGATCGCAAGCGACACTTTTTATTTGGGAAAGCTAGGCTAGAACCGGAGGAACTATGCCCCCATCCTATCAAGGACCTGCATAAGTTAGTGCAGGGCACAGGGATAGGAGAATGGGTGCAGATATAGAAAGGGGACAAACACAATAGGCCTCACAGGTCGCAGTGTTTCTGGCAGAGGACGGCCCCTTATTGTGAAAAAAAAACTACTCTAATAATATATTTACAACATTAATGTCACATATAATAAATTTGCAAGAGAACAGTTTCATAGACTATAATATTTTTCTGTGAAGGTATTTTTTATATTCCTTTTGGTAAATGGATTCACTTTTAGGTGGAAGTAACGTTTGTCGTGTTTCTTCAGCCTTTTTTAATAGAAACGTACTCAGACATGTGCCGAATTCGTGTGAAAGGTGTTTTTTTTTTGACAAAAAACTGAACTCGATTGACTACAACACCGTCAATTTATAAACAGGTCATTTAATACAATAGTAAACTTGCAACAAATAAAGTTCCTACCAACAGCGTTAATACAAATATACGGCAAGATTAATAAATGTCACATTTGTGTCGTTTTAAAATGGGACAAAATATACTAAATTCTGTAAGAAATAAAGATATTTATTTATATTTATATAAACTCCCGCCAATATATACAAGGAATGCAAAGCAAGAATATTGATATATAAAACAACCCCAGAGTTCCCAACTATGCTCCCAGCAAAGAAGTAGGACAGGTAGACGCAATATCCTCAAAGATGTTTACAGCAACACTAGAAGGAATCTTCCGCCAACTGGAACAACAAAGGATTAAAAATAAAAGGGGAATATCTCAACTATCTAAGATTCGCTGATGACATAGTCCTAATTGCCAATAGTCCTGAAGAACTACAAGCACAAATTAACGAACTAAACACAGCCAGCAAAAGTAGGTCTCAAAATTAATTTAGCAAAAACTAAAGTAATGTACAACGAACTGGTAGACAGAAAAGACATTCTAGTAAATAACACAACACTGGGAATAGTAGAAGAATATATACAGGGTGGTACATCGATAACGTTCCGCAAGGCATAACGGCTAGGGTATTTTTTTTTCAAAAAATCCAAAAACACGTCAATTTTGTTTGTGAGGGGGACAACTTTTGCCCCAAAAATGATTGCAAAATCTTCATCCCTCTAAGCGGGGGTGTCATCCCCAATTTTTTTTCAAATGGGAAGGGGGGTCAAGTGGTACCGCAATGAAAAGGGATTCTATTCTCTATACTTTCCCGCTTTGTTTTTGAAAATCGGTTGAGTCATTGAAAAAATATGAAGGATTGAAATTTGAAAAGTTTATTTAAACATTTATCAGAGTAAATGATAAGGATAAATTCCTTCGACCAATTTGATCGTTTTTTCTTATTATTTCTAGATGTTTACGCATTTTTTCACTTGCCACAAGGTTGAACGATCAGGTGCGGTAGTTGCTAGATAGCTATTCTGTGACTTTTGCGTTGAAGTTCTTCTCAACTTGCAGAAAAAGTGGAAATAATCAAACTTTATTTTAAAAATAAACTTTATTTTACTTTATTTTAAAACGTCTTCGTTGAGTACTTGTACCAACTGAATTTTGTACGGGTGGAACTTGTGTTTTTTTAATATCCTTTGGACGCTTGTACTATTCACGCCGGTCTTATTAGCTAATTTTCTTGTACTCAGCGTACTATCTATGGCAACTTAACCCAATACGAATACCTCCATAGCTTTATTTACTACAGGATTTTCCCTCTGCCTCTTTTTTATTCATAACGGAACCAGTTTCGCGAAATTTTGTTACTAACTCGCGAACAATTTTGCCATAAAGGTGTTTGTCAGGATGGCGTTCATTGATCATCTGAACAAACCGATTGCCACATTCATTATTTTTAAAATAAAGTTCGATTATTTCCACTTTTTCTGCAAGTGAGTACACCATAATTGTTAAAAAGTTTAACGATATTGAGAAGAACTTCAACGCATAAGTCAAAGAACAGCTATCTAGCAACTACCGCACCTGATCGTTCAACCTTGAAAAAGTGAAAAACTTGACCAAGTGAAAAAATGCGTAAACATCTAGAAATAATAAGAAAAAACAGCAAATTGGTCGAAGGAATTTATACTTATCAATTACTCTGATAAATGTTTAAATAAACTTTTTAAATTTCAATCCTTCATAATTTCTCAATGACTCGACCGATTTTCAAAAACGAAACGGGAAAGTATAAAGAATAGAAAGCCCTTTTCATTGCGGTACCACTTGACTCCCCTTCTCATTTAAAAAAAATTGGGGGATGACACCCCCGCTTAGAGGGTTGAAGATTTTACAATCATTTTTGAGGCAAAAGTTGTCCCCCTCACAAACAAAATTGACGTGTTTTTGAATTTTCTGAAAAAAATATTACCTTGGCCGTTATGCCTTGCGCAACGTTTTCGATGGGCCACCCTGTATATTTGGGGCAACTAATACACAGCTCGGGATCTCTATTACCAGAAATAATAGAACAAAATTAAGTTAGCATGGAGTACTTATGGAAGAAACTTAGTCATATTAAAATCTAGAATGCCACTTTATCTAAAGGAGAAAACATTCGACCAATGTGTACTACCAGTCATGACCTATGCATGCGAAACCTGGACACTTAAAATGGACATTATAAAGAAACTGCAGGTTGCACAACGCTCAATGAAACGAAATATGCTGGGAATACCCAAGAGAAACCGTAAAAGAATAGAGTGGATACGACAAAAGACCCAAGTAATAGATGGCCTTCACTCAATCAAATCCAAGAATCAGATCCCTCAAGTGGCAATGGGCAGAACACTTGGCCAGAAGGTCGGACAACAGATGGACCACAAAAATTACAGCATGGTATCCACGAGGAATCAAGAGACTTAGAGGAAGACCAAGTCTGAGATGGGACCATGATATTAGGAAATTAGCTGGGATAACTTGAGCCCGCATAGCCAACAACATATACATATACTAAAATATACTCAGGGTTCCCTATTTAACCCCGTGTGCAGTTTCTGTGACGTAAGAGAAAGACCACATAACCCAGCTCCATATTAGTACTGCATAAGTCTATTTCACCCGGATATCGATTGAACTGCGATTGCGCCAAACTCCGATTGATTGTTGTTTTAGTTCTGTTTGGATTATTTTTTATTTGTGGGCGTAAAAGAGTGATTTTGTTTAGTTTATTGTTTCCAATTATTTTTTGATATTTTTTCAACTCCATGATAATGTGTTATAAATAATAAAAATATAAATAAAATTGAAGGTTAGGTGAAATGTCAGTCAACCACTTCCCGTTAAAAACACCGACCAATGAAAACTTCTTCAGGTAAGGGATGCACAATTAAATGAATATCCGGGTGAAATAGACTTAGGCAGAACTCCGTATTTCTCTTTCGCTGTTTGGGCTTCACTTTTTGGAGATTAGCCTGAGTATATTTTAGTTACAATGGGCTTAGCTACAAAGACTGTATCTAAATATATGAGGAAGGATTATAATTGGAAATGGTTGAATAACCTGAAAATGATGATGATGATTTATTTATCTAAAGAGACCGACCAGCGAGCTCCCACCTCAAGGAAGGCAATGGCAAACCACCTTGAATATATTTCCCTCGTACAGCTTCTCAAATAGTGCCGTTGGGATTCGGCGATAAGCTGTAGGTCCCGTGTAGTTGTGAAACACTGATGACACACATCGCAAGTACGTGCGTGAAATAGCTTACGCTCTGTATAGAATATGGCACTGTGAGAAGAAAAAGCTGCTTCCCATCTTTTTTCCCTCAATATTAAGGGGACGTTCTATTGTTTGTCTCCTTTTCAAAATATGAGTAGATTTTTGGGGTAATTGTTATGTGTTATGTGGCTATCGGTCTGTTCCACTGCGACTTTTTCAGATCTATTGTGGTGCTCTTCTGATCTCTAGGTTACATTCTCCAGTCCTATCTTTTTCAAAAAGTCTAGCAACTTGGAGACTGAACTCCATATAACTGTTTGTCAATGTTCTAGTACCAAGAACCTCATATTTGTCAGGCTGTCACACTGACATAAAATGTATTATGTCGATTCTTGCACATTGCTTCGTACGTCAATTCCATCAGCTTTAGATGCTTATTCAGCTTACAATGCCCTGTTAGTTAACCTACTACACCTTTGACTCTCTGTCTGTCTTTACTTATGACATTTTGCAACGCATCAGAAGGCCTGTGAATGGCATTAACGGGCCATGTTTGGTCATTTCTATCTAAGGAGAAATGCAATATCTTATTTTAAGTATAATTAATGGAATAACAGTAGATTTTAGATATTTTTATTCATTCATATTAATATAAAACTCCGTTAGGATTCCAGTCAGGTGCGGGTATTTTCCCTATACAACTTTTTCTCATAGACTTCGCCGATGCTTTTTTCACTTCTGCTTTTCCTTTTGATGCTTTACATTTAGCTTTTCCTTCTATTAGGGGAGGTAGTTCACCCTTAAGTTGTATCTGTAAACATTACACTAGTTATAAATCTCGAAAGAGGGATTATATGAAACCTGTCTATCTATTAAATCTCAAATCAACCTGCAAAGAAACAAACGGTTTCAACGGATGTTTTTTGTTTGTGTTTTGCTTGTATATGTTGGGTCAGAACTTTGGAATAAAAATATTAAGGAAGGAGTATAAGGATATCCACGGTGGGAATTTTTGACAGTTCTGTTTGACAATTCATTTGACACATTTGAAATTGATTTGAAATTTTGTGGATTTCTTAATTTTTACTGACCTTATTTTATATTATTTATTATTTATTCTACAATTGGTTTTGTTTAGTGAGTAAAGGTACATTCAGGCTGAGAGCGTCGAGCGTCGCGTCGCGTTGTGGAATGCAAAATTGCCACAATATAGAAACAGAAATCTGTATGATCGGCTACTTGAAGAAATAGTTACAATTTTAGGTATTTCTAGTAAGTATTTTTTCACAGTATGGGTAAATATATGAGAGCTTTCGCTGGACGCAACGCTCGACGCTCTCAGCCTGAATGTACCTTAAGTTTAAAAAGATATTGTGTCAGAACTTAAATCAACAGTGACATTATTGATTCCAGAAAAACGCTGCAAAATAATAGGGGTGTCCCAGAAATAAGTGCAAGTTATTTATTTATCGTATGGCTATACATAAGTGCAAGTATTTTAACTGGTAGTATAGTTTGACCCTTAATAATGATGTTTTTTGCAACAAAAAAATGTTGTAATGTTTATATTTTTCTTTCTGACACTTTCCGGAAAATATTGAAAAACTTTTGAGTGTCGCTTGTTCAGTTTCCGGAAATTTGTTTATAGTGCTTCGGGAGAATGCAATGTTGCCACCTCCTACGTTATTCAAATTCTGTACGTTTATAAGTGATAAGTTGACATTTTTGAATTTCTACAAAAAATACTTTTAGATTTTTAGTGAAAGTATAGTGTAACGCATACTATACAGGGTGTCCGGAAATTAATGTAACAAAATTTGGTCATAGATTCTTAAAAAAAATAGGTGACCCGTATTTTTTATTTTTGGCCAGTGGCCCCTCTTTTCGGATTTACAGCCCCCTAAATTTTGCCCCTAAAAAGAGTTTTTTTAAATACCTCAGCGCCCTGTTGGACGAAAATCACTAAATTTGGTACACGTTGTTTTACCATAAAATGACATTTTTGATGCTATTAACTTTTTTTTATTTTCATCAGTGGCGTCCCTACGGTAATATACTAAATATTATTGAGAAAAAAATGGTACGCCACTGTTTTTTTAAATAAAAATTATTTTTAAAATCCACATTAAATTTGGAACAGATTTGATCTCTTCACTTTTTTTTTGGTACGACGCACAGTTTTCGCGTAAAAAAATAAAAACCATTTTCATACATGACCAAATCGCTAAAATTTTAATGTAAATTTTGATAGCAAAATTTAAAAAACGGCAATTTAGGTTTATGGACATTTTGGTTCGCACTTAGGTAATAAAAACAAGATTTTGGAAAATAAAAAATCATTTTAAACTTGAGTTTGCCGTTTTAAAAATTATGCCATTGAAATTTACGGTAAAATTTTAGCGATTTAGTCATGTATGAAAATGGTTTTTATTTTTTTACGCAAAAACGGTGCGCCGTACCAAAAAAATAGTCAAGAGATCAAATTTGTTCCAAATTTAATGTAGATTTTAAAAATAATTTTTATTTAAAAAAAAACCGTGGCGATGGCGTTTGCGAACTTTGATGATGCTAACATGGTTAGCGAAACGCGCGTCCAGTGTAAAAGTAAAAGTGTTTTGGTGTATTGTGGTGATTTATGCCCACTTGCACCATTTGTATAAACTTTGTTTAAAGGCTAAACAGTGATTAACTATACATATTTTATTATAGTTAATCACTGTTTAGCCTTTAAACAAAGTTTATACAAACGGTGCAAGTGGGCATTAGTGTTTTTATTTTGCTGTGTAACACCAAAGGTTCCAACTCTCAACTGTAATAAAGTTAATAGCAGCAAAAAATTTCATTTTATGGTAAAACAACGTGTACCAAATTTAGTGATTTTCGTCCAACAGGGCCCTGAAATATTAAAAAAAAAACTATTTATAGGGGCGCAATTCGGGGGGCTGTAAATCCGAAAAGGGGGGCCACTCGCCAAAAATAAAAAATACGGGTCACCTATTTTTCTAGAATAGTATTCTAGAATCTATGACCAAATTTTGTTGCATTAATTTCCGGACACCCTGTATTTTTAATATTTTTTTACAGTTTAGTAAACTGAAATAATTAACAATTATAGCAGCTTTTCAACAGTTCAGAATCAGCGCCCTCTGTTAGATGTAAATAGTCAAAGTTTCACCTACATTTAAACAGATCATATGGCATTTTGAGGATATTCAATTATTCATTTAAGATTTTACTCAAAACAATAAACCTCTGACAAAACTAAAAAGAATAGGCTAATATAAGATAAGCCTGTAAAAATAATTTTATTATTGAAATAGAAATATTAATAATTTTGGTGTTTATTTACAAAAACAAGAGTGTGAAATAAAAAAACAGAGGAGTTTAAATCTTCAAAAAAATAATCCTAAATAAGATAGACGGAATATGAATGTATTTTGTGCCAAATACACGTGTAAGTGTGGTGCTGGCAAGAATCGCATTGAAAAGAAATGAAAAATTGAGTACTCTACATTACATTAGAACGGTACTGATAAACCGGAATTTAAGTCGGCTATATTAATCCCCCATCGGTATCCACCTAAGTTTGTTGTTATGCTCCTTCCTTAATATTTTTATTCGAAGGATGTCTTTTGTACAGGCACAATAACAAACCTTACCTCGTATTTTGACATAGGAGGACATCTGGCCAACCATTTCGGATGGTTTCTTTTTTGACATTCGCGCGCTAGCGCATCCGATACGCATCTGTCGGGTTTGGAGGTTTGCATGCCGGCGAAACATGTTTTTGAGAAGTTGGGTGGGGCCAGCGCTTTGTTCTTTGACACGTTGCAAGTCAGTTCCGGTATTTTGGGTTTCCAAACTTCGAAAATTGACGGTCCACAAGATTTCTGAACTACGTATCTAAACATATAAATAAATAATATTTTCTTGCCTTTAGCCTGTGTATTTTTTATAATTTCAACAAATCGAATCAGAAATAGGAATAGGTGTAGAGTGGACCACAAAAATTACAGCATGGTACCCATGAGGAACTAAGAGACCTAGAAGAAACCCAAACCTAAGATGGGACCATGCTATTAAGAAATTTACAGGGATAACTTGGACTCCCATAGCCAACAATAGATAATAATGGGCCCAGTTACAAGGAGATTATCTAAATATATAAGGGATGCTACACCATAATTGGAAATGGTTAAATAAAAAAAAATTAAAGCTGTTAAAAGCAAATATTTATGTTTAAGTAAAATCAAACTTACTTTGTGCTTTCTTTTTCGGGACATTCTTCGCATCCGCCATACCAATTCTTGTTGATAAAGCTCGAAAAATACCGTCTTTGTAAACGTTTAAGCATTTTTTTCTTATAATTTACAGCGAATTTTGAAATGGAATGAAAGATGAAATGATCGGAAATAAAACTGTCACATGTTTTCAAAATTTGATTTTACTGAAATACCTCCATAGAAACAATTAAACAATCAGGTGTCACAGTCATTGTTCGGCTCAGGTATCATAAATCGCTCTGTGGTGCTTGGACTGCCGGGCAGGTATCTTTTGTTGACCGCGTGCGCCATAGGATATATCTGTGAATACAGGGGAAAAACATAAGAACTTTTTTTTATTATATTTAAAAAATTAAAAAAAATATCATTGAATAAAACGATTAAGGAAGATGCATATCAACAAAGTTAGTAGAGCCCGATAGGGGATTAAAATGGCTGATTTAAATTCCAAATAACCAGTATCGTTCTAATTTTATTTAAAACATGTAAAAATATAATATACTGATCTGGTCATTGAAACTGCGTGCTCTGGATTTTAACGTGTAAGACAGTGATGACAGGTTAGTGAAAAATAAAATGTACTAGTATTTAAAGAGACAAAAGTGGGGTTTATACATTTTTTCTATGCGGTATTGCCGGATTTTGCAAAAAAAGATATTAAAAAAACGATTTAGGTATCTTTTAACCGGCCAGGAAAAGACACAAAAAACATTAGATGATCAAATCTATTCTTCTAAGGTTTTTTGATTAAAAATTAGTGTTTTTAACACAACCATGGCGCCCTAGATTAAAACTTAAAATACGATTTTTTTAAAGCGAAAATGTCAAAAGTTAACATGATATGTCATTCTATTCAGAGTGTCATTTTCTATCGAATAAAGTAAAAATATACCGAGGGTGCCATTTAAAAATCAAAAGTTGTAGTCATTACCGGTGCAACAGGAAGTTACCAAAAACAATTGAATGCGTCAATCAATCCTAACACTATGTTTTTTCTTATTTGGAAAAATAAAAAGTTATAGGGATGAGCCACTTTTGAGACGCACTTGGTATATCTAACTTTTTTTTATTTATTAGACCAAAAACGAGATTTGACGTCTCTTGTTACGTGGACAGACTATATCATTACCTTGTTGGCGAATTCGAATGTAAGCTTGTGACCCATACACTTTTCCGCATTACCGTGCTTCATAAAACACTTTTGAAACCTCCTGTATTCGCAGACGGACATCTTCAGTCTATCGACAATTCCCTGTCCTACGTATGGTTCGCAGATGTGTTCGCAACATCGAGACTGAATAATTCTAAGAAAAAATAATAACTACGGTTAATGGCAGATATCTTTTGCTAGAAATATGAAACGATCAACAATGACTTTATGAAATAGTTAGCGATACTATGCTATTGATAATGATGCTAAAACAAATTATTGGTCGAAAATTTTTAGCAAATTATGTCAATTCATTGGCGTCGATTTTTTTCTGACTTTTCATTACGTTCTTGAAAATTTACAAGTGTTAAATTTGCTAAATCGACGCAATGTTTAATTAATTAAATACTTAATTAGTTAAATTACTATTTTTAAATACAACTCTAGTGTTCAACAGAGAAAAGAATTATTTACATAATCCAGTGACTCAAGAATATAAGGACATGTAACGCTCATATACGGACTGCAGCAGAATTTGTGACATTAGACGCCATTTTTTTGATGGCGACGAATAAGTCATCAGCTGGTCATCAGCGACAATTTTAGCGATTTTTAATAGTTTGTGTATAGTGAACTTTGTATAAACTTTATTACAATGGCGATTAGTTACGTTTCATAGGTAAATAAACAGTCCCCTCCATCTTTTTAGCGTTTTCTTAGTTTTCTTATTGAATTCGATAATTATTTTTCTGATATTATATGTACTTGATGTGTGCTATACGTCGATACTAATTTTGTACCTTTTGTTAACATTTTAATACGTTTTTTTTCGTAATTAATTAGTATGATACCACCGTAAACACCATAGGCTTAGTTAATACAATTATCAAAAAATATAAATATTTCTTCAAACAGCTAAGTTAAGAAGAATATGTGCCACGGCACTGTTTGGTGACATCGTACAATTTTCTCTCGGGTGTTATTTGTCCTTGAATTCTTTAGTCATTGACATAATCACAATTAATTTTATCATTTATTTCTCATCTCGTTTTGATTAGTCTCGCATTATTATGAAAAACGAATTTAATATCGTCAAAAAATTAATCGTCATATTTAATTTTTGGTTTGTTTTGACGCTAGTGATACCAACCGATAAATAATTTCTTAAATTTATTACCAACCAAAGGAGCGAACGCAGAATAGACAACTGTTTCATTCATCGTTGATCGCTCCGTACTCCGTATATCTAACTCTACCTTGGTGGTGGCTGATTTGGACATGCTTCGCTTATTTTCTCCCAAGGCAAACAAGCTCTGGCTGGCAAATTGGGAATACCTCCCCTGCAATCTGGAACACACGGTATCGATTCTTTTCCTGTTTTTGTTCTGTCGGGTGGTGGACTTTTTATGGGACAGTCTTCGGAACCGATAACTCTGCAGTTGTCTTTACTGAAATTTCTAAAAGAAAAATAAATTCATGCGATTGTTATTCGAGGTACACGACAACATTCAAGTCAAGTCTGTCCTCGGCTTGAGATTCAGACGATTTCATTTGGAAAAACCTACCTGGAATGGTTCATCGATTCCTTTTCCAAAGTCCCTCCGCTGATAGCTCCATGTCTCAAGAACTGGGGCCTGGCCAACATGTTTCTGATGGCTGCCAACATTGTGCAAGCTGTTCGAGAATCGAAAGATGTGCTTGGCCAGAATGCCGATGGTGTTTTCGCGGATGAGAATTTTGTAGTTGGGTAAAGGGGTATGCATCGCTGAAATTTTGATGAATGTGATGATCAGTCTGGCATCTTTGTGCTCTCTACTTATGTCAAAACGTCTTTCTATTGTTGAGATTTGATTTTTTTACCTACGTACCTCTATCTACCTTAATTAATCTATTTAATTCTTTGTTCTCAGAAAAACCTACGATTCTCAATCTTCCATGGACAACTCAATAACGAGTCAATCGAGTGGTATCGACCAGGGTGGCACTTGGGAATCGAAAAGTCTATCTAATCTCCGCAATTTGGTTCAATTAAAGGATAGCAAAGCCAACTTGAAGTGCCTCCCCAGGATGAACCAGCGTCAATTTACTACCTTATGGAAAACTGTTTACGACATATTCCAAACTGAACCAGAAGATGGCGTAAGTATACTAGTTATACAGGGTGTCCCAGAAATGAGTGCAAATATTTTAACTGGTAGTATATTATATCGGCCCAAGAGAAACACGTCTAAGAGGTTTTTTGTGAAAAAATAAATTGATGAAAATTTTATATTTTTCTTGACATTTTCCGCGAAATTTTAAAAAACTTTTTAGTGCCACTTGTTTATTCACTTGAGGCGTCGAATAAGCTGAAAAACCTCTTGAAAAAACCTTAATAGCATAAACCTCGAAACGTTGCCATTATTTTTTTTAATTTTCAAAGTTAAATAACTCGGTTATTTTCAATTTATTTTAAAAATGGTAAAGAGAATAGATGTTTCTTTTGACCAGATCTAACCACTCCTTAAATTGTCTGCACTTATTTCTGGGCCACCCTGTATAGAAAATGAACATATTTAAAAGTTTGTTAGAAGCTTTGGTTAGAAGGTAAGGGGATGATATACAGAGTTAGAGCCCCCACAGACGCCCAGTTTTATAAAACTATATAGCTATAGCACAGGCTAGTTTGCGCAGTTTAATTTATACTACTGCCTGTCACACACTTACACGCAGTTTCCTAGCGCAAGTTTCTTTTGTGTACAAAGTGTCCCATTTTTTGTGCATTATGATTTTACGTTGGCTTATGTTAAAAATTTAAATAATACATGTTTTACCTTATTTTTGAAAATAAGTGTACACTATATCATATTTTAGAAAGCTCACGACTAGGCAAATAAAATAAAAAACAATATACAAGGTGGTATTGTATACAAGGTATACAATATTAGGCTGCTGGATTCTGAGTAACTCATTTTTCACCTTTTCGATAAGTTATAAGATAACCAAGAACAAAATTAAACACTAATTCACCACAATACACCAAAACACTTTTACTTTTGCACTGGATGCGCGTTTCGCTAACCATCTTAGCATCATCAATAACATTGTTAGTGAAACGCGCGTCCAGTGCACAATTAAGTGTTTTGGTGCATTGTGTCGCATTAGTGTGTCGAACAAAACTAAGCGTCTGGGGGGGGGGGTCTTTACAGTTTGGAATAAACGTCCAAAAATGTTTTTTAGGTTACCTACCATGCTCTTGCTGATGTTGGTACGTTACTTTTGGAACTGGGAGACGTAGGTAAGCAGTTCTTCATTAACAGAGATGAGTCTGAAGATAGCCTAGCTGCAGCAGCTGTGGTTGCTTGCGAGCAGAACCTCGCAGCCGGCATTGTAGAGGTAAATAAAATCCATTATTAAAGTTAAAAACACTTGTTTTAAACTCTGTTTTGAGCAGCATAGTCTAGATGACATTCAACATTAAGTAGGTTGGGTAAGAATAAGGCAGTAAAACTTATTTCGATTTTTAGAGAACTTAATGGTACTGATCCGCGATGTACACAGAATAATATATTTAAGTAAATAAGTACCATGTATTTTTTAGTTCTGTTAGGAGAGTTACAGCACAGATTAGGTATCATATAAGATACAGATAAAAATCTTGTCCCTAATTCGTGGTACGAAAGTTGTTTTTTATGACGATGTGCAAACGAGTCAAATTTCCTGTGCGCAAAAATAAACTCGCGTAAAATAACAATAAACAGCGTAATAGAGAGATATCGCTAAACCGAATACCGCGCATGGACGTTAATAAGGCCAGGTGTTATTTCCTTTACGTGAGGTGGTATTAACTCTCTTCATTTATAGTTTATAGTTATCGGATCGGAAAGAATTCTGATCGCGTCGCGTCCGCTATTTAAACTTAACCTGACTTTGAATTTAAAACTTTGAAATTGTTTTGTTTACTAGGTATTTGGGCCATATTTATTTAATTAAAACTAATCCCAGCTACTTAAATATCAAATTACCTAATAAAACTAAAGCAATAATTCAAAACAATTCAAACATAACCTAAAATAAAAGATCTCGCCGGCCGGCTCCGGTTGTCAAATACCCGCACATGCCCATTTAAGCAATTTCTAACCTTATCAGAGGTTATTTAGAAAGAGCGCTTGGTGTAATTGATCCGCAAATTACGTCAGGCGGTAACGTTATTAGCGGGTGTTGCGTTGACTCGCGCATATCGTAACCATGATAAGGTACGCGTAAATACTGGATGACGCTATTCGGTTTTCCAATATCTCTCTAATAACTGTGCCGGTCAGGCGCTGTGCACAATTTTAGAGGCCATAAGTGGGCGTGCTATGTGCGCAAACTAGTCACCTAACTAGTGCCCGATTTCGAAAATTGGAACAACGAAAAACAAAGATTATAATCTGTCGTTACAGGTACTCTTTTTCTGTTATAAGTTGAAAGATTTTTTCAAAAGTAGCAGTAAATGAGACATAATCTTTATAAAAATTAAAAAAGAATTAAGAAGAAAAACAATAAAAAATAATAAAATCACGCAACTATTTTACCGATAACGACTGCACTGTTCTTCAAGCTCGGTTTACTAAAAACCAAACCAAACCTAACCGATCTTTCTCGTAAAAAAATAGACGATGCATCCCGTCAATAAAAATTCGACAAATCTGCAAGTAGCAAATATAATGTGTTGACGGAGTGTGTTTTGCACATACTCGTCAGATTCACGTGTACTCTCTGCCGCATGTACTGATCATACTCTAATATTGTGTCTGAATTCTTGAAATTCCTTTCATAGACACAGATCCAGTGTCTATGAAAGTTTACTTTGTTTTTTATTCCTTTTGTAATAGACTTTAAATAGTTGAAGAAATAATTTTTGTTATTTTTTTTATTAGAAAAGAACAACTACACACCAATCATGTTTAAAACAGAGTTTTAAAATGTATTGAATTAAGTTAAAAAATCAAACACGTTTAATATTGTTATTTTATTTATTAGTCTCCAGATAGAAATGGTAATCCGTCAACACCTAAAATGGAAATAGAATGGTATATCACCGTAGAACAGTTTTTAGCTTCAATTTTAAACGCCCAACCATTGGTAGACTTTTTCTCGAAAAGGAGTTCAATCAGTGACAACATCAAATTGCTCAAAGGCAAACAATTTAACAGGTACAGTTCCATAGAAGAGACACCGGCTGTGGTCAAAATGTAGTCTTTTTCTCTTTACAGTCTGTTAAATAATAGACTATAATTATTAATTAAATGATTAAAATGCTTTCATGAAATTTTAAAACACTTTGAATCTAATTTTCTTTCCTATTTTTATACCAAGTCGAAAATATAAAATATTACTTCAATTTGGAGTGGCAGCTTACCCCGGCCCATTTTTTACATGTAAAAATTAGTTTTTTACGTATAAAAAATAAATTTTGATCTAGTCATATTATTTTTTTGGATATTGCAATATAGCAAAAAAGCTTTATTCAGAAGTTTTCAAATTCCATGAAACCATTCTAAATAATTACCTAGTTTCTACGTATAACACCTTAGAGGGTGTTTACAAAAAGCGAATTTTACTCAATACCTTTTTTTATTTTTAAATATTAATTATATAAGTCTATACGAATTTTAATATGTTGTAAAGCTTCTCTCTTTTTATATTTATATAAATTCAGTCAAAACACTGATGCAATACTTAAGAGGTTATACATAATGTACTATAATTATTTTAAATTTGAGCTATATATTAATAATGTACATGCTAAATATTTTTATATATATTTTGTTTTTTTTTAAATATAGATTATATGTATATGTATATAACAATCTAGTGCCATTTAAATATATTTTTGTTAAATGTTGTTATAGCCTTAATATAATAGCCACTATTAAAGCATGCTTGCGTTTTATTTATTAACCACCCTGTAAAGCGATCAACTCAGTAACCGTCAAATCGAAGTCAAAGAATGTCTAGAGATTCTAGAGAAGCTGAACAAATTAGGGCAAAGAAAATAACGCTTTGATCTAGCTATAGAATGAGTGAACATTCCTCTAACTGGACCAGAACCGTTCTGTGTGTCCCAAGTGGAAACCAACTGAAAGCGAAACTCGAGAACCTAGATGACACTCGAAGAAACTTATAAGACTTATTACGACCGAGAAAACTAAAATATTTTCCCTGATTTTAGTAACAATCATCTTCGGATTGTCTCCGAGTTTTTAACAGGACACTTGCTCCTCAGTGAACACCTCAGTAGATCAGAATCACTGTCTGCGCCGAGACGACAACCATTCGGGCCATAAACTTTATTGGTACGACTGATATCGGAGATGGAGAACTAGCCTCTGTGAAGCCGTTTCTGATACTGGCCTTTAAAGTATGATTAATTATAAGTCAAGGGGGACGCAATAGATCTATAAGGTCGCGGTGATTAACTTTTCCCCTCCCATACAATCTACATCTACCACCTTGTATATTTTTAAGTGAGTTTGGGTACAGTAGTGTGTCAAAGGAGTCGAGGAAGATTTCGACAGAAGACATCTAATAGATGACAGAAAATTAGAGTTATAGAGGTGGAGATAATGAAGTTCTACGACTGCGCATTCAAAAAAGTCCTTATGCCATGGTGGCCACAAAATTCGCGCTTATGCTACAGGAATCATGAATCAGTAGGTAATAATAAGAGCTGATAACTTCTAATTTGTTGGGTGTAGTTACGTCGTTTGTCTTATTGTTATTCTGAATTTCTTGGTTTTTCGAGATTAGTTTGGCTTCTCCCTATCTCTATATCTCTGCAGAAAATTTGTGAGTTAAAATGACAGACACAACTGTCAGTGGCATGTATCCTCTCCTTGGACAGACTATATATTACATAAATATGTAGTTAAATGAAAATCTGATTTAAAAAAAATAAATCTACCTTATTTTTTCCTTTTATTTAAAAAATACCATAACAGGAAATAGCTAGTTTAAAAATTAAATTTACAAAATTATGTACAAATTACATACTACAATATCTTACACAGATGTATAAAATAAAATAATATAAAAAATCTGAGAAAATTTGTACTACATCTAAAATCATACTTAATAAACACGAATTAATAATAATATTAAAATAAATAAAATAAAATTATTATACACAACTTTCAACTGATAATTCTTACACAAAAAAAATGTATAAATAAAAAAGAGTAAAAATAAAGTATAAAATTACATCAGAAGGAATGATAAAAAATGTACAATAAAAGAATAGGCCCTTGACTATTTTTTTAATCAAAATTTCTTCTAGTAAATTTGTTTGTCGTTATATCTACAGGGTATGCCAAATATTAAACTATTCCCTTTAATTTTTAGATATATAAAAAAATTACATTAGTTGGAAACTTTTTTGGCATACCCTGTATATAAAATATAAAAAGTAGCTCTCAATCAGGGTGGTACCAGTTTTTAGCAGTGTATAGAAAAATTTAAAAAAGTAGAAAGTATTCTAAGTTAACGTCTGCTTTTTGTTGCGAAGCCTAATCTCGACAAGGTCTACTTTGTTTACGGGGAATCCGAACCGAGGTCTTCGGCCATATCATTGCCAATGGTCTACTGACTTGGCGAGTGTCTAAATCGACTCTTATCTTAGATATCCAATCTCATCCGGCCTCGAACCGGCGCGGCGTGAATGAGCAGTGTGTGTCAATAGATTTTACACTCTTGCCATGGAACATCAGCACCACAAAGTTTCCAGGAAGTCATCCGTCCATTGACTCGTATCGCCTAACGTCGCTTAATTTCGGTAATCTACCGGGAACCGGTGTTTCGACGTAGCCCAGAAAAATTTAGTTCCTAACCCTAAAGTCAAGAATGATTAATTTTAAAAATACCACAGTGTTGAAATTTATCCACAAAAATTAAATTGAATGAATGCTTATATAGAAGAAATTGTAAAGTTTAACAACATTAAATAGGGACGTATTAGTTATTTTTAAAAATTTTATGGAAGAGACTCCACAACTCTAGCACAGCTGTATTTTTTTTAGTAAAGTTTTAAGATCCTGTATTTTTAAAACAAACCATTTTTGAATCAATGTTAAGGTGCTTTCACACCAGCTGCGCCGCTCCGCGCCACGCCGCGCAAAGCCTTTTTTTAGCATGTAGTTTTGAAGTGTATTTTTTTAGCGCACACAAAAGTATATGTTAAAAAAAGAATTGCGCGGCGCGGAGCGGCGTGGCCGCAGCCAGTGTGAACGCACCTTTAATATGAAATTTTCTTCTTAAAATAAGTTTTTCTATTAACTGTTAAAGTGGCATCACCCTATACAATAAAATGTTCATAAAATTGAATAATTTCCTTTCGAGATACACCCCCATCACTTGTTCACAATAAATAAATAAATAAAAATCGTTCATTAAAAAAAGTTATCACGAGACACTTCATGTTTTGATCATGTTCACACCACCGTCACTATGATCAGTCTTCACACCACATCACTAGGTTCATTGTTATCTTCCCTCTCCTTAAAAAAACCTTTTTCCGTCTTACACTCTCTTATAGTGACTGTTTTCAAATTCACTGTTACATCTGTGATGAACACTTGATCTGCCACTGGATTCCGTGACAGCCAATATTCCGATCCAGGGCTGGTGAGTTCGGCAAGCTCATCACTATTGTGACCGTTCGCTTGAACATTGGCCTTATCTTCTTTTTTGTCCGAATTTAACTGAAAAATAAAACTGTTAGTTTCAAGAATAATTATGATGTTATCAAATTAGAGATTAAATAGTTTATAAAAAAAAATTACTGTCATAGTCGCCTTTGAAATGAAAATCGATGATAATTTTGTTCAACAACTATATCACAGAATACCTTACTTATACAGAAGTGACAGTAAGCGCGTATACATAAGTTTATAATTATTGACAAACTTGTTTATAATAAACTACTAGGTAATCCTAAAGATAAAACACCTCCACTGGAAAGGTCGGGTATTTATGAAATTTCATGTAAGGATTGTAATCAGAAATATGTTGGGCAAAGTAGAAGATCAATATTAACTAGATTTAAAAAACATAGCTCATATAAGGAAATGGTAGACCAGATTAGTCTTGTGTTGCTCAACATATTGTTGATAAAGATCATTGTATAGATGTTAATAATTTAAAATTAATCAATCAGGTCTCAAATTACAGGCAATTAGATACATAATAGGTTTGTTCTCATAGCTGTAAGAAACATATTTCCAACAGATGCACAATAGGGTAAAACGCGTTCGCACAGAAAATTCTGATTGTTAGCTGACAGTCACACCCGTTCGCGGATTTTTTGCAAGTGTCCGGCGCATGCGTATTGCGACCCGACGTCATTAATTGGTAAACTTAACCTACAAAACGTGTGTTGTTTTTGTTTAGTGTTGTTTTCTTCAAAAGATAAAGAAAATAAATGACCGATTTTAAAGATTCCAAAGAATCTGAGGCGTCTGAATTTTCGGATACAGACACAGACCTAGAAGAGCTGATGGAGGAACGGGTCAGGCCGAAGAATCAAAATTACAAAACATTAAAACATTAAAAAGATCAAAACCAAAAACAATAAAAGATGTCTTTGGTTAATTCCCTGTTTGTTTTCTTCTTTATTCGGTATTACGTAGGAGTTAAAATTAGTGGTATTATTAGATCAAAAAAGAAGGGTAGGGGATTCGCTGTTAACACAGACAGTTTGAAATCGACAAGAAACTGCATTATTTGAGACCTGCGCATTAACACCGGTTTGGAAGAAGCCACAAACGTGTTGGGAACACGCTGTGAGAACAAACCTAATAAGAGCGTCAAAATAAATAAATGTAAAGATAATATGAACAGAGATAATGGTCCAATTCCTTCCAGTTGTATGTTCATATTGCTCTAATCTCTAGTCTCAAAAAGGTTGAAGGTGTTTTGGTGTAATGTGGTGAATTCGTGTCTTATTTTGCTGTGCTTTGATATTTGACTTACCTCAATTTTTTCAGGCCTTTTTTCTGTCTCGTTTGGAGATGCAGCCTCCCTAGTCGAACAATGAGGTAAAGCTGCATCCGTTATGGCTTGTCTCTTATCCATGGCTTGCCTTTTATCCTATAAAAATAAAAACTATGAAAGCTATGTTAACTTTAACACTTGAAATAAGTTATAACTCAAGATTAACGGATTAACTTGCCCTCACCCATACAAGCTAACATTAACACTCAATATTATACTAACCTCATTAGATATTGGGGCTGTCGCAGTGAGAACAGCGGGGCTCGAAGCAGAAGGAATGGCAGATGTAGGAGTCTCATCTTCGTGCTTCGACTGTCTCCCGTTAGGCCTTAAGGAAACCTTGGATATTTTAGCGGGAGGGGGGCTGCAACTTTTAGGGCTACTCGTGGTGATTGTCACTCCAATCTTACCACTCTCTTTCGATAGTACTTCCGCCTTGCGTTTAGTGCCTGTTGTCTCAATCCGTGATAGTAACGGTTTACGGTCATCGCTACTCGAGCTGTTCGAGTTCTCGTTTTCTGTTGTGTTAACCAGTGGCGTAGAGGGAGTTTCAAAGGTGTCTTCTAATCCTGTTTAAAAATATACAGGGTTGTTCACCACATACGACATGGAGTATTGTAGCTAAACGATTAGATTTTTAGAAATTGTAAGTTTTGGGTTTGTTGAAGGACTATTAGAGCTACAATTTAAAAATATTTTTACAAGATAGAGAGTGTCCCAAATAAATAAAAAATATCAAAGTTGTATTTTTTAAACGGAACACACTATATATTATTACATTTTTAGTTTCTACGATTAAAATAAAGGTAAATTTGATTAAGGTTTATTAAACGTAAGGCTTAAACCTTACCGTTTTTGAAATATTTTCAATTTTGTGAAATTGCAGTAAACATTTTAAGGCCTCATTTTTCCAAGGGTGTCAAAGTTTTTAATACTAAATATTTACTGAATTTTATTTATTGATCAATTATTGTGTTGCAATGATAAAAATAATACTACCTCATACAGAGTGTCTAAAAATTTATTTTAAATAATTTCTAGCTTTAAACGGCAATAACTTGTTTAATTTAAATGAAACACCCTGTATATTTTAGGAGAATCAGATGCAGAATTTAATTGTCTCTCAAATTGTATTATACCATTATTACCTATCCCTTCAAGTTTTCGTAGAAAATATTTTTTATAATATGCCCATGGAATATTAACATTTTAGATTGTTTTTAAAGAAACAAATGTACAAAATGTACAGGTGCTAAAAACAATTATATTACTAGCCCATTTGTATACAAAAAGAAAACTATTTAAATCTTTATAAAAAAGTATACCATTAATTAAATATACCACCATTATTTCCACCCAAATCTTAATTAATTACATACTTAATTGTGTTAGTTAAAATAATTATTCTAAACAAGTGTGGATTTGAATCAGAAATCAATTTAATAAGTAAGATATAAATGCATATAATAAGTTATGAAAATGAACGTCTCTGTTACAAGTTACAAATAATAAGCAGTCGTCAAAAAATGAAATAAAGTTTTTAATGTGTTACCATACTGTCTAATACAGACACAAAATTCAGTTTTTAGTATTTGGAGCAATTATTATTAATCTACGCAAACAGTCAATTAATGTAGTTTGAATACTGGAATCATATTAATTGGTCCTCTTTAACAAATATTTAAACAGTTATTTTTTTATTTTTAATGAAATAAACGAACTATATCGACAATATTAGTATCTGTACTCTTTAAAAATTTGTTACGTATTTAAAAATAATCTAAAATGTCAATATTCCATGGGTATATTGATAAATGAGGTCTAAATTATAAGAAAACGCATTTTCTACAAAAACTTGAAGAGATAGATAAAAAATGATATAATACAATTTGATAGACAGTTAAATTATGCATCTAATTCTCATACAATATACAGGGTGTTCCATTTAAATTAAGCAAGTTATTGCCGTTTAAAGCTAGTAATTATTTAAAATAAATTTTAAGACACTCTGTATAAGGTGGTATAATTTTTATTATTGCAACACAAAATTTAGTAAATAGAAATACTTCAGTACAATATTTGGTTTTAAAAACGTAAATACGCCTAGAGAAATGAAGCATTAAAATTTATACTGTATTTTGACAAAAACCTAAATATCTCAAAAACGGTAAGATTAAAATGCGGTAAACCTTAATCAAATTTACCTTTATAAATCGGAATAACGGTTCTTAAAATTTTAATCGTAGAAACTAAAAATGTAATAATATACAGGGTGTTCCATTTTAAAAAATACAACTTTGTTATTTTTTATTTATTTGGGACACTCTGTATCTCGTGAAAATATTTTTAAATTGTAGCTCTAATAGTGCTTCAACGAACCCAAAACTTACAATTTGCGAAAATCTAATTGTTTAGCTACAATACTCCCTGTCGTATGTGGTGAATAACCCTGTATATAAGGTCTTGCAAAATACACATAAAAATAAGAATTCTTTTTTATATCAATATACCGAGTGTGTCTCAAAAGTGGCTCAACCCTATAACTTTTTATTTTTTTTTTGATAACAAAACGAGATTTGGTTTGGTTAGGTTAGGTTAGGTTACTTTAAAAAATATTAACACATTTTTTAAGATATTTCAAGAACTTTCAGTCCAATTTGAATGAGATTTGGGGTGTCTATGTTTTGCTAATTTTTATGAAGATTATTGTCAAATATAATTTATGGTACTAATATAAAATTCCATATTTTTGCCAACTAAATTATTACAGCATAATAGATTTTATTCGCCTTCATAGCAAAAAACATTTTTTTTAAGTCACTTTGAAAAATATACTTTTTTCCTCAAAAAGTAAGCGCTGTGGCGTTTTTTTTTACAAAAGATAAAAAATGTAAATAATATAAGGACCATTTTACGAAAAAAGAATCGGTTGTAGGTTGAGTTTTGAGTTGGAAAATATTTATACTACAAGGGGTAGTTATACTACACTACTTATATAGGGGTGGGAGTAGTTTTCACCCTCCTCGTACTTTTTCTTGATTTTTGTGAAAGTCAAATCTTAAAGCACTTAGCAAAACATAAACACCCAAAATCTCATTCAAATCGGAATAACAGTTCTTAAAATATCCGAAAAAATGTGTTTATTTTTATTAAGTTTGGTGCCCTCTAACGGACAAACGAATCACTTTTGTATAGAGGTAAATTGTGTCCAATGAACTCATTTTGGTTCCAAAATTCATAGTACGCCCACGGAATATTGGGACACACTGTATTATTATTAGAAACTTTTACCCTCAAAATTTCATTTTTTGAATAGCTACTTGGAAACAAATTATAATAAAAAAAAGAACACTTTAAACCTCTGTAGCTACGAAACAAAGTAGAATCGGTGTATATTTTATGATATAAAAAATAAATATTCTTTTTACATAAGGAGGTCTCCCTACAGTGATGGCACATTGGAAACACCCTGTATAATCATAAACATACCTATTTTAATAATAATAGTAAGAGTATAATAAAACTGTACTGTTTCGAGGTTAGAATTAAAAAAAAAAGGATCTGTACTATACCTTTACCTGTTTTAGTTTCATCATCTTCTGCTGCACTGGCAATCACTTCGAGTTCTTCATTCTTTTTGTTATGGCTGTCTTTAGTGCTGGTTGTCAACTGTGGAAGGCTTTCATCCTGACTTTCATCCCCACTCCGACCTACAGGAATTGGTTATTGTTGAATCACACAAGTAAACTTAAGAAAAATCTTTTTAAAAAACTTTACTTTCTACTTTGGTGTATGTTTTAGAGTTTCTTTTGGTTGATTGTCGTGTGTTGCCCTTTAGATTGAGTGGTTTCGAGACATCTTTATTAAAATTTCAAAAATTAATTTTTCAATATAAAATCTAATCATATTATGAAAGAATTTTCCATTTCTACAATACCTTCATCCTCTGTCTCAATTTCCCTTGGTACTTCTTTTCTTTCTTTTCTTTTGGGGCCCCTTTTACCACCACTTTCGTTTTTCTGTGAACTTTCAAAAAGCTCAATTAAGCGACCATCTAAAATGTTTTCTTCAGGCTCCCACGTATTGTGTTTCTGGCTCCAGCCTTTCCACTTCACATAATACTCCACAATCCCCTGAAAACAAACCAAAAATGTTGGAAAATGTTATAATAACTAAGTAAAATTTCATATGGACCTTTCTATTCCTTTTCTTCATAATACGCTCAGCAGCGTAAACCCTATCACCCAATTCCATTGTTTACACTTTTTAATTCAATACTGGACCTTAAAGAAACTACTGTATGAAGTCTTTACAGACGTGCGAACATAATTTTCCAGCTATTCACTGAATTTTCGAGCTGAAATCACCACAAAATGCTATTTATTTACATGCTTTATTTACAACACTCAAAATATACCATTTTCGTCCTGAAAGAAATCGTCAAAACAAAACACAATCACAAAGGAACGAAACAATCGAAGTTTTGAGAGAAAGGTCTGTAGAAAAAATTTGTTATGGCAACGCTTCGCACGCTTACCTCACACGTGAAAGGGAAAAACAAAGAAAACGCGATTTCCACCATTTATTTTCTTTGCTTTTTGTGTAACTTCAAACTTCAACTTGAAAACAAGATGGACTGATTCGGTAATAATCGGATTTAATGACATTTGCCGATTTTATTCGAAAAGGCTATACAACCAATTATACACTGTTTATATAATTATTTCAAATTTTTAAGTAAAGAACACTGTGTTTTTACTCATATTAAAAATTCGTTTTGATAAAATATTGTGATAATGCTTTCTACAAAAAAAAATAATAAAAAGTATATTTTTATGCCTTTTTTTAATAATATTGTAAATGTAAAGTAGTACTAGTTGCCTATAATTTTTTTTGAATATGCCACGTAGTTGACAGTCAATACAGGAAAATCACTGGTAGACAAGAAAATCGTTTTCTATTTCGTTCTAATGCGTGCTTTTTAATGAGAGAGTATGCGAGGGTTAAGGATTTCAGCAAGGAGGGGAAACAATCATTCAATAAAGGGAAAGAAGTATTTTTTCTCCTTCAGTAAAATTTTATTATTATTTTTTCGAAATCCCCTAATTTATTTGTTGAAAGTGTATTGTTTGCTTTATGTTTATCGAGTGCAATATTTTTATGATAACATTTTGAACTATTCTCGCCGATATGCAAATGTTGTGATTGTGGAAAGTGTGAAATGAAGGACTGTGTTAAAAATTGTAATTTAAAGGTAAGCACCAGAGAATATTGTAAATTATACCTTAGAATTTTCACTATCTAGTGTTCTAATTTTGTCGAATTTCTCTAAAATAGCAAGAATAATATTTAAAAAAAAGTTTTATTGACCTGGCATATTGCATCCATTTAATGGGTTTTAATATTTAATTTCTCACTTGTTTACGTGTCTACTGGGTAACTTGTATAGTTACTAAGGTATATATATATATATCGTTTTTATTACTTAATTTAAAATCCGGTGAGGAAAAATCATTAAAATGTAATTCGGAAAGTTAGGTTATGCAACTGTCAAATAAATCCTTTGTAATAATTTTCAGATTGATTAAAAGATGTCTTGGGCCCAAAGAAGGGGCCCTCCCAGGCCTAGCCCCTCCTCCAATAACACCCCAATACAGATGTTCAACCCTCAGCAACATTCCACCGTAGAGGTAAGTGGATTAACATGATAAAACATAGTACTACAATGTTGTTAATGTAATATTGTATTTATTCATCAATTTTTACATATTTTTGTTGCAGTTATTATTTAAATGAATTCTTTTGGTTTATTTCTTTGATTTTCCCTGGTTTGCCACTTCTTCCATGGCCTTTTTCACTGTTTCGGGGTCTCCCATAAACTGTAGGCTTCCTCCTTGGACAGGTTTCATGTTTTCGTCTAAGGTGTACTTAAAGGGGATGCCAGTAGGCAAGTTTAACTGCATGATCTGTTCATTCGACATCTGATCTAGGTGCTTTACTATTCCTCTTAAGGAATTACCATGTGCAGCTAAAAAAAGTTAGGTTTTTATTTGGCACTATATGAGGATAATTTGAAAAGATTTTGACCAAAATTGTCTAATAAAAAGACCATTATTCATTTGTAATATGTCTCATGTTATACAGGGTGTCCTAATATTCCATGGTCAAAATAAGATCATTGGACACAATTTACCTCGACGCAAAAGTGGTTCGTTTGTTTGTTAGAGGGCATCAAACTTTAAAAAAATAAACAAATTTTTTCAGATATTTTGAGAACCGTTATCCCAATTTGAATCAGGTTTTGGATATCTATGTTCTGCTATAAGAGCTTTGCTTATCTTTAACGTTCACAAAAATTAAGAAAAAGTGCGGGAAGGGTGAAAACTACCCCCACTACTATTGGTCTGTACAGGGTGAGTCAAATTGGACATTTTTAAAAGGAAACGCCCTTTTCTATAGGAGATTGTATTTTACTAAGAGTGAGTCCCAGGTGGGACACTCCACTGAGGCCGCGAGGGCCTATTGTGGCTCTCGCCACAAAGATTATACGGACAATTTAAAAATAAGAAACCTTTATTCTTCCGCTATTAAGTCCGGTGGCGTTGGCGGCCAACGGCTGGGATCTTGGTTAGCTATTCAATTATTCTCGAAATTGGCTGCAAAAATTTGCTGATAACTTCAGCGTTTTGAGGCGGTGCACATTGGGCCAGAAACAACTTAAAAAAAAACTTTATTTTTAATTAATAATAGTTAAGAAAACTCTAGAGAATCATCAAATAATAAAATAACTGATATAGGTTACCATGGTACGTGTATGTGCACTGAAAACGTCGAAACGTGGTTTATTTTATTCCGCGTATGTAAAGATTTTGTTTAAAAAGTACAAAGTGATTGCCACGCGTTTCCTTTGCAGGAAATTGGTTTAAAAAAAAATGTTAAATTGTTAAATTTTAAAATTATTAAATTGACGAGAACAATTATGAAATTAAAAATTTATAGAGAACCGAAAAAAATAATAAAAAAACAAGGTCTTACTAAACTGTGGAGTGTGCGTGCAAATAGGCCCTAGCTCTGCCGAAGAGATGGGGTGGGTTTTAAGCGCCACTGGCTTTGCACAGGATAAGCCAGAAAACCCCCAAGATATTCTTGGAATCTAACAAGACTTGTTATAAAAAAAAATACTAGAAAGATAAAAAATTAAGGGATGAATAAAACACTAAGATAAATGAATGAGTATTGTATATTGATATTAAATAAAAAAAATGAACCAAATTTGATGACGTTATATATACTAAATTTAATTAAAAATTGAAAACCGAACTGTATGTACCTTGAACTCTTGAACCTTGAATCAATATAAGATAAAAAAAGGTAAGTAAGAAAAGGAAAAAAAAACAAATAGGGGAAGATAAAATTTTCAGTAACGTTTACTTGTCTCTGCTTCCGATCTGATCCAGCGACGTATTTGCCAAGCTGAGTGCTGTAGAGGGAAATCACTTCCAGAGAGACGTACTGCAAAAAGTCTGCCAGAAAAAGCAAGCCAGAAAAATCCTGGTGGAAAAATCCTGGTCTTAAAAGTCTGGTGGGAACAATCCTGGTCTTAAAAAATCCTGATGTAAAAAGCCCTTGCTGGGCTTTACAAGAAAATGTAGTTTTTTTTCTAATAGATGGATGTTCAAATTGCTGGATTCAGAAAGCAGAAATCACTGGAACAGGTGGTGGTTTTAAGTTCCTCTTCCCAAGAAAATCGACGATGAAAAAGAAATAAATCAAAAGGCTTTCCCAGCCACGAGCAGATTAAAATCCCGTATAAAACGGCTCAGAGATACTTTTAAAAGGTAAGGTACAACTCAAACAGCAAAAGTATCCCTTATAGTTCTAGTCAGTGATTATCCCCAACAAACGGGTAAAACAGGAAAATTCCAACAAATTACACTGACTAAAACACCTGCTTTGAAGCTGAAGGGAAAAATGGGAAAACCCACATCGATCAGATAGAGTTCCGCCAGAGTGTTCCGCTCCGAAGAAATTTGACTTATACTGCAAAGTTGCAATTTAATATTCTGGGAATTTAGAAACATTGCCAAAATAAACATTACTCAGAATTAAAAGTAAATTCCAATAACCATTCAAACACAAACATACCAAACCTTATGCCGGTGACGATGCATACACAATATTACGGAAAGGATGTCGATTATGCAATCAATAATTATCAGAAAATACAAACATCAGAACCTAAAGGAAGTACTGCTCAACCTGACAACAGCGTGTGTGCGCCGAATACACTAATCTCAACTGATCTGAGCAATTCAAATTTAAATGACATTATTAATAATAATTATTAACCTTACAATTTGCAGAAAATAAACAAATGATAAATTTCAAAAAATATGCAGGTAAATAACTTCATTTTGGGCTCTATAATGAAATATAGGGCCAAATAATATTTTAGAGACAATCCACACTTGTTAATAAATCTTCTAAGATAATACAAGGGCAAGCAGTACCGTAGAATTACTAGAAATTACGGCAAATAGGCTAACATTCAGAAACATAAACAAGTCCAGGAAATAAAGGTAATGTTTTGGTGAATTTGATTATATTAGCATAAGATAATACATTTTAATTATATTTTAGATCATTACTGATTGATTACTGACTGATATATTGCATGGACAGCAAAATAAATTAAGCAAAGTAGAGTAAGAAACATAATGAAATATAGCTGTAATGAATATCTGTTTATAAAAATTAAATGCAATAAATTTATTTATCAGCATAAATAAGAGTTTGATCTAACTTGTAAGCAAAATTGGTATATATTTTTAAACCTAGTTGAAGCTAAATTTGGATTGTTAATGATTCCAAATATTTTAGAAGTTTGTGGCAGGTTTATAACGGGTGATACAAGTACTGTTAAGTTTATTTTATTTATTTGTACTTAATTTTAAACAATATGTAACATTATGATCACGGTTTAATGTAAAAAACGTATCATTATAATATACTGATTGTTTTTCTTTTTTAAAAATATAGAAAAATAAGTGGGTTCTCCTCAAAGGGCCAGGTGTCTGGATTATGTTTTTATTTTCTCAAATAGTCTAGTTTTCAAAATTAAATAGTTACTGCGACTTTTTGCGACTTCGTAAGATATAAAAAATTATATAGTACATCAATACTATACAAAACACTGTTTGTATTAGCTGTAACTGGGAATAATTTCCATTCCCATTTTTTTGTATCTATACTATACTGGAGCGAATTAAACTTAAGAAATCGATAGAACATCAAAAATAATGAAAAAAGTTCCTATAAACATGTGTCCGGATCAGGAAATGCTTGCATATACTTTTCGAGATTCAGGGTGCCAAAATTTTATTTTTACTTTCGTTTTCTTCGTCTAATTTCCTACATAATTTCGATATTTAGATGAAAATTGGTATCTAGGAGTTTTTTGACGTATAACATGCATCGATTATTTCAAAAACGAAAAAAAATTATTTCGAAAACTATGCATTTCTGGACACATGTTTAGAGAAACTTTTTTCATTATTTTTGATGTTCTATTTATTCCTTAAGTTTGAATTGCCAAGTCTAAAACACCCTGTATATCGATTAATCTTTAGTCTGCTCTATATAAAATGTTTAATTTAAGTGTTATTAATAAAAACTAACGATTTAAAAAAATATGTTTGTTCATTTAATACGTAATTTTAGCCTAAAAATTCATCAGGAATGATACAAAAGTTTTTCAATATTATTGGTTCATTAGGGCCCACTGTGCGGTGCCTCGTTTTGCTGGAAAACTATGGTTTCGAGTTCCATTAGCTGCAGATCATCAATAACGCGTTCAAAGCCTACTGTAGTTAAAAGAAAAGTGGCGAACTTTTAAAAATAGTGTATTTCGAACGGGACTACGACAAAATATCAAGTGAGCTATATTTTTGGAAAGGTAATTTTAAGTTCTTTTCAATTAATTAAAAAGATACAGGGTGTCCCAAATAAAAAATTAATTTTGACACTGATAACTCTTAAATTATTAATTTAAAAAAAATTATACTTAAATCATTAAATTCTACGTAAAAAGGTGCTTTGGAAATGTTTTCATAAAAATACAAAATTTTCCATAGCAAAAAAGTTACAACGATTTGTTAAAAATGCACATTTTTGAAAAATATCCCGTAACTCCGAAATGGTAACAGATATCGATGTGCGGTTTTTACCATCATGTTTATGATAAAAATTGAGCTCCAGACACCAATATTAGTTTTCGTGTATCTCCTATAAAAAAGGGTGTTTCCCTTTAAAAGCGTCCAATTTGACCCACCCTGTACTTTTTATCTACACCCCCTGTCTACACCGTATTGTCGACGCAATCAAATCGTACCATTAGTCGTTCCGTGTGGAGCTTAAGCTTAGTTGTGTATAAATTTCAAGTCTATAACGAATTGTTTTTGCAATAAACAATTAATGAAAGATAAAAATTAATTCAGTTTTCTTTCTCAAGGAGAGGCGTTAAATTTGTGGGTTAACCTTTATGGAGGCACCAAAAAAAACCGAAATCTTAGCAGTCCTTGTAAACTGGCTCATACTGTTACCTATCAAGATCTTCCTGCCTTTTTTAATCTCTGGCACTATCCATTCGTTCCAATACGGAAGGGTTCTCTTTATAGTCAGCTCCAGAGACTCGAACATAGGGAAATCATTCCTAGGCGGCCCTTCGTTATAAATAGGGTCCAACAAAATAGTGTCGTAGTACGGATTCTCCGGCGTAATGGGAGGTGGAGGTGTATCGTAACTCCTCCTCCAAATCTGCACCTGCTGCTCGCCGTATTTCGCCACCGTATCAGTCTTATTTAAACCGGTAAGACCTCCGTAATGTCTCTCGTTTAACCTCCACGTTTTAAAAATGGCAATATCCTCTTGGCCGATCTCTTTCAGGATGGCATAGAGGGTATCGTTGGCCCTTTTCAGTACGGAGCTGAAGGCCATGTCGAACCTGTAGCCGGCGTCTTTGAGCGCTTTGCCGGCGCTCACGGCCTCTCTCTTGCCCCTGTCGCTCAAGTCCACGTTGACCCAGCCGCAAAAAAGGTTCTTCTGGTTCCATTCCGACTCACCGTGACGTATCATGACGACGTTGTAGGTTTTGGGGCCGCCACTACAACAGGCTCCCTTTTTTTTCTGAAAAAAAAAACAATAGTTTTATCAGTTACTGACGAAAATATATTTGGGTATTCATACACTGCACGACATAATTTGTAACTTGCTGGTAAGAAGACGACCTGTGTTTACTTCGAAAAATTAACTGATGAACGTAAAAGACACATATTTGAATTTATCGGAAAAAATGAAAGAGACAAAGTCAAGGTTTGACGTTTCCAGGAGTGTGAAGGTTAAGCTTTATTGATTTTTGGACGGTTTTGTTTGTTTTATTTTTCTACTATTTTAGCAGGTTTGATACTCTTTACATTTATTTCTTTATATTAGTAAATCTATTATATTTTAGAAGATCTATAATTACAACTGTGTGAAAAGTTAATTTAAATTACTGAGGTTTAACATAATTTTTAGTATATCAAGTTTTTTTAAAAGACACGCATATTTTTTTTAAAATTCTTGAAGATAAAATGTTAAAATGGGTTGATAGTCTTGATAATAAGTCAAAAGAAGCTGCCATAATATACAGGGTGGTCCAAACTGTATTCCGGAAACTTCAACAGCATATTCTGCAGATAAAAATAAATAAAAAAATTCGTATAACTGTATGTTCTAAATGCTTAGTTTCGGAGTTACAGGGTGTAGAAAATTCATTTTTATTTCGATTTTTTCCCAAATAATTTCAGAATTAACGTCAATATTTGAATGAAAATTGTGAATGAAAACGACTCCTATTTGATTTGTAGGGGGCGCTACCTACATCTTTTTTTAACTGATTTGAAGAGTAATAACTTTTCGTCCGTACCTGTATAAAACTACCTACTGAGAAAAAAATATCCATGTACGATGTTTTTTACGGAAAAAGGTGTCTTCGATTTTTTTCCAAATAATTTCAGAATTAACGTCAATATTTGAATGAAAATTGTGAATGAAAACGACTCCTATTTGATTTGTAGGGGGCGCTACCTACATCTTTTCTTAACTGATTTGAAGAGTAATAACTTTTCGTCCGTACCTGTATAAAACTACCTACTGGGAAAAAATATCCATGTACGATGTTTTTTACGGAAAAAGGTGTCTTGATAAAAAATCGCGTCGAGTAATGATTCTCGAGATATTTGGAATCTAAATTATCAGTACCTGTCATCATTGACATAAATTAAACATGTTGACTAAATAATTATCAGACTAAATACATTTGACATGTTTTTGTGCCAAAAGAAGGAATATTTTTGATTAATTTAAAAAAGAAGAAAAATTTATGATTAATTTAAAAAAAATAAAAAGTTCCTAAATTTATAATTTCAGTCAAATAACTGATTAGCTTTGTTCGGGTTCTTGTTATTGCCGATTCTGAACCGTCCTAGAACTCTGCAGCGCATGCGCAAATGAAATAATGTCTTCATATTTCCTTCTGCGCATACGCATCACAGTTCTAGGATGGTTCAGAATCGGTAATAAGAGAAACCCGAAGTAAGCTATTATATCTACTCAACATGTTTAATTTTTGTCAATAATGATATGTATTGGGTATTTCCATTCTAAATATCTTGAGAACGGTTGCTCGTAGCGATTTTTACCAAGAGACATTTTTTACGTAAAAAATCTCGGAAATGTGCATTTTTTCACTCAGTAGTTTTAAATAGGTACGGCCGAAAACTTATTACTCTTCAAAACAGTTAAAACACATGTAGGTGGCGCCCCCTACAAGTTTCCGGAATACAGTTCGGACCACCCTGTATAGTCCAAGAGCTGGGAGTAAAATGAACTGCCTGATAGGTTACCAAAGGTTTGATACTGGAATTGCAATAGTGTAGTATAAATTATCTAGCTGTGTAGTATAAATTACCTAACTGAGTCACTGTTTGATAGTCACTGTTTGATCGAGCTCGAAATAACAATGTAGAAATTAAATTTAAAAAAATCTTTTTGTTTGCGTTTAAAAGAAAAGTAATATCGTTGATATGTATTTTAATATTTTATAAAGGAAATTTCCTTGTATTCCAATGTCATACGATGCTAGTTTTTAAGGCCTTTTTGTGCAAAGGATGTTTTTTTGCTAATTGACTCAGTCAAACTGTCCTGATGATGGGAATAAAATTCTCGAAAGCTTGACAAATTTGAAAAAGCAGTTTTATTAGCCTATGTGGTGATTATTGACTGCATCCTCACTTAAATTTTGAGTTTTTTCTAAAAAAATTATATATAATATTTTTTCTAGAATCAATGGCAACCACCGCCCGTTTTTCAACAGCAGCAAGACCATGCACAGGCTCAAAATTATTGGCAACAACCTCAACAGGTGTATCCCCCTCCTAGTCGTACTCCGAACGCCAATACTGGCGTTCAGTACCAACAGTTCCAACAAGAGCCATCTGGTGGTTATTTCAAGAATCAATCGGTAATATTTAGTGCAGAAGACCATGCGATCAAAAAAAAAACGGCATCAAAGACGGCTGGGTAAAGACAATCGATAATAGTTTTGACGTGGTCAATTTCTAGTACTCTTCTTTACTTTATAATGGCGCTTATACTGCCAGTTGGTCTTAAGAAGGTTGTAATTATTTTTATATTGAGTAAATTTTTTTTTTATATGTTGTAGTTTAAAATTCGAGAGAAAATATGTTTTTGGAAATAGACTTGTTTGTCTGGAAACGTTTTATCTTTTTTTAATCTTGCTATATTTATTGTTAATTTTTGACAAGTTCTACGTCAGTTTTTCGTAAATGACGTCTAGTGATTGACCTCGCCAAAATCATCATGTATTGTCATTCCCCAGCCTTCTTTACGGTATTACCTTGTATGTAATTATGTTATATTGAGGAACACTGGGTACACTCGTTGAATTTGACACTTAATGTCAGTTTAATAACGTATTTTTGTACTTTTGTGCTTAGGCGTGAAAGGGCTTTACTTTTATAGTAGTACCTAGGCGTTAAAAAAATAATACTTTTATGACCTTTGAAAAAATAGTATATTGTTTTATTAGGAGTAAAAATGATACTTTTTTGGCGAGGCTGTATGTTTGACATTACAGGTGAAGCATAAAACATATTTTTACTCTGAATAGAACATGCTACATATATTTTTTTCAAAACTCACAAATAATTTTTTAAACAGTTTTTTAAACGCTCCAAATAATATAAAAATATTCTTTGAATAAGTAGACTAAGGAAGGAGCGTAATGGTATCTTATATCTAATGCTATATATGCATGGTGGGCGGAAAAAGGACTCTAGGGTGGGGATCCTTGACAGTTCTGTTTGACGATTCATTTGACACATTTGAATTTGATTTGAAATTTTGTGGATTTGTTAGTCTTTACGGAGCTTATTTTATGTTATTTATTATTTATTCTACTACTGATAGTTGTATAAAGGTAGTAAATCTAGATGGAAATTGTGGCATAACTTAAATTAACAGTGACACTATCGCGATTTATCGAAAAAGACTCTAAAATAGTTGGTTGTGTAGCGTGCGGTAGATCTCGGCAAAAATCGAGTGAAATAATGGAACAACTTTTCACTAGTAAGTGACTATATAATATACATACGTGTAGTAAACCGATCATTTATGAAATTTACTTAAATTAACTAATATATTTATTATATATTTTTTCTTGCATTTTTGCTTTTATTTACTACTTGTCAAAGATTAGATGTCAAAGAATTTAGATACGTCAATTTGACTTACCTGCTTCAGTGGCGTATCGGATGTTTGTGTTAATAAATAATTATTAAAACTTATCTATTTTTATTATAATAATATGTTTTTATAACAATTTTAATAACTACCAACATTTATTCACAACGTAAAATAAAAATAATATTGAGTCTACCCCACGTCTACCCTACATCATAGTTTTACATTTTTTAAATAAAATTAGAACGGCACTGATAAACCGGAATTTAAGTCGGCCATATTTGAGTCCCATCGCGGTGGACCTAAGATTTTTGATATGCTCCTGCCTTAGTCTTCTTATTCAAAGAAAATATTTAAAAGAAATACCTTGAAAGTAATTATACTTGTTTCCTTTATCTATGGTAATTATATATCGAGAAACTATAGTTACGCTCGTTGAATTTGACACTTTATGTCAGTTTAATAATAGATCATAGATAAAAAAAACAAGTTTAGATTGGAATGCCCGGCTTGCCGCCAAAACTTATAATTGTTTTGGAGCGCATACGTTGTAGGGCCCTGCTATAGCGGTTGCTAAGAACAACCGCAAACAAGAACAGAAATAATGTTCTCTTGTCAAAGGAATCTTCAAAAATTATAAAATCTTTCAAAATTTAAACCGCCCTCATTGAAAAAATACCGAAAAGTGTTTAAAGCGTCCATTTTCAAAGTAATTATTGCGATCATGTGAGTTTAGTTTAATTTAAATCTTATTTACTCAAACCCGTGATAATTGTGAAAAAGTGGCATTAAGAACTTAAAAAGCTGTGTGAACTGTGAAGTTCACAGTGTGAACTGCAAAAACCATCGTGGATCGTGGCATAACGTCGGTTTCCAACGTTTCATAGGTATTTTATACATGTCCTTATATAAAATAAAGTTTCTTATATGCAAACACACTGTATTTTATTTAAAAAATTAAAAGAAAATAATAATAAATTTTAATAAACAATATTTGGCGACATAATTTCAGAAAAGCCGAACCGCTCCGAAATTATCAAAAACTTTGGAGAGTGACCATTGTAAGGATAGCGCCAAATAGTATTTACATTGTCCTATGGGCACATTATAATCTAAACTTGTTTCCTTTATCTATGTAATAGATTTTCTTTGCATTTTCTTACTTTTATGCTTAGGCGTAAAAGTGTTTTACTTTTATGCCTATTCGTTAAAATGACTTTTTTATATTGGCAATCACGTCGCAAAAATTAATACTTTTGTGACGTTTGAAAAAAAAATTATTTTATAAGAAAATCTTATATCTTCTCTGTTAGGAGTCCTGTTATTAAAAAGTGGCTGTCTCTGTATAGTTTGTTTGTTATCATTTTTTGAAGTTGTTGTTATCATTTATGTTAAAATTTTCAGTATAATCAACAGTATGATCAAAGTGGTGCATACTCTAACCAACCAGTACAGCCAGCCACCGAGGCAGATGGTTGGGGTGAAAATTGGGCCTGGGGTGAAGAAGACAATTCCAATGCTCAAACAATGGCTGCATCACAACAACACCAACAGTTGCAGTCCACAGCTAATGTATTAGGTTAGACAATTTAATAAATAATACTTTAGTACTTAAAAAAAGAACCTCATGAGCGTGTTTCTGGGGTCGAACTATACTACCAGTTAAAATACTTGCACTTATTTGAGACCCTGTATACTACATTTCTTACTATATTTCTTCAAGCAGACAGTTTTTCCAACGACGAATCGTGGAACTGGTCCGTCTCAGAGATCAGAACCCCCGAAAACAACGCCCATCAACAAGATCAGAAACCAAACGACTTATTTCCGACAGTGGGTGACTTGAAGAAACCGCCCGTTTCGAATACGAGACCGGAAGCCCCTCCTCAATCGAACAGGAGCAAACTGGAAACGCCACAGTGGTCCACCGAATCTCAGCCCTCCATAGAATCGTCCGATGACGTGGCGCATACGTCAGAGAGTGACAAGAGCCATCTGGTGTCGCGGTCGTCGACCATCAGTCACTCTCCGGTGTCAGGACAGGAACAGTTGGGAGCTGTAGGGGTTGAAGTGCCTCCTGTTGAAAATAACGAAATTATTAGGCAGGAAAATAATAAAGTGGTTAATAATGTTTTACCGCCGCCGAAAAATGTGCTTACTCCGCCTCTGATGCCTTCCACTCAAGGTAAGTGTTTTAAAACATCGAACAGAGGGACTAAGGAGGGAATTGCACTTTTTTATATACGGCCGTCGTCGCCTTATTTTTGTGGTCTGTATTTTAATACTGCATACGACAGAGATGATGGTCATCCAATTTATGGGGTCTAGATTTTAATAATAAATAAATTTTATTGCCATTAAAATACAATTTATGTACATTGGTTCGTCAGCTAGTTAAACATAGATTAGACATAAACAAAATCAAATAAACACATAAAAAATGTTACATTACAAAACATTACAAAATTTCAAAAACACGCCAAATCAGTATAGACATTTTTATATGTAACTAGCGAATGATTTAAACTGGTCAATAGAGTAAAACCCATTCCCCAGCAGGTATACCTTTACTGCGGCAGCAAATTTGTTGCCTCTCAATGAGCGCAACTTTAAAGGTAAGGAGTTGTAGAGGCTGACGCAGTTATAATAAGGTGAATATTCAAAATAAGTTGTCTTATGTTGTGGAACCATAAGCATTTCACTGTCCCGTGTATTGTGCAACCTTGCAGTACAGAGTTTTTTAAATATGGCTCTATAATTATTCACGTAAAGTAGACATTTTAAAATATAAATCGAGGGAAAGGTCAAAATTTTTCTGCTAACAAAGATATCCCTGCATCTCTCACGAACACCAATATTAAAAATAAGTCTAATAATTCGCTTTTGTATAATAAAGACTCGATTAAATTTAAAAGCAGCTTTTCCCCAGCATAGGATATTACCCGCCATGTGACTATACGCAAGTGAATAATATACCGATATGAGACCATGTATGTCGAGCGTGTGTCTTAAGCTTAATATAGCAAAATATGCTGAATTTAATTTAGCGCATACATGGTCTATTTGCGCATTAAACGACATTTGCGGATCAATAAACAAACCCAGAAATTTTGTTTTGTTTGACAGTTCTATATCAAGTTCATTCTGGAATTGGTCCGGAATAATTTTCCTGTTAATAATTCCCATATAAACTGTTTTTTCTATATTTAATATAAGGTTATTATTTTTGCACCATAACGTCATTTTTTCACAAACATTTAATGTCGTTTGTGTAAGTTCTTCTACAGTGTCAGCTGCTACAACAATAGATGTAATAACGTACCTATAGTATTGCTATCATTATACTTTTGTTTAACTTTTGTCATTGCAGTAGTACTAAAATATGTTGCAAATTGGTATGCAATATCAGATGGATCTGACAATATTTCATTATCTATATTAAGTCTTATTAAAGATTGTTGTGCCTTGTTTTTCTTGTTTAGCTTTTCATTTACAATTTTCCATATTTCCTTGCTCTTGTTCTCAGAAACTGATATTTTATTAGTATAAAACATTTTCTTTTTCCTTCTAATTTCTTTCTTATAGACTGACTTAAGATGTTTATATTCATATGCACTGTTACCTTCAGACCGTTTATTGACGGTATGAAGCGCATTCAGCCTTTCTTTTATACTTAGTAAATCACCATCATACCAAATATTCTGAGATTTTTTAGCTCTTGTTGAAACCTTTCTCTGTCTGTATGGACAACAACAGTTCAAACAGAAAACAATATGCTCAACAAAACTACTCCATAAACCATTACAGTCAAGTGAAAAATCCAGAATAAAATTCCAGTCTTGCGACATTATCATATTACAAAACATGGAGACATTACTATCCGAGAAATCTCTATGATTCGTCAAAACACTGTCTTTAGATAATACTACGCTGTTACTCTCTAAATTTACAGATAAAAGGTTAGCTAAGTGATCACTAATATGAGGATTAAAAATTACACAATTAACCATGTCACTAGGGATGTTTGTAACAGCATAATCTATAATAGATTCGGTAGTATGACCGCTTGAATTAGTAACAATTCTTGTTGGCTCAATTATAGTATTTTTCAGTTTAAATGATTCAAACAGGTCACAAAGATACTTTTTATTCTTAGAATCGATTCCAAAATTGATATTTAAGTCTCCACAAAATATTATATATTTAACAGACAATAGAGCTGCAGAAAAAGCTCTGCTAACAGAATTTAGAAAAATGTCTACATCTCCAGAAGGAGGACGATAACAGCAAATAACTGTGTATGTATTAAAATTTATACCCGATAGTTCACTGTGACCCTCAATAGAAAATTTCTCAATGTTCTCACAGCGCACAAACATATCCGCATTTTTATTCTTAACCAAAATCAGTGAGCCACCATGTTTTTTACTACATCTGGCAAAACACGATTTAACTATATATCCATCGATGCTTATATCTACAAACGTTGACTGTAGCCAATGCTCAGTTACACACATAATATCAATATCTTCAGATATTAACATATTTTCAATAATATCAATCTTATTTGTAATGCATTGAACATTCATACTGCATACTTTAATTTTTAATGATTTAGCCCCATTTGGGTCTGTTGCAGTCCTAAAAGAAGCTGCATGTCTAGAAACAGTATTACACCCGCCAACCTCAACAGCACCATTACCAAGTTCATTTTCAAACAAACAATAACTTTCATCAGAATGACTTATTTTATTACATGTCCCAGAATTATCAGTTAAAATTTCAATAGAAATGTCCTGTTTCTTCACATTGCTTCCTGTTGTGCTTTCCTTACGTGAAAAAGCTTGTTAATTTTAGTACCCACCGGCCAAAGTGTGGGTTCCAAAAATGTTTCCTTGTTGTTCTCAAGTACTCCAACCTTGAAAGAAGAATATTCTTCTGGATGCTTTGAGGGTAAAGAACTGCAAGTTACTTGAGGAAAATGATTTATTAAATGGTTTTTTAATTGGTCTTCCTTAACTGATGGATCCAGTCGGAATACATGATAGTAAAAATAAGAAGGAGCTGCTTTGATTATGCTACTGGCACCAGTTCCAACTGTGGTTTGGGTTTTTCTGCCCCCAGAACGTCTACTTTTATTTGTTTTCCATTCATTCAGTGGATTGTCGGGCCCTACTACACTGGCTCGTTGTGTTTTAACGCCGATTTCGATCTTATTGCTAACATCCATAAACTCATCAATCAAATCACTATGTCTCGGTACGTTGGCGGCGACTATATTTGTATCGCGTACGACTCGACTGCTATTGCCTTTCGTCGATCCTCGGTTGCAGGACGAAGCAGCTGCCGCATACGAACCCCTCTGCGTTGGCCCTGCGGTGCTCCGCGGCAGCATAGCGCTGTCGCGCTTCGTAGGTGCGCAGCCCGAGGTGATGGTATGGGGACCCTTAGCCAAATTTATTGTTTGTATTGGCCTGTCGCACTGCCTAACCTCATTTTGGCGCTCTTCCTGAATTATATTAATTACCCTATTCAAAGAGTCAATTGTTGACTGCTGTTGCAAATTAAGGCGATTCAGGTAATTAACCTCTGTAGTGGCTAATTTTAGCTCATATTTGGTGTTAATACAAGTTAATTTATGGCATACCTGTGAGGTTTCATTGGCATCGACAACGGTTATCAGCGAATCGTCAAGATTTACTTCTTCAGGGGCTTTCCATCTTTCTTCTAGGTATTTCAACACATTTTCGTTAAGAGACACTCCCGTGGGCACTTTCCCATTTACAATTAAAAATATTAATGAGTCTTTATTCAACTTTTTAAGATCGTTTGTAATTTGACTGACACGTTCTTCAGACGCCATATTTACCGGGTTTTGACTGTGACAGAATAATATAAATGACCGGTTGACAAACAGAGAGACAAAATCAAAAGAGGCATACATTGTTTGTCGGTTTTTTACGTTTGTAGGAAAATGTGTGGAGAAAAATATAAGCTATTTTAAAAACTTACTACTGAAATTATGATAATATATTTAAACTAAATATTACAGCTGTAGTAAAATGAGTAACTGAAATGACCAAATCGTTATACAAGTTGACAGACAGAGAGACAAAATAAAAAGTGGCATACAGTGTTGCCGGTTTGTAAGTGAAGTAACATAATAAACGAAGATAATATATCTAAGCTATTTAATAATGCTTAATTAATTCTGTTAGGCAGTTGCTTGAAAACTTGGAATAAAATATCTGTTGTCACCCTACGAATACCATAGAAATAAATTTTGATTGGTTTGTTCAGATTATTTCAAAAATAATGTTAGTAATTGTATTTTAAGGTACACCTTAAAAAATTTTATTTAAAAATAAATGCAGTTTTCTTAAAATCGGCTTGTCCAAAATTGTGCATATTTGGCACGTGTATTCAACATACACAGACCTATCTAAGCTATTTAATAATGCTTAATTAATTCTGTTAGGCAGTTGCTTGAAAACTTGGAATAAAATATCTGTTGTCACCCTACGAATACCATAGAAATAAATTTTGATTGGTTTGTTCAGATTATTTCAAAAATAATGTTAGTAATCGTATTTTAAGGTAAACCTTAAAAAATTTTATTTAAAAATAAATGCAGTTTTCTTAAAATCGGCTTGTCCAACATTGTGCATATTTGGCACGTGTATTCAGCATACACAGACCTGTATAAAACCTACCTACTACTTTGCTGTAACATTAATAGGGGGGAGCTAATATTTGGAGAGTTAAAAACTTGCATGGTTACGATGCACCACCTGGTATAACTGAAATAAAAACCATACACAAAAAAGTTTAGTCAAAATCTTATTATAAATTAAATTTAGACTGTACTTAATATAAATATCGTCATCTTAAATCATATAGGATGTTCAGAATTCCACGCTTAAACTTTCTAAAATATAAAATAATTTTTCTTCGTTTTTTTTTTAACTGGAACACCCTGCATATTATTATCTTTTGTTAGATGGAGAGATTACAAAATTAACATTTTTTTGTATTTTTAAATTTTTAACGGTTTCTATTACTGTTGAAAGTGTCATTTGTAATATAACTGTAAAAATATATGCAAAAACCGTAAAAAAATGCACTGCATCAGATACAGAAAAGGTCGCGACTAAAAATGTTTTAACATAAAACGACGATGTATCGATCGACGTCGATCAGCCTGACTGTAACTGAATGAACCTAAACCTGTCATAAACCCTGCGACCGATCAGTGCGCTTTAAACCATTTAATTTGCATTGTGTTTGTTCTACGATTTTAGGAGGTCCTGATGATTCTAGAAATCCATACAAAAGATCGTCAGGCAACAGATACCGGGCACCAACAACCCAACCACCCCCTCAAACCTCTTTTACCCCTCAATCAGTCAATTTAGAAACTTTACCTGACAATTCCGAACATCCCGATTATCCCCCTGTATCGGGAGTAAGCAAAGTGCCCCAAAGAGCCCCCTTACAGTGGCCCCAAGCTGAAAACAACGAAGCCCCTATTAATGACAGGAACCAGTACTTGGAAACTGGACAGTTGTCCGATTTGGGTTTATCTGAAGGGAATGAAGGTCAGTCTTTTAAAAAGGATTTTGTATTGTTTTTTATTATTTTATTTTTTGTAATTTTAGTAAATGATTTGGGAAATGACACGTTACCTCCTCCTGGTCTGCAAAGAATGGTTCCTGGTCAGCTTGAACAAAGCGAACCTTTACTGGGATTTAGTAGGATGGTACTGGGAGAGAACAATATTAGTGAGTGTTGTTTTATTTGTCCTTCTTAAAAATTTGGGAAAACCAAAAACCTACAAAGTAGCTAAAAGGGTTTCTAAAATTCAAAGTTCAAAGGAATATTATTTTTTTGTGACTTGTTTTTTCTTTGTTAGAGAATGATTCAGTATTGTAACTAATTTAGTTTCAATACTGAATAATTTTCTACCACATTCAAAGTAATATAACAACTACTTATGGGCATTATGAAATATTCATTTTTTAAAAGAACTGTATTATAAGCGGTGAATCGGTTCTCACAATTCATTTTTAATACTCGTTCAAATGAACGACTCGATCAATCTTTGCCCACCTCCAATAACAACTTTGATTTAGATCAAGCTCAGTACGACTTGAGTGGACCTCCGGAAGGTTTGCGCCGCATGGTACCTGGCGAATCCAGCTCTCCAGAAGTTTCCATAGATCAGCAGAATATCGACGATAACGATTCCGATGGAGAACTGAATAGGATAACTCAAAACTCGAGCGTGCAGCCGCAAAGGTCGGCAACCATCGGCGCAGACACTCCACCTAGGGTGCAGAATCCCGTACCTCAAATCCAGCAGGCTCCAGTCAATAGGGCTGAGTTGATAGGGCATCAAGACTTGGCACAGAGCTCTAGTAAGTATAATAATGTAGATATTAATTTTTTTTAATAGGAATTTACGTATATCACTGAATATAAAGAGAAAAGCTTCATTCAGAATCTCGAAATTAGTGTTTAGTAATTGTTCCTCTAATTTCAATTAGAACATCAAAATTAGTGGTTGTAATTTTTAATTAGTACTTTTTAACTTTTTCCACTAATTATACTTCAAAATTTTGAGTAATGTCATTTTAGCTTTTGATTACCATCCGCCAAGGGAAGTTGTGGTTAGAAATCAAAAGTTTATTATTTTAGAGGCAAATTATTGGGCTTTCTCTTGGATACAACTGACTAGCACAAGTTGTTGCTAGGACATTCTATTAATTTTAATTGGAATTTTTTAGACATTGTGAATGATCTTATACTCTTAAGAGTCCATTTCACTAGTCCGAAAAAGTAGCAAAATAAGCGTTCGGCATTTAACGTTTTATGTAAAACTGGCTAGGTATTTTTGCACAAATGAAGAAGGAAATTAAAGATAAGGATTATACTATATCTGTATTGTAGCACATTTTTAGACAACTTCTTTATTTTTAAGATTTTGATGGTTAAACATCAACAAAATATACCTTATGTTTGGACTATTTTTTTTTCGAAAATAAAGACATAATTTAAAATTCCATTACAATACGGAAATAGTTTGAAGTTTTGTGATTACAATGATATATAATTTATATGGTTTTGTAATAAATTGCTTGCTATATTATGGCAAATTCTGAAGCTCTACAAACCTTAAAGAAGCCTTAATTAAAGCACGTGTGTTTGGAATTTTTGGTGTGGCTTAACACGACAGGATCGGGCTAAGCCTTAGACAAATTTCTGAAATGTAATATATATATTTCTTTTGGCCACACACCTGCTTTTCCCGACCCCTGAGAGCGACCCGAAAGTACAGCGTAATAGCACAGATTATACAGAAACTTATCGACAAGATTTTTATCTGTATACTTATAAGATACCTAATCTGTGGTAATAGACTCTTAAGTGTGATATATAGTTGAAACCACTAATTTATTCTACTAATTTTGAGGTTATGAGTGAAGCTTAAGGACGGAGTATATTAATTAGATGTAAATACTGACTATGTGTCATATTTTATACTTTTTAACGCTTTTAATTTAACGCATTTAATTCTTTGTTTTTTGTTGAAGGTATTGATATTCTAGATGCTATTCCTTTATCAAAAAGTTCCTCAAATGATAATAAATCCAAACATTCCTCTAAAGCAAAAGATAAGGACCTTCAGGAAAATCGTAGGGAAATTATTGATGGTAAAAAGAAATAATTTAACAAAAAAATATCGTCAAAATAACATTCTTTTTTCAGGCCAAATTAACGAAAGTAGTGTCACAAATCTCACCAACTCCATAAGAAACTTGACCGTTGGAGAGAACTTAACAGATGGTCAAACGTCTAACACTAGTGTTCATGAACATTCGCCCAGGAGACACAGCAGACAAGAAAGTAGTGAAAGTGACAGTGATAGGAAACATCCTTCTAGGTTAGTGCTTTTTAATTAATTTTTTTATATTTTTTTAAACTACTATGACGTCCCTTTTGTCTTTAGTGTCTAGATAATAATGATAGTGTTGAGATAAATTAATAAAAGTTGATGTTCACCTCATCAAAGTCTTCAAAACTATTTAAAAAAAAATCGTTTGAAACTTGGAGCGCATTTTTTCCTTTTTCTTATAATCTTATATCCGGCTTAAAAAAGACAGCACGTTGTCGCATCAAGAAAATGAATTGGCCAATAAGAAACTAGCGTCTAAGTCCCACTAGTCTACGCGGGCACCCAACAATGGTGCCGTTTGTTGTCCCTTAATTTCATGATTTTCAATAGTTAGCTAAACTAAAGACTTTTATTTTTACGGTTTGTTTCAAAGTTTGATTGTTATTTGGATTATTTTGTTAGAACGTTCTTAATAGCAAAGATTAGCTATTAGGTATACTTATATTAATAGTAATCAGAATACTAAATAAGGTAAAAATGAGTGCTTCAGAAACATGTTAAAATTTTTTATCCTAACCAGAGATAGGAAATTGCACTTTTACTTAGGTTTTACTTTAGCAAAACTAAAATATTTATAACTTTTATTGAAAATACATACATCTTTCAGTTTTTAAGCTGCGACACATGTAATAATGTAGATATAAAAAAATATTTGTATATGTATTGTGTCTAAAAATGAAATGAAAAATTGGTGACAAAATTACGAATTTGATTTGACACTTCTCAGAAGTCAAAGTAAAAGAATTGGCCGTGGCAACATTGTCACGTGCATTCGTCAAATATTTTGATGACGTGCGCCGCCATCTTTTATTGATTTTCCTATGCTTAAGTATTATATTTTTATTTAATGGTTTAATTTTTGTTTTAAATATGTATTATAGAGACCTAGTTTCTTATTTATAATAATACCTTGCTCTAGGTCTAGTAGAGAAAAACGTTCTATGGAAAAATCTAAATCCAGGGACAAAGAGAGAGATAGGTATAAAGAAAAGGATAGCGACAGAGAGAGGTATTTATAGTTAGTGTTTCTTAATGCTTTGAGTTAATTTTTTTGTGTTTTAAGGTATAATAAAGACAGAGATGACGATAGATACTCTCCCGATTCTTACAGGGACAAAAGAGATAGGAGAGATCGTAGGTATAGAGAGAGAAGGTATGAGGAAGATACGGATTATTACAGCGACAAGGAAAAAGACAGAAGGATGAGGGATAATAGAGACAGAGGTACTAGAATATGCATTAAATATTGCTTATAATTTTAGATTTTTATTTCCACTTTATTTCTGTCATGTTTGTTAATTATTTTTCTCTTTTATCTTAGCCGTTTTTAGAAAATTTTCTGTTTTACATGAGATCGAGTTTAGATTATGTCAAATCGCGATATACAGGATGTGCTAAAAAGTTCGTGAGAAATTAAAAGCATTTTTTTATAGAGTTGGTAAAAGAAGTCTGAGGAATTACTTACCCAATATTAAAAATTATATCTGAAGAATGGTGAAAAATATTGAAGAATGTCAAAGAGAAATCTTCATAATTTAATTTTATGTCTATACCGAGTGCGTTTCAAGAGTGGCTCACTCCTAACTTTTTTATTTTTTTTTTCAGATAAAAGAACGAGACTTGGTATGCTAATATATATCATAAAATAGGATTAATTGATGTATTCAATTGTTTTTGGTCACTTCCTGTTTCACCGGAAATAACTACAACTTTTGATTCTTACATAACACCTTCGATATTTTTTTTTTACTTTATTTGATAGAAAATTACACTCTAAATAGAATGACATATCATGTATCATATGTCAACTTTTGACGTTTTTTCTGATTGTTTATTTAAAATTGTAACATGTGGTTCATAACGACAATTTGACTCGAAATACCAAGTATGTAGTACCAAATTATTCTTATAAAAAAAATTCTTTTTCCAAATATGCTTATGAGCCACCATCGTTCCGTTTGAAAAAATTGAGATATAATTAAAAATGCGGTTTGGGCATCTTTTAACCGGCCATGACGAGACATTTAGACATTGGACAATCAAATCTACTTTTCCACGGCTCCTTGACTAAAAATTAATGTTTTTAATACAGCCATGGCACTCTAGACTGAAATTTAAAATACAATGTCAAAAGTTGACATATGATATGTCATTCCATTCAGAGTGTCATTTTCTATGGAATAAAGTAAAAAATACCGAGGGTGCCACTTAAAAAGTTGTAGTCAATTCTGGTGAAACAGGAAGTGACTAAAAACAATTTATGTCAATCAATCCTAACTTATGTCATATACTAACATCCCAAATTTCGTGTTTTTACCTGAAAAAATAAAAAAGTTATAGGGGTGAGCTACTTTTGAGACGCACCCGGTATATTAGCTCAATTCTAGAGAAACCATTTAAACATATTCATAAAACTGTAGAATTTTTTTTCATATACTGAATCTATATATTATATTTATCTGAAAAAAATAAAAATGTTATAGGGGTGAGCGACTTTTGAGGTGCACCCGGTATACCAGGTTTTAAAAATATACAGGGACTTTTAAAAATCCCTATTTTTTTCTCATTATTTTATCAGAATAAAATTAAAAACAGATTTTTTCTGGGAATAGTTATTTCCATATTAAGCAAAAAAAATCACGTTTACAGGTATACTCGTGAGTGTGAAATCACGTTTTAGATTCAAACTTAGGTGTGTTATGTGGAGTTAATTTTGCGAAACACATTTTTCAGACTATGAACGAAAATACAGCAGCTTAAGAAAAGACAAAGACAGAAGAAGGAAAGAACGAGACGGAAGAGATTACAGGGATTCCCGAAGGTACTATGGAAGGTACGGCGAGGAATATGGCGTCGAGAATCGATCGAGCAGGCCGTCAAGTCGGTCAGACTCGATGCACGAATCCTACAGAGAAAGACGGCACGACCCCGAGCCCAGAGACAGAGATCGCAGACCTAGGGATAGGGATAGAGAACGGGACAGGCATAGAAACAGGGATCACAGAGAATCTTACAATCCCTATCAGGTAAATTAACAACTACAGAATTTTTTTTACCGTTAAGTAAGTTCATAGTTTCAGGGCATTTTAGTCTACATATGACTAAAATGTATTTTTTTAAATACTTTTTTAACTTTCTGTGTTGATTAATTATGACGAGTCTAAAGAATGTGTGGCGATCGTTTGATGTTACATCATTATTATTTGTCATATTTGCATTTTAGGGCGTGTCTGAGACAGGGTGCAATGATTTAAATCAACTTGATTTAAATCAACGGTTTTTTTTTAATTTCAATCATGGATTTAAATAAAAAAAAATAACTTGTTTAAAAACTTATGACAAATCGAAAGATATCTGTAAAAATTATAAAAACTTTTCCTATAAAGCTAAAAAAAAGTATATCAAATATACCTTACTGTATGTACTTATTTTCAAATAATCAAATAAGTACAAAGTTATACTTGCTGTTGTAACGTTTAAATGCTTTAATAGATTGAAAAATAATTGTAAAAGATATAACATATAACACATATTCCTAATATCTATTCATCTATTAAAATTTTGGACCGATTTTTGAAGTTATTTAGTGTGAATCCATTATACGTATTGCACTTCTAAATGGCAGGGATTTATTTTGAAATTGTGAAGTGCCAGAAATCCGGTATTTGATACGTTACATTCGCAAACTCTAGTGCAGAAGTAGTTTCTTCTGATGTCAGGTTATATTTTTATTTCCGAGGACTAATGAGTGTCAAAAGATAAACTGGAGTCGGTTAAAAAGACTGTTTTCTAACTTTTTTGAAACAGCTGGATGTTTTTCTATTTTATTATGCTTTCCTAATTTATATCTTCTAGTTCATTTCAAATTTCTACCGACATTTTGTTCTCAATAAGTACTTTGCACTTTGAACATTAGATGGTACTAATTTTATTCTCGACTTAAGACAGTCATGACTATTTCAAAAAAATCCTAAGCCACCCATTTTTTTTGGCGGAAATAGGGGCATCGGCAAGGTTTACGGAATAAAATATATCGGTGACCGGATGTGGAAAAACAATAAAGCGCCGTAGAAATGTTGATATTCTTAAAATCGATTTTTTTTATTTAAAAAAAATCATGATTTTTTTTTGCTCCCTGGACTGAGATCATATTGTTCAGATAATTTTAAGTACGTTCCTAAATTGTTAATTGAGCGAGTTCCGTATTTTCCGGCATTTATTCTTCTTAATTGTGTTTTAATAGCAATTTTTTCCAATTAAATCGTACCGAAAACGTTCTTTTCAGTTCAATTTGTTAAGGTAACACGAACAAAAAAATAATCGGAAAACAAAAAGTTATCTGGTTAAATTAAATTTAAAAAAATAATAATTTTAATAATTATTATTTTGGAACTAGGCATTTTTTTACCTGATTGATGAAAATAAGTATAGAGTATATTATATTCTTAAAAAGTTTATAAGGCAAATAAAATGAAAAAATAATATACAGGGCGTCCCGTTTAAAAAAAAACATAAGTTTGAATCATATTTCAATAATGGCATGGAGTTCTACGCAAAAATCTCTAAAGGGTATATTTTTCTCATTTTCGATAAGTTATAAAGTCAGAGATACAAAGGGGATCGAAGAATGTAAAATGTTCAAATTTGTCCAGTATTTCAGGATCTAGAAGGCTAGGACAAATCTATGTGTAGCATATTTAGTTTCATAAAAAAGTAGCAAAGTAATGTGAAAACCGCATCATTGTATCTCAACTCAGAAACGAGAAATACCACAAAACACACGAAAATGGGATACCCTGTACAGATGTGATGCGCAGTAGTGAACGCAACGTCTACCGGCAGTCAGACAGCACCCTGTTCCAGAGAGCATGGCAAAACATATATTAAAGAACCAGCTTTCTTAAAATTCTCTCGAAAATGGTTCTAGCTCTTGGACTATTATAACGGAGGAATATTAATCTGCCGATTTGCATGGTTGGGGTGGCCATACGAAGGGTTAGAAAATGCGAAAAGAAAACCTTTATTAAAAAAAGGATGTTAACTGAACCCTATCGAAGCTCCTATTCGAAAGACTGACGATTTGGACGCGACCAAAACTCATGGCAAAATTTTTAGAAATACATAGTTCTCAGCACCACACTGTATTGATGATTTTAGCTACTTTGGCTTATATATTTTGGCTTTCTATAGAAAACTTCAAATTATGTTATTCCCGTGATTCTTGAATGATTTCCTTCAAATTGCAAAGAAACAACGCTCGAGAATATCCAACCGACTTTTTTTGCAACTTTGTGACTCTCTCACATGCTTAAGTCACACTCCATTTGTCAAGTTATTTAAATGTACACTTTTCTGCATGTAATTAACTCGCCTTAATCTGACGCTCACGAGTTTTTCTAAGGATCAGTTTTTCCTACTCTGATTGACTACCCTTCACGCACGACCCTGTATCAAAGGTTCATGTATGGTGGGGGTACTTAACAGAGTGCAAGATTTCTCCCCTTAAGTTATTCTGTCAGGCTTGAGTAAATCCCAAAATGCCCGCTTGGGCTCTTTTACTATAGGCTTGGCACATTTTAGTTAATTTCAATAAATTCCGACCTCAGCGCTTCAACGGCAAAAATCAGAAATTATCAGTATATAGTTCACGACGCCGCGCCCTCATGTTGATCATATTAAAATAATATTGAAATCGTAGTTTTGTCATAATATTTATCTATTTTAAGCTTCATTCAGAACCTCGAAATCAGTGGAATAAATTAGTAGTTTCAATTAGCCGTAGAAGTTTGTTCATCTAATTTTAATGTAAGCATTCAAAACGTCATAATTAGTGGTAGTAATTTTCAATTATTGAAAAAAGTTAACAAACTTTTGACTTCTCCACTAATTATACTTCAAAATTTGCGAGGAATGTCATTTTGGTCTTTGATTATCACCCGTCAAGAAAAATTTTGGTTAGAAATCAAAAGTTTATTGTTTTACTTTGAATAAGAAGACTAAGGAAGGAGCATATCAAAATCTTAGGTACACCGCGATGGGCCTCAAATATGGCCGACTTAAATTCCGGTTTATCAGTGTCGTTCTAATTTTATTTAAAAAATTTAAAACTATGATGTAGGGTAGAGACGTGGGGTAGACTCGATAATTTGTTGTTTTATTTTACGTTGTGAATAAATGTTGGTAGTTATTAAAATTGTTATAAAAATATATAATTCTAATAAAAATAGATAAGTTATAATAAGTATTTATTAACACAAACATCCGATACGCTACTGAAGCAGGTAAGTCAAATTAACGTATCTAAATTCTTTGACATCTAATCTTTGACAAGTAATAAATAACAGCTAAAATGCAAGAAAAATATATAATTTAGTTAATTTAAGTGAATGATGTGTAGTATTTAAGTGAATGATGAATTTAAGTGAATGATTTACTACCTTTATACAACTATCAGTAGTAGAATAAATAATAAATAACATAAAATAAGCTCCGTAAAGACTGACAAATCCACAAAATTTCAAATCAAATTCAAATGTGTCAAATGAATCGTCAAACAGAACTGTCAAGGATCCCCACCCTAGAGAGCTTTTATGGTGGCTTTTCCGCCCACCATGCATGAATACATGGATAGCATTATGCTCCTTCCTTAGTCTTCTTATTCAAAGTTGTTTTATAAGCTAAATATTATGCTTTCTCTATGGATACAACAGACTACCGCAAGCTGTTGCTAGGATATTTCCTAAGTAATAATAATACTAATAACTAATATTTCCTATTTCCTTTTTAAGTATAAAGTGTAATTGAAACAACTAATTTATTCCACTAATTGGGAGGTTCTGAATGAAGCTTTAGTTTTTTGCTAGTGCAGTTATTGAGACTATAAAACACTCAGGTACGAGGTTTGTGTGATGTAACGCTGTTTCGGGTAGTAAAAAATAAGTGAAAAAGAATTCTCAGCTTTGTGTTGTGACAATTTCAAATGTTAATAAAATTGCCGAAAAAATGGTAACGCGTAAAGGAGAGCGTAATTAAGGCGTTGTTAGATGCAATAACATTCAATAGCTCGACTTTCCCGGATATTCAACTCTCCCGAAACAACATTTTATAGCTTCATAGTTTCTCACACCGATTTGATCAAAAGTAAAAATGGATCCAAGCAGTTTGACGAAACAAATGAGTAAACAAAGTGCTCGTTACATAATCGAAAAATTAAATAGGCATATATACTATGAGATGAAAAAATATAATTGGCAGTATTAATGGTATACTTTTTTTAATCAACTAGTAATTAAATGTTTTATGAACATCTTCTAAAATTATAATTAGTACCTTTAAAAAATTTCGTTATTGCCCCAATCAAAGGCCCCAATTATGCCCCACTAGCAAAACCGGTGATTTAAACTATGCTCGCTACCGTAGTTGAACTCGTTTAAAAACTCGTTTAACTGGAATAATAAATTATAATACAAGTTAGACCTTCTGAAGATATCAAAATATTTACTTTTTTATTTTTATTTTTAGAATTTTCAAAATATATATTTTGAAAATATACACTTTTAGGATAATTAAATAATAAATTTTTCTTTATTTTTATATTCTCCGATGGCGGCCGCACCGGCGTAGAATGCACCAAGCCTATAAAAAATTCAACTTGTTTTAATATAGGACATACTTTTAAAGATTTTTATTCTTTCCAAAGGGTTATGCCTACGATCCTTACAATCCCTACTACCAGCAGTACCAGTACTACGAAAATCTGCGCAGGACGAATCCTCAAGCTTATGCCGAATGGTACCGGAAGTACTACCAGCAAACAGTGGGCAGCAACGCGTCGTTCACGGCCGAGGACCGAGGTTCGGTGCACTCGGGACGGAGCTCCGCCAATGACGAGTTGGCTAAAGACAGGTATAATTTATTTTTTAGTATTTTAATGGTTTAAAGAGATTTTTGAGTTGCACTACGCTTTCAGATTACAAAAAAATGTACAGAATGTCTCTGAATTAAGTGCAAGTATTTTAACTGGCCGTATATTTCGACCGCAGAAACACGACGCGAAACACGAAATTTTTGAAAATTTTTAAGAGCCGCAGATTCATTGTGCTAAAATTTCTCAACGGTGTATTGCAATGTTGCCACCTCTTATATTACCCACGTTCTGCATGTTTGCGTTTATTCACCACAGTAATTTGAATTGTCTACACAATAAGTTACGAAAATTAATTTTATTTATATCGGTGACATTAATAATAATTCTAGAAAAACGCTCTTTGCTTATTTTTTAACACACACTAATATGTTTTTACAGTTAATTTTTACTAAACCGAAAGAATAAATCTTGACAATTATTGCATATTCTCACTTTTTGTTTTTTTTTTCAATTATTATTTATAGATTTCTTGTCCATTTGGCAACACTGGACGTTGAATGATCAAGCTTGCTGCTTGATTCCGATCAAAATGTATGTCTATTATCAAAATAAAAAATGTTTCTTTTGTTCAGATTTACAACCCCTTAAAATACTTGGATTTGTTTATAAGACACCCTGTATAATGAAATGTGTCAAAGAATGGGGTTGTTGGTAGCTTAAGTTTTATTTTACGATAAATAGTTATAAAAACTATCTATCAATATTCATCTTGATAAAACTATACATAATTATAGTAAAATTGATAATTTCTATAAGAACATCGCCTAATTTTAATTGCAGAATCATCCTGTAGATAAAATTAACGAAATTATAGAATTTTTTTTTTAATTTTAATAAAAAATAACTCAAAGTTATTAGAACAATCGCTATGAGATACATTTTCAACAAAAATATCGGCATAGAAAAATTGAAAACAGAAAAAAATTGATAGAAATTCAATATATTATAGTCGTTTTTATGTTCCAGTTGATTTACAATCAAAAAAAATTTAAATTTTTGTTAAAAAAAATAAACGTTCAGTAATGTTGACTTATTTTTAAAACAGTAAATGTTATATTACTATGACATTTGACACAGGGTGTGTTTGATAAACTCAGAGAAGCAAGGTACCACAGAGGCGCCCTAATATCCCATACTATGGAAAAAACGGCAAATATCGTCAATTGTTTCTATCAATTGGTAGTATTTTGGTTGCTAAACATTTTTTTTCTGTTTTCTGCATATTCTTCGCGCTTTTTTGTAATTTTATATCTGTTGGTTTGCCATTGGATCATCACGTTCACGAGCACCCAGCAACACTTCTAACAAACCATCTGGTTTTTATTCGCTTACTTTGTGCATTGTCTAGGTATACGAGGCAAAGTTTTTATAGCCAATCCAGCGCTGCCAACTACTACGGACAGTCTAGATCTCTGTCCGGTCAGTATGTCCTTGACAGTTCTAGGTGAGCCCCAATCTCTATCTCCCGATTACACCTGAGACACTAAATTTGTTTAATTTATTTTCTCTCAAATAGGATGTCTACCAAATCTATCAACATAGATCCGATAGAGAAATTAATATATATTTCATATCAAAACGTCGAAACTATATATATTTCATATCAATTAAACTTTTAGTTACGTAATCTAGGGCGCGATTTGTAAATTTATTTTTGTCAACCATGTACATATTCGGCGCCGTGCTGACTAACTGGAATTTAAATTTTGCGCTGGGAATTCAGGTGGTAGCTCTGCTGTAAAAAATGTCAAGTCATTTATTTATTTACTTCCTGACATTGTCATTCGGTTTGACACTTTAGTGTTGTATTACGAGTTTTTGCTTTAAATAAATAGTGTTGTGATAGATACTTTAAGCTTGAAAATGTTTACTAGCAGATCTTGCAGTCGAACATTGTTCTTTTTAGAACCTCTTTTAGTGCGAAGTGTTATAAGTGTTCGGCGATAGCTTAATAGCCGTAAAAAAGTCTGTTTATATTATTTTTGTTTCCTAAAATATTTTAATTTAAAATAAAATATAAAGGTGGGCAACACTGTGCTGGTTAAGCTTAATCACGTGACTGGAAGTTTTTTTGGTATGAACTGTATGTATATTTTTATAAAAATGACATTGAACTTTACAATAAAAATAAATGTTAAGTTTAAATAAAGCAGTAAATTTTGGTAGAGATCTACATAATAATTTGTACATACTTTAAAATATTTTTTTCTTTATTAAATTTAATGAAGAATTATAAACATCTAATTTTTTTTGTAGTATATTATACACTAATAATTGGAAACTAAGTGCGAATGTTATATAAAGTAGATGGGGCTATAAATATAGTTAATGTTAAAATCAATAGTATAGTATGGTTTATTTAGTAGCTTTTGGCTTTCTAACACTGCTTTATAATAAGTACTTATTTGACTCTTGAATGTTTTATTCTAATAATACACTAACTTCTAAAAAAGCAACTCTTAACCGTTTATTTAGTGTCTTGCACATTCATATTTTTTTCCCTTTAATGTATTCAAACTTTGTTTGTTTCTTCGTTTTTAATTTAGATATAAAAAAGAACGATGTTTGTGTACAGGATGTCCCACTTTCGTATGTTTTATGGAGTGTCTCGTTTATGAGTACCTAGAGATACCTAGATGCCTAAATATTTAGATGCGTTTTTTACATCGTTGCTACTATTTTAAAAAGTATTATTTTATTTAGTTTAATTTTAACCAGTTACATTTGCTTTCCATCCTGTTATCTTAGTAAACTACACTGAAAATGAACTTATGCAGCTTTTAAAACACTCAAGCAGAGTTATTGATATTTTTGATGTACTTATACAATAATTTTACTCATAGAAACTACCGTTTAACTATGTCAAAAAGTTAAAAAAGTATTTTTTTACCTTATTTATCAAAATGCATAGAGTAATATTATATTTTTAGAAAGCTCATATCAAGGTAAATAAAATAAAAAGATAAAATACAGAGTGCCCCATTTAAAAAACATCAGTTATGGTTATATTTCAAGAATTAGATCCAAGCGAAAAATTAGTTACGCCACTGAATTCTACGTGGAAAACTTTATGGGATTGACTTTTCAGCTTTTCTAGATGTTATATATATATACGATCACGGTTATTAAAAGATAAGGTTGTCTCGTAACTCGATCCGCCATTATCGGAAACGTCATCTACTACGTCACAAAGATGCTACCGCTCATAGATAAAGGGATAAAAACTGCCGACAGACCGACGGTGCATTTCCGAATCGATATTCATTGTGTATATGGTGTCCATAGTTTTTAATTGTTTGATGTTTGTTTTCTTTATTACATTGCCCATTTATCTCTCTTTGTCCGTTGCATTTTATTTTTTATTCCTTTTATCTATGATTTTATACGTTCTGTCTACGTCACAGGGATGCTATTCTGCTTCGCTCTTATTGTTCCAAAAGTTACGAGGCAACCTGTTATATAGTATCCTTGATATAAGATAACCAAGATATGAAAGGAGACAAAAACTATAACAATTTCAAATTTGCCCTGTATTTCAGGAACTAAGACGATTAGGACAAATCTGCTTTTAGGATCTTTAGTTTCTTAAAAAAAGTAGCACAGTGATGTGAAAACCGCATCTTTGTATCTCTACTCAGAAACCAGAAACCATGTCAAACACACGAAAATGGGACACCCTATACAGTTTACTATCTGGTACGCTTTATGGAAGTTTTATTTGAGAATTGCTTTTTACATTTTTTTAAAGTTCGTTAGGTTAAAGTCGAACTGTATATAACAAAAATTGTATGTCCAAGCTTAACACAAATCCTTAATAATATATTATTCTAACCAATCTACTGTCTTCAGTTACAATAATCGTACCTTCGATCAAACGGACACCACTCTGGCTTACGACCAGCAACCAGGAGCATCTCAGCGACTGACCCCCGCTAAATTCGCCACTGTCCATCTTAAAGCCTCGATCGCTTCAGGCAGATTGGTCAGGGTTCTGCCCAACTACCCCATGGATGACCAGAGTGCAACAGTGGAAATACGTAACCTAGAGAGTTTACTGGAAAACGATCCGGAGTATTTGGAATTGAGGTCTTTTCCTGGACCTTTGGTCAAGGGTGTCACCCACAAGAAACAGGTGATCGAGTATTGTGACAAGAAGATTAAAAGTGCCGCTTATAACAGAGGTATAGCTGATGTGGATAGTTACGTCTTGATGTGGGAGCTGTTGATTTTACTGATCAGACAGAATGGGGTAAGTAAAAGAAGTCTAAAAAAAGTCTAAAAGCTCTAGATCATATAAGCTTTGTGGCGACCGCTGTACGATATAATTTGTATTATTTTCTACAATTAAAAAATAAAATTTGAATAATGCCGACGAGCTATATAATGATGATATTATAATGATTGGCGCAGTCTGTAGGATCATTATTATACACTTTATTTCTGTCTATTTACTACAGTGTTCTGCTTGCAATTTGAGAATATTACTCGTAGGTATGACAGAGAATATCTTTATAATATGTTTGAAGCAGAGTTTGAAGGTCATTCACGAGAGATTATTTATACATAGATTAGACCAGATTAGATTTTTGAGCAGAGTTTGAGGGTTATCCATGAAAATATCTAGAGTTATACCCATTAATGGTTTTAGGCTCAAATATTTGATATAAGAAGGAGATCAACCTCAATTTCTCTTTAAATTTAACATTTGCACATTCGTTTGTTCTAGATGGTTGTAGGAACAGATATAGCAGAACTTCTTCTTAAAAATCAAAACACCCAAGTCCCACCACGGTCATCTTCAGTACTGTCAACTGCTAGCAGTACCGGGGTTGGCGAAAGAAACGAAAACACCGAAATACTTCACCAAGCTGCTTTGGAGAACGGTAGTACCAATTCCGTAGCACCAACTTCAACCAGAGAAGATGAAGTGACAAAGAAATTCAGAGAATATCTGTTGTATGGCTCTTGTAAGGAAGCTTTAGGTACACACTACTATTATTTAAAAGACGGAATATTTATTTTTACAATTTTTATTTATTTTTTGTTTTAGAATGGGCTATGAAACATGAACTTTGGGGTCACGCCTTATTCTTAGCTAGTAAACTTGATAAGAGAACCTATGCCAACGTTATGATGCGTTTTGCGAATGGCTTGACTCTAAATGATCCTCTTCAAACGCTTTACCAACTTCTATCTGGAAAAGTACCCGCTGCAGTAACGGTATGTTTAATTATAATAGATATTTTTTTATGTTTTAGGATTTCTATCATTTAAAATATGTAAATAAATTCTGTTTTACTAATTAAATCCTCGGGTTTTAGTTGATATAGTTTGTTTTTTTACTTGAAAATGGATTAGTCAAAATTGGCGAAGTCTATAGGATCTCCCAAGGTCCACGAATTAACAGGATCTGCTCAATATTTTTCTCTCTCAAATAATTTTTCATTAATTATACAATTATACAGTTTTTTTGTATATAGTTTCACATATTGATTTTATATATAATATACAATTTTATGTACCGGATGTTTCTCAAAAGTCGCTCACCCTTCTAACTTTTTTATTTTTTAGACAAAAAAACGAGATTTGGTATGTTAGTATATAAATTAGGATTGATTGGTGTATTCAATTTTTTTGGTGGTGTATTCATTTCCGGCGAAACAGGTAGTGACCGAAACTAATTGAATACGTCAATCAATCCTGATTTATGTCATATACTAACATAACAAATCTAGTCTTTTATCTGAAAAAAAGAAAGAAGCTATATGGGTCAGCTACTTTTGAACAGCATCCGGTATGTTCAGAAGAAATAGTGTTGATCATGGATCCATTTCTATTTTGTATTTTTTAGTGTGTATCTGATGAAAAATGGGGAGACTGGCGACCCCACCTAGCCATGATCTTATCAAATTCTTCTTTGCGACCCGATCTGAACTGTAGGGCTATCACCCAATTAGGAGATACTCTCCTGAACAGAGGTTGTCTATACGCGGCCCAATTTTGCTATTTAATGTCCGAAGTAGGGTTCGGAAAGCACGATGACGCGAGTACCAGGCTGGTACTGCTTGGATCGGATCACAGGAGGCCGTTCCCGCAGTTTGTAATCAACGAGGCCGTTCACATGACCGAAATCTATGAGTTTGCTTGCAGCTTGAATGACCAAGGGTTCTATATTAAGGAGTTCCAGGTGGGTACTATCTAAAAGATGTACAAATGGAATTTTTTTATTTATTTTGAACATAGTTGTTCAATAATTAAGTTAATAACAGAATTTTATACATAAAGAAATCAATAAAAGTTAGCGTGTACGTCATCAAAGAGGTCGAAAGTATTGCAATTCTGATATCTGTCATTTTCGATTTTTCTCACTTGATTTGTTTTTTTCATTTTCAATTTTATTCTGAATTTTCTTTGACATATTTGAAATTTAATCAGCATTTTGTTTTGTTAAAACTGCGATTTTCATTGCAATAAAATGCTAAAACCAATAAATAATCGGAAACAGCGACTTTAGTCAATAATTTTGAATAAGAAAGAAATAGTGCCGTTAGATCATATTAGCCCCTTTTGCCGTTAAACTGCGCCAGAGAGATAAACATTGATATTGTGGCTTAAGTTTTGCAGCTTTTATTGAAAATACATAGTGCTCAATGTCATTTTAAGGACTGTGAGTAGAATCTCACAAGAAATGTCATTCAAAAAACTTACTGATAACTTTATTTAATTAGAATTTGTTTGTTTAATAATAATAGATAAAGTAATAATGTGGAAATTAAAAAAATATTTGTATATGTACCTATGCTGTCTAAATTTGAAGTGAAAAATTAGTGACATTATTATGAATTTTATTTGACACTTGTCAAAAGTCAAAGTAAAAAAAGAAACCGTAGCAACAGTGCGACGTGCATTCGTCAAATATTTTGATTGTGTTCGCCAGCTTTTATTGATCTTCCTATATGTGTATCTAGATATCTAACCAGAAATATGTTTCTTATTTAGATATACAAGTATTTATTGGCTACGAGATTGGCCGACGCGGGACTTTTGGAGAAATCGCTTCTATACCTGGAGCGTTTGGCAAGTCATATAATCGCCCAGCCTACCGGTGTTTCTCCGGTACTTATCGACGGAGTTTGCGCACTATCCGACAAGCTCAAGTTCCACGATCCTTTGGGTGATCCTGACGAGGACGAATCGGCTTTTGGATCAGACCTGGAGACAAGCAGACCTGACAATTCGTGGTTGAAAGACTTGAAAGCCATTCAAAACGATTTTCAGGTAATTTTTTGTTTTTACTTAAAAGATCCCAATGAATTTTATTATAAAATGCTTTTAAAATCAACCAGTAAGAATAAAATATGGCACAGTTGGTAGGATACACTTCTTTTCTGAAATGTAATTCTGTCGTTCTCCACTTTTTCGGTGTTAGTAATTTTAATAAATATTTTCTTTGTATATCTTTTAGACCGGAAATATTGTACAAGACACTTACGTCAAACAAGAGCCACAAGTCGATGTACCGTTGCAACAAACCTACGCCAACGCACCAGAGCCTTGGCAATTGCAACAGCAGTACCAGTACGAACAACAAGTGCCTCAGATGTGGCAACCTGAGCCCCAAATTCAGGTCCAACCAGAAGAAAATATACCACAGCAACATGGTACGATTTTTATTTTTTTTTACCTTATTACATCATCATCGTTTCCAGCCTATTCAACCATTTCCAATTTTGATGTAGCCTCCCTTACATATTTAGATACCATATTTTTTTGTATGTACAGGATTTCGCGCCACTTTTCATCCGTAAATTTTTTACTCTAGCCACCATCGGGAAAACGAGAATTTTAAGAAAGCTGGTTCTTTAATATATCTTTTGCTGTGCTCTCCTGACCAAAGTCAGGAACCAGGCCGTCTGGGTGCCGGTAGATTACTGCGCATCACATCTGTACAGGATATCCCATCTTCGTGTGTTTCATGGGATTTCTCGTTTATGAGTAGAGATACAACGATGCAATTTTCACATTATTTTGCTACTTTTTTATGAAACTAAACATGCTACACATAGGTTGGTCCTAGTCTCCTTCCTTAGTTCACGAAATACAGGGCGAATTTATGATGCGCAGTAGTGAACAGATGTTGAATACAGATATATTGCGAAGTAGTGAACGCAATGTCTACCAGCCAGACGGTCGGCACTCTGTTCAGGAGAGCATAGCAACAGATATATTAAAGAACCAGCTTTCTTAAAATTCTCCCTCGAAAAGTTGCCAGCTCTTAGATATACGTAAAACAGCGAAATCGTTGTGGAAATGAAAATATAAAATGACACCAATCACAAACAAATCGTATATCCGATGAACGGTGGCTGAAAATGCAATAAATTAAAAAACTGCCTAATTTTCTAATCATTCGAAGTCTTTAAATTCAACCAATACAATTAACATCGTATCATCGGACAATGGATGCATGAAAATCAAGCTTAACGGACGCCTGAAAATCAAGTCTATGTCGTCAGCGAATCTTAAATCACATTATTACTAATCAGCTGTTAATTGACACTTTTTTTTAGAAATTATGACAAATCAGTACCAAGACCCTCAACAACAGAACTACTGGCCAGGTCAACAGGAACAGCCGCTTCAGTACATTCAGGATCAGGTACTGGATCAACAGCAACATTTTGATCAACCTCCTGGCTATTATGAGAGTTTGAATAATCAAGCAGAGGTAAGTGCTAGTTTTACACATTTTTATATACAGTATGTCCCCGGATTGTCTTTACAAGGGGAAAACTGTTTTTAATATTAATTTAAAATGTTAATAATAAAGAAGTGTTTCTTCTTGCAAAGACAATTCTGGGACATACTGTATACTTCTAAAGATATTATAAAAAATTAAATTTTTTTACCTCTAACCGTTTCTGAGATCCCTATGCTCTTCGTTCTTATCTTAGACCCATTGTATATGAACTTCATAATTTTGATATATATGTTATAATAGAATTTTTTAATATTTTTAAATTCTCTATACGTATGGCTGAATAAAATAACTTATTTTTATTACCCTTAAATTCTTTCTGGACACAGTAAATGAGTATTTCAGTTGATTATAGTTGACATTCTATTCAGAGTGTAATTTTCTATCGAATAAAGTAACAAAATACCGAGGGTATCATTTAAAAATCAGAAGTTGTAGTCGCTGAAACAGGAAGACTAAAAACAATTGGATACGTCAATAAATCCTAATTTATATCATATACTAACACAACAAATCTCGTTTTTTTATCAGAAAAAATAAAAAGTTATAGGGGTGAACCACTCTTGAGAAACACCCGGTATTTTATGATTGTGGCCCTAGAAAATAATACATTCTCTATAAATAAATAATATCAGAGAGAAAATTGAATCACAGTTTACTATAAAATGCTTCAATAGACCACAAAATTACATTCGCAACAATATCGCAAATCCTAAAAATTCTAACTTGCAAATCTCAAAAAAAAATAACAAAGTCACAATCGCAGCTATAGTAATACTGGTTGTCTAAATTGAAACTAGCAAATAGAAGATATCCTAATCGCAGTTTCCTATGAGAGCCAATCGCAGGTTGCGATTGCGATTTTAAAATCGCTGCGATTGAATAACAGTTTGCGATTTCTTGCTCATCTATAGTATAAAGTATAATTATTGAAACTACTAATTTCGAGGTTTTGAACGAAGTTTAAATGTTTGTAGAAAATAAATGTTTGTAGTGGAGAGTTAATACATTTTTCAAGTGTATATTTAGTGATTAAATAATTAAGTATTTAACATTTTGTATCTCAAAACAGAAGGCCTCTCGGACACATATTTATATAGTTAAAATGTTGTTATTTTAGTAGTTTGTATGTTAATTTATAAAAATTAAATATGTTTACTTTTTGGTCTTGAATACGTACCTGACTTATTGACGTATATCCTAACCTATGCATTTTCTCAATTATTTATTCAGTCATACGTTTTTGTTAATCTTTATCTCTGTCCTTTCTTGCGCCGCTTCGTTTGGGACGCAGCAGGACACGGAAAAAGCGCCGCCCGAAGTAAGTACGCCTCCGCCCTCCCAGCCCGCCTTCACTTTGCCGACGCTCCTGCGCAAACGCGCCCCCTTTTCAGAAACCGTTGTCCCCCCTCCTTTAGACCGAACGCCCTCTCGGGACAGCTCAGACGACTCTTACGAGCAGTTCGGGCATGCGCACAAGAAAAGGGGCGGGAACAAGTCCGTGTCCGAGGAAAAGCTGCTCCTTTTAAAGAAGGACAGCACTAAGATCGTGTCTGGTGACGGGTATAACACTTTCGAAGGTAAAACCAAGGGAAAGTTGACTAAATACAAGTCTCTGGATGTGTCAGAGTTCAAGAACACCACCGTGAAGTATGCCGATCGCAAAAGTAAAGTTTCTGTGTCTGCTGAGGACTTTAAGAACCCTAGAATGAGGCAAGATGTGGTGTTGGATACGGTGGACGCTTGGGCTAAGAGAAATTCTGCCAACAGAGGCATGTTTGCTAACTTGAAGAATAGTTTGTTCCACAAAAGTTCACCGTCAGTGGAAAAAATTGTTTATAAACCACTGATTTTCGGTGGGACTTACCCAATAGACTGCCCCATCGCTGGTCCTCCTAGAAACGTCTCGTCCGAGAAAAAGTACCCTTTGGGGGGTCCGGTAATCCCCAAAGTTAGGGAATATGGGCCCCCTAAAACGTTCAATATCGATCAGCCGATATAATGTCACTAGATTATACAGGGTGTGTCTTAAATAAGTGCAAATATTTTTAGGGGTAGTATATTTCGACCCCAGAAACACGATTCTGAGTTTTTTTTTCTCGAAAAGGAAATATTGAAAATTTGGATTTTTTTGAAAAAATTGTAATTTTTTTAGTTATTAGTTAAAAAACATGATTTGTTGATAATATTTATGGCATAGGTAGTAGATTAAATTTACAAAAAAGAAAATCCCGAAAAGATCCAATCTCAAAATTTTAACAAAAAATATAATTATATATTTTATTTTCAAAGTAAATTAACTCAGTTATTTTGGATTTATTTGAAAAACGGTAAAGAGAAAATATGTTTCTTTTATAGAGATGTACCAGCCCTGAAAATAATTGCACTTATTTAAGACTCAACCTGTATATAAGTTGACACAGAACAAAACAATTTTAAACAAATTCAAATGTAATACGTATCGACTGTGATGTAAATTCTTTAGTAGCATTAAAGTCTGACGCTTAGAAATGGAACAAAAAACCGAAAAGGTTAAATTATTTGTTTATTAAATTATAACGTATTTAAAATTGGTATATTTTTGTGCAATATTTTTTTTGTAATATACAGGGTTATTCATGGTAAATACCCTATTAGACGTTTATGAAGAATTACTTATGTTATATACCATACGATTGAAAAAAACGGCGTCAAGGACGGCTGGGAAATGACAATCGATGATAATTTTGGCGAGGTCAATCTCTAGACATCTTTTACCAAAAATTGACATAAAACGTGCCCCAAAAAATCAACAATAATAAAATTATAGAAAGATTAAAAAAGGATAGAGCGCATATAGAGCCGTTTCAAGACACACAAATTTATTTCCAAAAAAATTTCCAATTTTAAACTGCACGATTTAAAAATCATCTTTACTCTATATAAAAATAAATTATAACCTTCTTAAGACCAACTGGCAGTAAGCGCCATTAAAAAATAAAGATGAGTACGGGTCAAGTAATGACGTCTAGGACTTGACCTCGCCAAAATTATCATAGATTGTCATTCCCCAACTGTCTTTGACGCCGTTTTTTTTTCGATCGTATGGAATTTCACATAGAGAGCTCAAATTCGTTTACGTAAGAAATCAAAATTTCAGATTTTTTCCGTAAGTAATTCTCCATAAACGTCTAAGGACATTTTCTAATGAATAACTCTATATACCGTATGATCGAAAATAAAACGGCGTCAGATTGGCTTGGAAATGACGGTCGATGACATAAACTTTAGTAATTTACATACTAAATCTCCTTGGACAAATTTCTGATAATTTCCACCAACTCATGGTTGTGACTCTCGCCCTATTCAAAAGGCACTTGAAAACTAAAAAGTAAAGAAACTTTCATTAGGATAACTCTTACATAACCTATTTTATTTAAACTATGATAATTTACGATCAAATTTTAATATAAGTTGTGTCAAAGGATATTAGATTAGGATAAAAGATCTCATAGAAACGGTTCAGCTGAACAAAGAAAATGGCATGTTACAAAAATTGCAGTTATTAGACTATAAAAACATATGGACTATCCAATTTGCGGAAATATTATGCTGCCGAAAATAATTTGATGACACTGTGATAGTTTTTAAAAAAAAACTTATACTGGCGACTGACATTTGAAAATTTTTAACAAACATAAGGAGTGGTATTAAGAAAAATTTTAACAATTTTTTGAAAGTAGTTCAGATGTACTGTACCGCAATTTTTAGACTTAGACGTTAGACGCCTACGGATGCCTTATATTTTTGACTTTTATTGTTTTTTTAGTAGGCTTGCCCTAGTATTAGCCGCAAAAATGAGACACAAAAAAGTTATTTTAATCTCGGAGTGTATAGAATAAGTATAATCTCTTAGTGTTAGATACCCTACTGTAGTAATTTAGAAATGACGTTCAACACAGTAATGAATGTTTTGAAGAAACCGATGTTGTTATATATGTCGCTTTTTACGCACTGACCCACTGTAGTGAAGCGAAATACAAAAGTTTGTGATGGAACTGTCTACCGTTTTATATTTCTCATTATTTTTCTGTTTTTGTTTTTACCATAGACACGTATAAATAATAGACAAACTTTATCCATTAATTGGTTTTGACCTAACATAATACCATACGATCGAAAAAAAAACGGCGTCAAATACGGTTGGGGAATGACAATCGGTGATAATTTTGGCAAGGTCAAGCCCTAGACGTCATTTACTTAGCCCGTATTCTTCTTTATTTTCTGATTGCGCTTTTTGCCAGATAGCCTTAAGAAGATTGCAATTTATTTTTATATTGTGTAAAAATGATTTTTAAATGATGTAGTTTAAAATTCGAAAAAAAAACATTTTTTGGAAATAGATTTGTGTGTCTGGAAACGTTCTATCCTTTTTTAATCTTTCCATAATTAGTGTTAATTTTGACAAGTTTTATGTCAATTTGTAGTAAATGACGTTTAGAGATTGACCTCGCCAAAATTATTATCGATTGTCATTCCCCAGCTGTCTTTAACGCCGTTTTTTTTTCGATCATACGGTATTTGTCTTGAGGTATTCACTCTATCTACTATTTGTTAGAAACTGAGAAATAAAGGATTTATAATACAAAATGTTTTGCATGTTTTCTATAGTTGTATGCATACATTAAAAAATGAACTTTACTCACAACTGAGGTTTAGATCTGAAAGTAGAACTTGTGTACCCTGCCGATGCTCAATACTTAACTATAAACAGATAGATTGTTTTTTTTTTGGAAGACAGTTCCCTTAGTTGTTAACAAAAGATGTGTTTTTTGAACTGACAACATTGTTATTGTTATTTATAAAAAGGGACTATGATCTCGAAATATATTTACTACATATAAATGGAATAAAATTATTTTATAAGTGTTCTATGTAAAGGAATATTAGGCACAAATTATAACTGGGCTCGTGTATTTTGAAAAAAAGACTAAAATATATTTGAACTAAAAGGATGTATTGCCGTATATAATGTATAAGTTTTATATTGTTTATGTACTTTTTTAATGTAACGAAAAGGTATATTGTTGTATACATATCTGTACTCGCAGGGAATGAGTTTCTGAATTCATCAGAGCTTCAAATGGATAAAATATAAGTATATCTATTCCTACTGTGACATCGTTTTTATTTAATCGTTTCTCATTAAATAGAGTAAAACTTTATTCAGAACCTCGAAATTAGTAGTTTCAATTGGCGTAAGTTTGTTCCTCTAATTTCAATGAAAGCATTCATAACGTCAAAATTAGTGGCAGTAATCTTGAAGTAGCGGAAAAAATTATCAAAATTTTAACTTTTGCCACTAATTATAGTTCAAAATTTGCGAGTAATGTTATTTTGTCCTTTGATGGTCATCTGTCAAGAGAAATTTTGGTTAGAAATTAAAAGATTATTATTTTATAAGCTAATTATTAGGCTTTCTCTATGCATACAACTGATTACCGCAAGCTGTTGCTTGGCTATTCTATTAATTTTAATTATATTTTTTAGACATTGTGAATGATAGTAAACTCAAAACTATAAAGTATTATTAAAACCACTAATTTCTAGGTTCTGGATTAACTGCTTATTTTATAAACGAGAACAACGAAATCAAATCGTCATATTTTTCGAATTTTTAAAACTTGTTCCTTGTGTCGACAGATCTAAAGATAAAAGCAATGTTTCTTGAAGAGCCATGCTTGATATTTTGTACTTAGCATGCGTTATTGGAAGCTTTGTTGTTAAAAATAAATTGATGAAAGCCAGTATTTGAGTTTGTTTTTGAACCCGTAATATACAGGGTGGCCCAATGTTCCGAAAAACTCCATATTAACTTTCTTGCTTTTGATTTTGTAAAAGACTGGAGTGAAAGTTTGTAATAACAAATCTGATTGGAGCTATTTTTTTAACAATGGGTCACTCTGTACAGAGGCATTTTTAATAATGAAATTAACTTTTGGTTCCATTAAAGTTAAATTTGTGGAATAGATTTATCTGCCAACATTTTGTGTCAAATATCCAGAGCATTATCATATTTCATTTCATTAAAGTCGTTCAAATTCATATCATCATTACTGTTCCTAGCTAATATAGAGCCGAAATTACCTTCATTTTTACTCCATTTAGAGATGGCCGATTTAAAAGTAATTACATATATTTTTATAAACACACTTTCGCTAGTGATAAGGCTCTCTTGTTCTTGGTCTATTTATATTGGTCTATTTTATACTAAACCCGACAAATAATGTCAATTGATTAAACGGGTTGATTCATGTTTTAGTTGACTACAGTTTAACATTAAGCGTTGAAGTGATGTATTTAAATGATGTAAAATAGGTGATCAGAAAAAAAAATTGTGAAGGGTATCTATTAACATTTATGAAAAATATGAGTGTATATGAAACATATAGAATCCGAAATTCTAAATTATATAAGTAATTGTAATTTGTAAAACCAAAAATTACATTACATCAACGTTGTAAACAATCAAATACTTGTGGCTATTTGGACTCAAAATATAGTTGCGGTACTTTACATTATCTAGGGACTTTACTCATCACTAACACCACACTCCATCTATGCTTGTTAGCCTGTCATTGCACAGTTCCAGTAATGTTTTTCTCCTTCTTCGTCATGCTTCTAGAAGATGGCGCCTCCTGTACAACAACAGCCCCAGATATCGATGCCGAATCAAGCGAGCGCCAAGAGCGGCATTTTTGATGACGAGCCCCTGCCTCATGAAACTCAGGCTCAGAATCGATCACCGGCAAAAACTCAACAACAAAAACCTTCTGCTGGAGACGAAAGTGGTAAACAACAGAGTACTGGCTGGTTTGGAGGCATTTTCAGTAAACTGTCGATGAAGCCGAAGAATCAAATGAAGCTGCCCGATGATAAAAACCCGAAGGTAACATTTGTTTTAGTTAGTTATGTCTAGAAGGTATGTCTTTTCATATATCAATATATCATATATCAATATTTCAATCCTTTATAACTCCTATAAAATTTGGGGACTGTAGATTGTAGACCCTTTTCTTGACTGTGTCCCCCTTTCTTGAGTTATAATTCATCATACAGACCGGGCTTTCACAAAAGCCACTAAATGCCGGTCTTACAGGGGTTACAATAAAGTTTATGGCACGAATGGTTGTTGTCTCGGCACACTCAGTGATGAGGTGTTCTGGTGTTTCCTCATTTTTCCCACATAATCTGCATTCGACGTTATTTCTTAGTTTTCTAGACTTATCTTCTTTGCTTAATTTGTCAGCTTCTCTAGGCATTCCTTGACCAACTTAATTTTCATGTACTGACATGGTGTGTTTCCAGATTTATATACTTTGCTAAAATCAATTATGTATAAAATAAACACGGAAAAGGGCAACTTTCAAAAATTTGTCTGAATATAAAAATAGTGTTTGGAAGCCCCCTTTGAGTCTTTCTGTTTAATTATTTTTCAGAATAAAAAAAAATCTTAATACGGATATATTTCTTTTTCTTTCAAATCAGATTGTGTGGGACCAAGACAAGAAGCGTTGGACGAACGTGGACGGCGATTCAAACGACGCGGCCGAGTTCAAACCCCCACCCAAAATGGCGGACCTTATGCCCAAGCCGTCGCAAGCCCCACCAGGTATTGGTTTTGGTAGTTTGCAGAGTAGTAGTTTGGATTACGCTAGTGCCAATTTTAACGGTATAAACGTCGCATCTAACGATACACCGTTCTATATAGATCAGGGACCGGCGTCTCTACCAGTGGCGTCGCCTACCGGGGCACCGGGTGAGGACAGCGGCGTACCACCTAAAGCTGCGCAGCCTAATATGTTCAAGATGAATAGGGGCAGAAGTAAGTATAGTCTACAAAATCCTTGAGAATGATAGGTGCGTCTCTCATTTTAGTTTCGAAGTAGTTTATTTTATTTTACCAAGAATAAGTTTGTTCACAAACAAGTGAATGTGTTCTTTGTGAAAATTAGTCTCTATTTTTGTAAATTCTCAAACAATATTTGTAAAGCTAGGTTAATTTAGAACATATGTTTCATATGAGCGCAACCGTTCACTATAATGTTCTTAAGTCAAATAGAAGTAGTATGAACGGCATTTCATTAAGTTCTTTACGTTAAAAGTAAGGTTTGGATTATTATTTTTATTTGATTATGTTTCTTTATATTTTTTTTCAGATTTAAAGAATTCGTACGTCAACGTTTTCAAGCAAAATGGGGTTATGTCTTCCGGTGGAGGACCACAATCACTGCCCGGCCCTGAGTCCATCCCTGCAGCGCCTGCTCAAATGAACTTATTCATTCCCCAAGCTGTCAACGACCCTAACGCTCCCGTAGACTTTCTGACGCCAGGTGGCGCTCCAATACAAATAGGGGAATCACAGGTAAAGAAAGAATATTTTACATAAAGATTCGTGTACATTTGCGAGCCAGCCTCTTGCCCTTTTGCTATCTGATTAGTAAATGTATACATACCTACCTTATATATTATTTTACCTATTATTTCTATTTTTTATATATTATCATACCTACCTGATCCTGTACACACAGAGAAAGAGCAAAACAGTTTCAGTCAAAAACGTTTTTCACTAAAACTGTTTTGCATGTAATGCCTCAATGCAAAACGACAGTTGATTTATAACTGTCATTGTGTTCTGGCAAACCTTTTAAACTGCTATGTTTCATTTTCTTATAATATTTGTAAAAATATCCTCTAAAATTTGTATAGCAAACGAATATGTTTCAAAATGACCACATATATGATATTAGTGAAAAGTAGATTGTTTTTTCTCATTTTTGGATGTCATCTGTCGAAATCTTCCCTGACTCGTTGGGTAGACTTTACTCTGTTGTTGATTGGAATTTATATGAAATATAATTATCTGAAAGGAACATAGCAGTTCTCTAGTATGTATCTATCTTTTCTATTTTAACCAATTTCTGTTGTTTAGAAGAAAAATACTAAAGCATCTTGAGGAAGGATTTACGTAAGACCATTTGAGTGTTCTATTGGTTTGAGTATGCTTTTTGATAAAACAAATGTTGCCAGTTCTGGTTCTAATTCCTATAATCATATGATTTATTAAGAATTAGAAAGTTTAGTTATATTTAGTAAATTATTTTTTCCATCTTTTGGTTAGAGAAGTGCATGACTGGTTTTGATGCATGATCATTATCATTTTTTTATCATATATATGATTGTTTTGTTTATTCAATACGTGTGTCTCTACTTGAATATATTTAAAAAGGACCTAACTTTATATTAAATACTGATTTAATATTTTTAAGTAAATTGTTTTTAGATATACCCATTTTAACAATTTTTCCTATTCAATATAATAATGTACAGGGTGTGCCAAAAAGTTCGCAACAAACGTTAAGTTTAGCATCTTAAAAGTTGTCATTTTTTGCCATTATTTGCATAACTGTGTAGAAATAATATTATATTAGGAGCTATGTTTATTAAGTTTGCTTTGTTTTATCTAATTCTAATGAAAAAAAAATATAAAAAATATAATTTGCTGGCTAAGGCTAATCTGGACTTGACCTACTTTGTTTACGCGGAATAGGAACCGCGGTTCTCGGCCATATCATTGTCAATGACCTATCGATTTGGCGAGTGTCTAAATCGACTCTTACTCACGAGATATTCGTACTCATCCGGCTTCGAACCGGCGTGAATGAGCAGTGTATTAATAGATTTTACACTCTTGCCATGGAACAACAGCACGACAGAGTTTCCATGTCCCATTGATTTTTTGGGTTATTGGGTCCTGTAGCTTTTCCGCGTAAACTTTTTGGTGCACCATGTGTTTATATTTTTAAATTTGGTATGACACACACGTACTGCACTAAATGATTTCGCTTCTTACACACGCTCTTTGTGGTTATGGTAGATGTCTAGATGGAGCTCCTCAAGTTCGCTATCCAGAGAAGTAGCTTCATACATGCTTAAAAAAAATGTTCACCGCTAAAAAAATATCCAAAAAGAACCGTCAAGATTCATTTTTTCGGTAGGTAGATCATATCTCCTCTCTTTTTTTATTAATCCACGAATCTTGTTGTTTTGAATTTTATTTTAAATGGATTTGATCATTAAGTGGTAGATCGTTCCGTTTGATCGAAAAAAAACGGCGTCAAAAACAGCTGGTGAATGACAATCATGATATTTTTGGCGAGGTCAATCTCTAGTCATTTACTAAAAAATGGCATAAAACTTGTCAAAAATTAACACTGATTATAGAAAGATTTAACGTTAAACGATAGGAGGACGTTTCCAGACACACATCTATTTTCAAAAAAATATTTTTTCTCGAATTTTAAACCACACCATTAAATCATTTTACACAATTAAACGAGACGGGTGGCCGTCTGAAAACTCTGTCGTACTGTTAGCAATTAAAGTCGATTTAGACACTCGCCAAGTCGGTAGGCCATTGATCATGATATGTCCGAGGACCGCGGTTCGGATTCCGCGTAAACAAAGTAGGTCCTGTTCAGATTTGGCCTGGCAGCGAAAAGGAGACGTTAATTTAAAACCTTCTTAAAGCCACCTGGCAGTAAGCGCCATTAAAAAATAAAGAACCTTGACCTCGCCAAAATTATCATCGATTATCATTCTCCAACTGTCTTCGACGCCGTTTTTTCTTATCGTATGGTATATGGAGAGACAATAACTCTGTACTAATCGAATATTTATTCGATTAGTACAGGGTGTTTTTACATGGGTGAAAATTTAATGTTCTTGTATATGGAATATTATAAAAAATGTTCTTCGCCTACCGTGACGTGTTTTTATGTAATCGTGTATACACATTAGTAAACAAAGAAATATGAGTGTATATAGGTTCTCTCTTAAATGGTCAGGTCTATTAAAAACTTCGATATGGAGAGGTAGGGAGAATGAGTTTCGACGACTGCGCATCCAAAAATTTTCTTATAGCCACCACCTGTCATGTTCGCGCTTAGGTCTACAGGGGAGATCAATAAGTAATAATAACAGAGCTGATAACTTCTAATTTGTTTGAAAATATTTGTCTCTTTTGTCGTATATTTATTGCGAATAGTTAGGTTTGGTGAGATTAGGTTGGCATGTGTTGGAATTGTTTGTGTTTTTTTTTTAACTTATAGACTGATATAAACAGCTTTTATATTCATCTGAATTGTTTTTAGTATTTTATGTTTACTAATTTAATAATTATTATTATATTTGGTTATTATTTTAATCATGGCTTGGTTTGTGTTGTCCTTTAAAATTGTAAGAATAATGGTATGTTAGAAAAATATTAGAATTAGAAAATAATATATCAAATAAGAAATTCTAATTTCTAAACGAACAAACAGCCTAATAAAATAAGAAATATACATTTCTTCATCGTCTTGATAAATACTACACTATTCAATGGTAACATACTATATGTTATATATTATGGTAGCCTAATTAATATTACGCCATATTTTATGAGTAACTAAAGATGACCGTCAAGAAACCTATAATCACTATTACTTTCTGACCTCCCCTGTAGACATGATTTGAAAATATGTGCACGTTCATGCTCATTCTTTCTAGCTCTGATATCTGTAAAAATTATAGAAAAAAGGGAACTAATATATTTTAGGCTATTTTATACTAACTAATAATAATTTAATTTAGTACAAATGCGTTTTTACAGGGAATATAACTTAATTGAAAAAATAATGTTTTGGTGTTTGTAGACTAAGAATTAATATTTAAATTATATTCCTAATTTTTTTTTGTTTAATTTTTATTTTTTTATTTCAGCAACATTAACAATTAACACGACTTCGAGGACATTTAGGATAATCAATTTTTTAATATGGAACCTTCCGCGGTAATGGAGAATATACTTATATAATATAAATCGCAATATTTGTGATTAATTTGTTTTTTATATGTGATTATTGCAAATTTTATTAATTATAAATATTGTAAAGATACTAGCTGAAAGTGTATATTGTATTGAATAAGGGTATATAATGTTAAATTAAAGCAGTTTAAGTTTTTCTGTTGTTTTTTTTTTCCATACAAGTTTTTTCTGTTGTTTTTTTTCCATACAAACCCCTAAAATTTCGTTTTTAATAAAAGTTGCAAGAAAATTTTTAAATCCTTAATAAATTACTTAAGTAAATAATAAAAAAAACACGGATTGATTTTAAAATAAAATTTATTTAAGGTATATACCGATATTTTATATACATTATAAAGTCTACAAGTAATATCTCAGGTATGGCATCGTAATATACAAATTAAAAAGTCAACTAATTCAAAGTATATTGCCAAAAAATATATATAATTAGGGAAACAATATCAACAGCCTTGAAATAATAGTAAAATATTCTGCTGTTTGATAAAGGAAACTCTAAGGAAAAATTTAATATTAAACTTTATACAGGGTGTGACAAAATCTTCGTAACAAATGTGGTTTTTTTAATATTAAGTTAATACGAAACAATAATCCCAACTGTTGTGAACTTTTTCTCACACCCTGTATAATCATTTTAAATAAATAATGCTTTCTACTATATTTAAGCTTCCTTTATTAAAGCAAAAAAGAAATTAAAAAAAAATCAATAACGTTTTTTTGGATAGGCTCTCAGGAACAAATAAATGTTACATTTTTACGTTAATAAAATAAATATCAGTCAATAATAGTTTTTAACTGTCCCTTAAATACCTAAAATAAACTGAAAGTTTCCTATGTTTGATATTAGTAACGTCAGAACAATTAAAAGAAACACACTAAACTTTTTTAAGACGATGAGAGAAACGCTGAAAACCAAAAGCTGGTGTAAATGTACGAAAGAAAAGTCTTTGGTTTTCGAAAAAATCTAAAATTAAAAAATCCATCCAACTACAACATTTCCATTGAAAACACCGGTCTACAGAAAAATCAGCCCTGATTCTTATGTAAAATGACCTGAATCCAAATATAGCTCCAGTTACCGCTTTTCAAATAAGTCCAAAATAATAAAGATATTTTACTTTTTTAAAATTTCTAAAAAAATTGATTTTTTGCTTGAATTCTGACAGCCGCTGGATCTTTTCTGAGTTTTCTTTCTTGTAAATTTAATCTATTATTTATGTTTCTGGGATCGAAATATCTAAAAATATTTGCGCTTATTTAAGACTCACCCTATAAAAGTATATAAAAGCTAAAATAAATTATGCGAGAAAGTTTTACTCCCGGTCAGAAAAATGTTGCCCACGATCCTTTGACCCTGAAGGAAAATATTTACTTGCCGCCTTTGTACAGGGTGGCTCGAATTCGACGCTCATCATTGGGATTTCGGAAACCGTAAGAGATATATACAGAATCGGTTAAATGAAGGCAAAGTTGCGCAATTTGATGCTCAATAAAATGCCGTATTGCATTTTTATTTTTTATTTGCATAAAATATTCTGGTGATGGAATTTTCTGTACGAAACGTCGGCAAATATCAAAGTAACTATATATAGTGTTTTAAGAGTGATGCAAGGATTTAAATAAATTGAAAAAAAAATCAGTTCCGTATTTAAAAAAATTAAGTTGATGATGGTCGCCAGAATCCAAAACGTCAATATTTAATCACACAGAGTTATAGAGCAGAAAAAGTGGCCATGAAAATGTGTTTTTCATTTTAAGTTATCTTAACAAATAAAGCCAGGAAACAATAGAAAACAAAATTGAATATTCCGTTTTTTTTTCGAATATATTCGGAATTTTTCAAAACGCATTACGGCATTTTATTGAGCATCAAATTGCGCCACTTTGCCTTCATTTAACAGATCCTGTATCTCTTCCGGTTTCCGAAATCCCAATGATGAGCGTCGAATTCGAGCCACCCTGTTAGAGTTGATGAAACAGTTTGTGCAAGCAACGGATAAGACAGGTGACGCATTTCAATTTTTGAATACTAGATTTCCTCGTCTTAGTGAGGTTAAAATGAAGAAAGGAGTTCTTGTCACCAGATTACACATTTTCCAAAATTCCTGGACGTCTTCCCTGAAAACTTGGGAACAGTTAAGTCTTAAGTCTTTGACTTAAGACAAGAAGTCAAGTCCTTCCCCTACGAGATGCGAGACCTTGACGTTGGTGGGTACACGGACGGATCCAAAAACGATAAAGGATCTGGCGCAGGAATTTACTGCAGCAGTCCAAAGACTGAGATCTACCGTGGAAAACACACCACTATTTTCCAAGCTGAGCTATATGCGATTGAAACCTGTGTGCAACTGCTGGTAGAACAGCAATACACCGGGAAAACAATAAGTATATTTTCGGATAGTCAAGCCGCGTTGAAAGCACTTGAGGCAACGAAAAGTACGTCCAGGAAGATTCTTCATTGTAAGAAACTACTCAATATATTAGGAGATGGAAACAAAGTGTCGCTAATATGGATACCGGGACATGTCGGCCTAGAGGGAAATGAACGTGCTGATTCCCTCGCCAAAACTGGTGCAGGCTCGCCATTCGTGGGCCCAGAACCGACACTTAGCGTACCAAAAAATCTCGCAAGAGACAGGCTCTGTGAATGGGTTAGGGGTGTAACGCTTCGGGACTGGTATGACAGTCCCGGAATGGAACATGCCATGACAATCATAGCAGAGCCATCCAAACGTAGAACTGATGAACTCCTAAAGGCTGGTAAGAACGGAGCGCGTACGCTTACTGCAGTATACACGGACCACTGCCGGCTGAGATCACACCTACAGAGGATGGGACTGGTGGAAGACGCCGAATGCCGACTCTGTATGGAAGATGACGAAACAATGAAGGCACGTTATGTGTACCTGCTCCGCTGGGGGCAGGACCAGGTTTGAGGTGTTTGGCAAACCCACGCTAGACCTATCAGACCTAGAAGACATATCACCCTCGGACATAACGGCCTATGTTAAAAGGCTGGGTCTTGAGGGTGAACTTTAATGCTCTTTTTCTATTAAAGAGCTTGTAGAAACTGAGCCACAATAGGCCCTCGCGGCCTCAGTGGAGGGTCCCACCTGGGACTCACTCTTAGTAAAATACAAATACAATAAGTCAAGTCATTTTTGTAGACTTAAATCAAAATAAATATAACGTTATTTAAGTTGTTTTTATGACAAGTCTATATTTTTGACTTAAATCTGCAAGTTAAAAACCGGTTCCGAAATACTAACATTTTATTTGCTAGTGGTATGAGCTTTGTTTTTTTTATTCTGCCGCTTGGCTGCCGCCCAACATTTTAAAAAGTAAAAATGACTTATGTCTTTTCTAAAAAGACTTAAATAATTTTCTATTTCGGAATAAAGATTTAAATCACAAATCATTTTCAAGAAGACTTAAATTTTAAGTCTTTTAAAAGTCAGCTTTCGAAAAATGACTTAAAATCAAATGACTTATTCATCATTAAATGACTTATTAGTCATTAAAATGATTTAAATAAAAAAAAGACTTACGTGTTTCTGGTTCTGTGTGTTACATGTTCAGGGTATAAATGGCAAGTAAGCCCCAAATATAGTTTTTTTATTATTATTGTTTAGAGCTAAGATATAGTTCTTTTTACCTCTTAGTTCTCCAAAAAAAAATATATTATTTTCGTGATAAAAATAGAGAGGCGTGGTCTCCTAAAAATAGTGGGTGTTTGATGAATACGGGTGCTATACTTGTATTCGGGACGTCATTTTACATAAGCAGGAATAGTGCCAGAGCTTGAGAAAAAAATATTTTTTTGCGGACCGGTGAAATTAGGACTCGACAAACGAAATGTTGACGTCGGAATTTTATAATCCGGACATTTTTTTCATGTACATAATTAATTAAAAAAATGTCCAGTTAATAATACAAGACTAGTATTTGACTATAGTTTTTTTCCTCTCTGCAGCCCACTATCTCAAGAAAAAATAACACAGAAAAGCTAAAAAATGCTTCTGCTATTGGCAGTGATCGACTATAAAAAAACAGACTAATGAAACAGTTGATTGAAAATTTGTATGCTTTTTTCTTCGTATTTTAACATGTTTAAGCGCCAAGCACTTTTTGCGTCTCTATTGCCAAAATTATTTCAAGTACACTGCATAGATAAATGAAACAAGTTTAGATTGGAAAGTTCCTATAAGGACAATGTTAATACTATTTGGCACTGTTTTTGCAGCGGACACGAGACAATGCTTTTGATAATTTCGGAACGGTTCGGCATTTTCCGTAATTATAAAGGAAAATATTTTTTATTCGAATTTATTATTACTTTCTTTTATTTTCATAAATTAAATACCAGTGTGTTACATATAATTATTTTTATTTTATATAAACCAAAGATATAAACACACGTATGAAATCCCTAAAATACATTAAAAAAACTGTAAAACAGCAGTGTGAAGTGTGAAGCGTTTAGATCATAGTTAAAACCTGATCCCTCAGGTTTAATAGTGCTAATTCAATGTTGGAAATACGTGGATCGCTTTTTGATGGAACCGATGTTTTATCCCACGGTGGTTATTACAGTTCACAAAACAGTTTTTAAGTTTCTTAATGCCACTTTTCCTCAATTATCAAGATCCAAGATCATAATAACTTAAAAAGAACACTTTATATACTTTTCGGTATTTTTTTCACCAAAAACGGTTTAAATTTTTGAGTTTTTTTAGGAATTTTTCAATTTTTGAAGATACTGAGTTTGACAAGAGAAAATTCTTTTTCTCCTTGTTTGCGGTTGTTCTTAGCAACTGCTATAACAATGTCCCACAACGTATGTCATTCAAAACAATTGTAAGTTTTTGTGAGAAGCCGAACATTCCAATCTATATTTATTTCTTTTATCTATGGTACACTGGCAATATTTTGAGGTTATACAAATGTATGATCTTGTATTCTTTAGTCAACTGATATGATCGAAAAAACAGGCGTTCCAGTGATCTTTGAAATAAGAATGAAAATCGTGGCCAGACAAATTTTTATCTTTGATTCCCCTCCCCCCACTGCGACGCCCTTTTTTTCCGATCGTATATAGTATACATTTCCTGAAATACTAATGGCAATCAACGTATACTGCAGGTCTATATTTTCTTTTACTAGATATTTGTACAGATTAACTAAAGAAGGTCTAGGCACGATTATAATTGCAACATTCAATTTTGTTTCTGTTTGTTAAATTTCCCACTTATTTTTTCTAAGTAAACTTTTTTAATAAACAATGCAAAAAGACATTTTTCTAAAGCAGATTATACTCGTATGTACAGGGCGTTCACTATATTTTAGCTGTTGAAAGCACCGATTTTTGAATATCTGCTTTTATTAAAAATTTTGACCGAAAGTTTAAAAAATCTCAACTACCGTTTTTTATTTTTAAATCTATATCACAGCCGTTTTGTTTTTAATCTTGAATCGGTCAATATTTTATTTATTTGTCAGATTTGTCGGGTTTATAGTAGGTCTGTTGTACAAGGTGTAAACACATGAAGAAATTGAAAAAAAAAACAAACTGATTTCTGTGTTTCCATTCCATAGCTTTTTTATTTTGAAGATTTTCTTCCGATAGCGAAGAAAAAAAAAACAGAATTCTTTTCAAGATTTGACTAAATTAGTACTTAAAGTGTACAAAAAGAACACTAGTAAAATGTAGTTCAAAAAACTTACAATATTACAATACTACATTTTTCTTTATATACAAATACCTTCAAAAATGAAAATAATGATGAACAAATTTTAAAGAAAACTTAGTTTCTGTTTACTTGTAAAAAAATACTCTGTATTCTGTGCAATTAAACACAAATAAGTCCCTGAAGAAAGTACTTACGCCAGTCTCTCACGAACCTAACTACTATTAGTTAATTGAAAGTTATAAAGTTATATTAAAGGAAAAAATCTCCAGTTTAAACTAAAGTTTAGACTTTCGATTAATTTCAAGTTTTAATGGTTTTTGTGTCATGTCAATGTCATGAAATGACATTTGAAACCTAGATCACATATATACTGACGTGGATAAGTAAATAAGCTGTCGTAAATATATCAATGACGTACTATTATCGTATTTCTTTATTGCACGCACGGTACTGTTACTCTATTTATCCTTGGTTAGGAACTATCGCCCCCGTGCCAAATTCAAACATGAATTTTAAAAATTGATGTGCAATTATAAATAAAGAGATAAAATTAACTAACTGAACATACTTGCACCATTTACAATATAAAAGTGTGATAAAAGTCAAAATAAAAAAAAACAACTGTCATAGGCAATGAAAATAAGGTTGAGTTTTATGATTTTTATGACAGGTCCCAGGGTTGTCCTTAACGACATTTAATTTGAACTTTTTAAACCTTACAAAATTGTACTTTTTGTATAAGATATTAAAAACGAGAATTTATTCTTTAATTATTGACTGAGACTAATACAGTAATATATTTTAGTATCAATTATTAAGTATTTCAATTCAAACGAAAAATAATATAAAATTGGTAGCGTTTCCAAATGAACTGTCCAAAATGAATACAATATTGTGCACTACTCAACACTTGTCATAATATTGGAAATATGTTCAATGCGCAAAGCAAGGTTCTCGGAAAGGACAAATCTATTAAACGCTTCATAAATGCAATAGAGAAGATACGAAAATAGCATGTCGTCATGATTTCTAATGGTATTTATGGCATAACCATTTAATCTGAAGGTAGATTTCATGTGCTTGAGAAAATGCAAAGCTTTAAATGCCGACCTGGTGTGATCTAGGACGATCCCTGAACATTCTTTACACACCAGACATACATAAACAAATATCTCTAAAAATCACAACCCTGCCAAAAATAAATCCTCGAGCATTTTACAACCCTTCTACACCGACCTGCTATAACCCCAAAACTATGTAGTTTCCTCAAAAGTTTACCCTGAAAAAGCCGACCTTCTCTCTATCCTACCTACTGCCGTCGACCTCTGAACGGTTGCTGCTACTGCTCATGCTGCCGCTGACTAGACTGGTGAACGCCGCCGCGAAGAACGCGTGGCCGCGCACGCGCCGTTACGACGACACGTCGTTCTGGAAGACGCGCCGCTGCGGCTCGGGCGTGTAGTGGAAACGCGCCCTCAGGTGTTGTGGTGAGCCTGGCACCGAGGAGCTCTCCGACAGGCGTCGAGGGGGAGGCACGGGAGGCGTCGGTTGTACATACCTGCAACAATCACAGTAAATGTCGATTCACACGTGTCATTAGTGATGAGCAAATGCAATGTAGCATTTTTATTTTCCAAATGCTACTTTGTTTTATTATAAAGTTACGTCGGTATTTTTTACATTTATAGGTACAACACTTAAATTTCGGAACGCTCTCCATCAAAAATATTTAATTGGATAAAGTGTATAAATCTGGAGAGACCATGCGCCTAACAAATCACTATTTAAATATAAACTAATTTTATGTCACCTACCTGCGAGATAGACTAGGCGAGTTGGGCGCGTGCGCGTCTAAGAAGGCCCTCCTTAACGCCAGAGGGCTCTGTTCGGCGCTGGGACCCCGGCTTAAGCGAGGGGGCGGTTCGGGGCTCTGGTGCCTGGAGGACCGGCCGCTGCCCCTGTCGCCACCTAGCTGCAGTTTGATGTACGAGGCGAATCGCTTTTTACCTAGAGATATATGACGATTTTGGAATGTAGAGAAATCGATAAAAGTTGGCGTATTACTCGAAACTATTACCAAATTAAATTTCGAATAAATAAAAATTCGTTTGAAACTTAGTGCGCATTTTTTTTGCAGTGGCGAAATACCCATAGAGGATTTTTTGGAGAGGTTTTTTCTTTTTCTTATAACTGTTATATCCTGTCGCATCAAGTAAAGAAATTGATAAAAACGACTTTATGTTGGTAGTCATGGCAAATATTGCCAGTTGTCATGATATTTTTCGATTTAGTTATTTTTTTCTAATCTGACATTTATCATGTTTAATTTTAATAATGACTAATGAATAATAATTGACTAATGTTGATCAATAAGAACTTTACATTTTTCAGGTTTCATTTGGAAAACTTACAAATAACTTTATTTCATTAGAATTTGTTTACATAAAAATCATAGACAAAGTAATCAGGTAGATATAAAAAATATTTGTTTATGTATTATGTCTAAAATTGAAGTGAAAAATCGGTGGCAAAATTGCAAATTTTAATTGACACTTGTCGAAAGTCAAAATAAAAAACGTAGCTATAGGAACATCGCAACGTGCATTCGTCAAATATTTTGATGAGGAGCATACCAACTTTTATTGATTTTCCTTATATTGTATGTATATTTATGGATATGCACATGTATGGTAATCGCAAAACATTTTCCGATGCACGTCATCAATCATATCGAAATTGGCATTAAAGACTATAAACCTGACTAAATGAAATTTTGGCCAAAATGTTAAAATTTGTTGTATAATTTAAGATACCGAGCAGCTCTTAATTTTACTTTATAGAGCAAATGATTGTAACAAATATTTTATTTAGATTAAAGCTGCAAAAACTAGTTTAAACCGAATTTTATTATCGCTATGTTGGTCACATTGCGCCGTGTTCAGCAACGTTGTCGTTTATTATTTAACAATTATCATGTCAGTCATTATTTTGTATAATATCGCGTTGTTGATGAATCTTTGTGAGTAATTCTCGCTTTTTGCCTATTTTCATAGACTTTTTTTAAAAATTGTACTTGTAAGCACAAACAGTTCTTTTAAGAACTAAATTCTCGAGTTTTTGTATTGCATTTCTTGAAATTGTGTGTTGAAAATATGCCGAAGCATTTAAACAGTCGAAGCAAAGAGCCTGTAGCTTCCCTGATAAACTATTTTGAACGAGAATGTGACAATAAAGGTGCTTTATTACCCTTAATTACAGCTAGAGAAGTAAGTTTGATTGGTAAGCATATTATACCACTTTCAAAGTTATTTCTACATTAGTTTTTAGTAAATTCTGTGATTAGTTTGTGCATTAATGACAACCTCTTACTTATTACTTACCACTTGTGGTGTTGTAAGTTGTACATCAATAAATAAATAAATCAATGACCCATAATAACGCTTAGAATAATCTTCATAATGGACTAGTTTTTACCAATATGTAATAAATAATGTAATATATAAAATACCTATATAATAATATGTAAAATAAGCTATAAAACAAATAAATCAATTAATTGCTAAAATATTAATTATTAAATTAAAAATAAAATCTTTAAAAATTATATAATAAATATATTGTTTCCCAAAATTTTAGATTAAGATTCATCACAAATCTATCACAATCTGGCAGCGCTGTCGCCATCGCTTGTCACTCAAGTTTGATCACGTGCATCGGAAATTGTTTTCCGATTACCGTAGATATTTTCTATATACATACATGGATCCGTTTTGGCGCTTTCCTCTGCCTCCTTGAGGACTTGCTGTTGCTTCTGCTGGTGGTAGAAACGTTGTAAGATAATGGGGCTTGTGTTGCCCTTGACGTAATGCGATTCGTCCGTCTCAAACTGGTTCCTTAACGGCAGAGGAGACCCAGGGGGTAGTTTCCACCTGGGTTCGCTCGAACTTCGCATTTCCTAGAACAGTTAAACCAATTTTTATGACTGGTTCATGCTTCCTATCTTAACCCTAACACTAACAATCCTAATCCCAAGAATATCAACATTAACTAAGGCTAGCCGTGCATGTTTCCGACACATCGATCTTAACTTTAACCTTAGTTCTAACGGGTAATGAGAAATGTGGGATATTTTATATACGAGTACTTGGGGCTAATGCTAATACAAAATTAATTTGCGCATGCTCAAAATTAGAGTATTTTGGGGCTAATGCTAATACAAAATTAATTTGCGCATGCTCAAAATTAGAGTATTTAAGAATTGAAAAGTCGGCTCGAACAACGTTGTAACTTACATTTTTTGAAATTTTCAGAAAGGACAAAAATCGATATATCTATTATTTTTTTCCTTTAAAATGAAAGAACGTTGTAATGTGAACGTCATGTTATTACCAATAACTTCCCGCCATCTACCCATAGCTAGGCTGCATAGCATTTTACACAAGAAATATTTGGAACCACGTTGTAACTGCATTGTTGTTTGTCAAACAGAACTCTCAAGGCCCCCACCCTAGAGCCCTTTGTCCGTCCACCTTGCATGAGTACATAAATAGCATTATACTCCTTCCTTAATCTTTTTATATATCTGTCGTGTACATCAAAATGGAGACCACGGAAATAACGTGACCAACATGGTATGTATAAATCAACGCGAAATACTTACAGGCAAAGACGAAGGTCCCGAACTGCCACCTCTGGCGAACTTCCTCTGCGGCATGGGCGACCTGAAACCCACCTCGTCTCGCTGTTGCAGCGTTGCCAGATGGTTCTGGTAGGCTTGCAGCGGGGAGAACCCGCGACTGACGGCTACAGGGGCGACCGCTCCACCCCTTTCCCTGAATGCTTCCAGGCGGGAATTATGGCCGAACGGCTGCAGCACCGGTTGAGGCTGCTGCTGCTGCTGCGGGAGTCGCTTGGCAACGTCGCATTGGGGCTTCGGAGCGAATGAACTACCGTTGAGTGTCGACGGCGGGAGTGACACGGTAGGGTGTTGCGTCGTCGTGTTGAAAAAATGGCGGACGGGGTCAGGCGGTACGTGTCTATGTAATAGGAAACTAACTTTAGTTAGAAAAAAATATGTTTACCTAAATTTCTTATAAATATGGGGGGTTGAGAATCAAAACTTGTTAGCCATTTTTGGAAATCTTGAGTAAAAATATCAATATCTAGTATTGGCCGCCCTGCACAATATTCAGTATAATTTTTGTAGCAAAACTCATTCTAGCCTTACAATCTACATGTTAAAATCGTGCTTTGTTCAAAACTAATCTTATTCACGCGTATATTGGTAACAAAACTTGTCATATCATAATTACTAAAAATGGAGAAGACGTGTTTTGATACTTATCCCCTCATATATTGTCGTATTTTTATTTTTATGATTCTTTATATGTTGGTCCCTATTTGTTTTAAGATCATATATTGCCTAGTTACGACCTTCAATGATTATCCTACAGGGTGGTTCGAATTGAAATCGGGAAACCTAGGCAATATATTATGCACATAAAAATAAGTAAAAAAGTTCGTTTAAATTTATGTCCTAAAATGTTTCGTTTTGGATATACAAAGTGTAGAAGTTTAATTTTTATTTTTTCCCAAAGAATTTCTGAGTTAACATGGATAGTTGGATGAAATCGGTGCCTGGATATTTTTGACATTAGAAATTCGATTTCTATGTCAATATGACTCCTAATAGTAGGGCGCGCCACCTACATGTTTTTTCGGCTATTTTAAAAAAAGTAAACATGTTGACTAGATAGTTATTGAATAAAAGTTTCAAGGTTTAACAGAAAATGTTTTATCATATTTTTTTCTAGAAAATGTTATGATTAATTTAAAAAAATAAAAAGTTCCCAAATTTATAATTTCAGTCAAGTAACTACCTAGTCAACATGTTTATGATGACATGAATTGGTTATTTCGATTCCAAATATCTTGACTGGCCTTAGCGATTTTTATATACCAAGAGACCTTTTTTACGTAAAAAACGGTAGAAAAGTATATTTTTCAGTAGGGGAAAAAAAAAAAAAAAAAAAAAGAAACGAAAAGTTATTACTTTTCAAAACAACTAAAAAATATGTAGTAGGCGCCCCCTACAAGTAGGAGTAATACTGATCGAAATCGAATTCCTAGTCAAAAAATACTCAAGCACTAATTTTCATCCAAATATCGACGTTAGTTCAGAATTTATTTCGAAAAAAAAACTAAATAAAAATGAAATTTCTACACTATTTATCTCCGAAACGAAGCATTTTAGGATATCAAATTTCATGAACTTTTTACATGTTGCCAAAGTTTCCCTATTACAATTCAGACCACCCTGTATAAAAGTAAAATACCACATTGCACATTCTTATGGAAATGAAAAAAAAATTAACAAAAAATAAAATTTTCTCCAAAAATTTCAATCGAAATTTGATTAAAATTGAATACTGAATCTAATTTTATGTTAATTGTAATAAATGTACTAAGGATAGACACGTCTAGTTACAACATATGCCTATAAAGACATTATTTGTATGAAGATTTTAATTAGAAAAAATAAACTCCTTCAAAAAAAACCTAAACAATAAAATGTACAGGGTGGGTCAAATTCAACGCTTTTAAATGGAAACATCCTTTTCTATAGGAGATAGACGAAAACTAATATCGGTGTTTGGAGCTCAATCTTCATCAAAAATACGATGGTGAAAACCGAACATCAATATCTGTTACCGTTTCGGAGTTACGGGGTGTTTTTCAAAAATGTGCATTTTTAACAAATCGCTGTAACTTGTTTGCTATGGAAAATTTTGTATTTCTACGAAAACATTTCCAAAGCATCTTTTTGAGTAGAATTTAATGGTTTAAGTATAATTTTTTTAAAATTAATAATTTAAGAGTTATCAACAGAAAAATTGATTTTTATTTGGGACACCCTCTATATTTTTAATTAACTGAAAAGAATTTAAAATTACCTTTCCAAAAATATAGCACAGTTGATATTTGTTAAAATGCATATTTTTGAAAAACACCCCGTAACTCCGAAACGGTAATAGATATTGATATGCGGTTTTCACCATCATGTTTTTGACAAAAATTGAGCTCCAGACACCGGCATTAGTTTTTGTCTATCTCCTATAGAAAAGGGTGTTTCCATTTAAAAGCGTCGAATTTGACCCACCCTGTACCTACATATGAATGTCTTACAAATAAACATGTGTATAAACATCTAAAATTATTTTTTGAATACTACACAAACACAAACAGTAAATAATTTGTAATGCATTTCTTAGTCACTAGCAATTAATTGATTAATACGTTAGACAAAGGTTAATATACACATCTATACTCGAATTTTATTTATTACAATTTAAAATACTCTCTAAACGAACAAAAAATAAATAAAAATCAAGCAAGTTATACAAGTCTCGTGCTCCCAGAATTGATGTAAAAAGAAACTCCAACTTTAAAAAATCAGCAAAATAACTGATTTTCTCGTTCCTCAGTATTTTTTTAATTTTTAATGATTAATTTTAAGCCAGTAAGCGAGGGTTTTAGGGTCCGAATTTTGAACACCTGCATCGATTGACGTGAATTTTTAACAGTGAATAGAGATATATGTAAGAAATAAAAGTTATATAGTAGCGATGTGTGCTTTTACCCTGAGGGTGAATGCCAACCCTTCTCTGGGGTGAAAAATAAGTCACCCATTTTCATTGCAAGAATCAATACAGGCATGAATTCTAAGCAAAAAATGTTCGAAAGACAAAAATCACCTTTACAGAGTAATAACTCGGCTATTATTACACCTACAGTAATCAACAAAAATGAATCGATTCATTATTCCAAAAGCTTAATTTTTTCTTTATATGAGTTTTGCGATAAAACGCAAGGTTTTCGAGTAATTTATAAAAAATGACAGAAAATATGTAGTTTTTAGATGAAAAACCGACATTTTCAATCCAAAATAACTCGGAAAATACACACACCGGAAAAGTCTAGGGATATTACAATTTTATCCAGCCATCGTCAGTAATTTTATTATTTGCATTTCTGATATAATAAAATTAAAATAAACAAATAGTTTACAGGACGTATTGGAAATAAAAATGCGAAATTTACCGAATTTTTCAAATTTACCTTTATTGAACTCAAAAAAATACACACATTTTTTTTTATTCTAAACTGTGAATTAAAAAAAAAGATAAAACCATTTTTACTTAATAAAGGGCATGGCCTCCTCTACTGTTTATTACAGCCCTACATTGTCTCTCCATGCTCCTGATCAGGTTGTCGATCTCTTCTTGAGGTACAGCCTGTCACGCTGCATTCACGGCCCGAACCAGATCCCTACGAGTTTCACGAGGCATACCCATTCTCAAAATTCTTCTTTGAACCGCGTCCCATACGTGCTCGATGGGGTTAAGGTCAGGAGATTGTGCCGGCCAGGGTAAGATGTTTAATTGATGAGCATTGATAAACTCACTTACCACTCTGGTTGTATGAGGCCGTGCATTGTCATGCATGAGAATGAAGTTTCTCCCAAAATCATTGGCATATGGTAACACGACAGGTTCAAGAATTAAATCACGATATGTGATTCCTGTTAGAAACCTTTCAAGAAAAACGAGATCGGTTTTCGGCCTAACTGGACTCCTCCCCAGACCATAACTGTTCCACCTTGATAAGGGTGCACTTCCTGAACATGATCCAACCGAATAAGATTTCCCGGTTCTCTCCATACCCTAAGCCTTCTCGAATCCGGATGAATTCCAAAGCGTGACTCATCTGTGAAGAGAACATTGGCCCATTGTTCATTCGACCACTGAACATGATCTTGAGCCCACAAATATCGTACCTCTAGATTTCCTCTCGTTAAGGGTTGAGCTCTCCAGGAGCGTCTGCTTCTTAAGTTGACCTCTCTTAATCTATTGCGAACAGTGTAAAGACTAACGGTTACATTATGTGTTTCCTGGAGAATTAAACTAAGCTCTGGTGCTGTAAGAGCCGGTCGGCGTCGAGCATTTAATTGTAAAAAATGATCTTGCTGAGGGATAGTAATTCGATGTCGCCCTGTGTGCCTTTCAGCAACATCACCACTTTCATGGTAGCGTGCACTTAATCGCGATATTACACTTTGCGTTGTATTTAATGCTCTAGTTACGTCGATCTGGCGCATTCCAGCTTCGAGCATACACATGGCCCTTAGCATTTCGTCTCTGTTAAGATGTCTACGCTCCATAATGTCGTTTAATACTAAACAGAGTTATTTGAATGAATTCTGGCCAGTTTTCATAAAAACATAGCCAGTACAGGTTAAATTCGAACAAATGATGCTAGGTGCTTTTTATACATTTGACAAAAAATGCACAAACACTTCTGCGAATATCCCAAATTTAGAAATAACTAGTGTGACAACATCGTTTCAATCGAAGTAGAAAGAATCGGCCTACATATATGTGGTTGTTTATTCAAAACATTTATTTTTAACTTTAATAAAATTATATCCCTAGATTTTTCCGGTGTGTGTATTAATTTTCTGAAAAAATGTTATAGAACATTTTTTGCTTAGAATTCATCCCTTTATTGATTTTTTCAATCAGAATAAGTGATTTATTTTTCACCCCCGAGAAGGGGGTGTCCCCCCCAGGGTGAAAGCACACGTCGCTACTATCTAACTTTTGTTTCTTGTATACATCTCGATTCACTGTTAGAGATAAAGAATTCGGAGGTAATACCCCATTTTTATCCTCGCTTACTGGCCTATTTGCTTCTTAAATAATTTAAAGAAACAAATAGGTTTAAACCAGACAATGAGCTTGTATTGAAGTTTTGGCAGCCGAGTTTCCCTTTAACTAAAAATAAACCACAAAAAATGCATACAAACCTACTTGTAAAAAAAGGGGGAGTGGGGTGGGATGAGCACAACAAAATGCAACCTAATGCATCGCGGGCACTGCATTCTCTCTGACCGACGGATCGTCATCATCGAAATCATCATCCTCATTCCTAAATAATCAAAATGCTACTTGTACAGTAAACGAACCGTTTGTTTGGATTTATTTTTTGATATAAAATGGAGACCATTTCAATACGGGAATATATATTTTTTTCGAATAATACACATGAATTTTACTGTTTTTATTAGATATTTATAGTACCCATTCTATGTATATAATTATTGATAATTATATAATTAAGATATAATGGAATGATCCTATTAGAGTGAACTAATTTTTGTTTCAAAACATAGTGGTAAAATAGGTATATTGTTATACAATAAGGTCCAGTTTTTGAAGCAGGACTTCATAGAAATATCCAAATATATTCTAAGACTATATTGCTAGTAAGGAACAGAAATTGAAGCCAAATTTTTGAGATGGAGCTATACAAAATCCACATTAGTCGGTCCTTTTCGTTCAACAGCTTTGAACTACGCAAACGTAAAAAGTGCTTCGCGATTAGTTGATTTATTTTCATACTAACCAATACAAGTAGTTTTCAGAGTTTCTATCTACTACGTAAATCAAGTTAGCGTCTTACTGTTCGCGCCTTTATTTATAGATTTAAATTTAGTCTCTGAAATATTTAAACAAAAACAATAAACGGATAGATATATCTATATTTCAAGAATATCTAAAATAACAGGTTGTGAAATATATATATATATATATATATACAGGGTGTTTCAAAACAAATCACGAAAAACTTCAGGGGTGATTCCTTGTTCAAAATAAAGGGTAGTTTGCTTCATAAACGTTGGGTCAAAAGTCAACCATTAGGGAGATATCGCGGTACAAAGGCGGAAAAATAATGATTTTATTTTTTATCTTGAAAACGAAAAGAGATAGACTAATAAAATTTTATGGAAGCATTACTGTTATGAAAACACACTTAATTCTTAAACTTCTGGTAATTTTTTCACTTTCTTAAAATGAGTGGAAGGGGTTGAAATAAACTACCCCTATCATTCTTGTTAACGATAATTTATTGAAAAATATTATCAAACACATGCAAAAAAATTAATTTGGATAGTTTAGTTTGTTTAGAAACTTTTTTATCTCTCGTGTTTTTTTGATAAAACTCACCGATTTGAAATTAAAAAATAAAATGTAAAGCATTACATGCCAGGACAAAAAACATTTTCTGATAAAGAATCTAGTGGGCTGCTGTAATTTTTTTAGGAAAAAATCTAGTCGGCCGCTGTTACTTTTTAGGATGTTCCTGATATTATTTTATTCGACATTACTCTACTGCAATACGTTATTATCTAGATGATTATTATTATCGTTATTATCACTAGATCTTTGTACCGCGATATCTCCCTAATGGATGACTTTTGACCCAACGTTTATAAAGCAAACTACCCTTTATTTTGAACAAGGAATCACCCACTAAAGTTTTTCGCATTTGTTTTGAAACACCCTGTATATATCATATATTAAGAGTTTAAAAGAGTGCGCGGTCAGGTGCAGCAAGTGACCAAGGCCGGTGACAGCGCAGCGTTCAGCGATGAAGTAGACGAATCAGATCGTTTCATTTGGGGCGTGCGCATAAAAATCGTGTTGAACCAAAAGTATAGACTTTCGCAAGATTGATATTCCTATTTTTCTTTGGCTTCACTTTCCACTCATTGTATAAATACGGCACTAGCAATATCTACATACAGGTTGTTAACTGGACAGTTACTTATAGGGGAGCAGAATGGGCAACACTGCCTGTTGAGAACGCATGCACTTATAGGGTTTTCTGCCGACTCGTCTCGTCGCGTCGTCTATCGACGAGCGGACCGAGGTAGCCATATTTCAGCCATAAAGTTCTTGCCGCGAGTAATAAACAAATTAACAACCTGTATATAAAATGCTCATGTTTCTACTCAAGTAACGACTTGCTCTAGAAAGTTGCTTTTTTTACTAAAAGATAGCTAATTGGCTCTTCTAAAAGCTGTTGTCGCCAGATTTTTGTTTTTCGTTTAACATAGGTCTGATTGTGCTTTGTTTCATAGCTGCAGGTGGTTAGAGTCTTTTTTCGCCTTTCTCTGCCCTGGTGAATTTCTCCACTATTCTAGAGATTTGTTGGACACCCATTGTTTAGTAGCCATTCTCGTGACTGCTTTTGCAACGCCGCGGAAAGGTTCTGGGACTATGAAATGCATTGCTAAGCCATATTTGGCAATTTCATTTGCTTTTAGGTAACCTTGCGACCCTCGTGCCGTGGTACCCAGGCTAACGTAACATTGCTACACTCACCCAAAGTATTCAGAGCACACACACAATCCCACACTAGTCTAGAATTGACCTCCGTGGATCTGAGTGCCTTTAGCGCTGCTTGGCTGTTTGTGACGATGGCCACCAAACTATGTGAGTTCTTTGCTCCCTTATTTATAAATTTTGAAGGTAAAAGTTACTATAATTGCGACATATTTTAATGCTAAAAAGTGTTGGCAGATTCGCGTGCATGAGTTACCATTGGAATATTTTTCTAAAGAAAAAATGTGTGCGCCACTGACTTTTTTCTCCTGATAGTACAGTTATATAGGCCATTTAATGGCGATAAAAAGTCGTCTTTTGATATTTTGTCGATTTCGGTAGGTATAACCGTAGATATAAGGTAGCACTCAACATCAGTGTTTATCATTAATATCCTGCTCAAAAAAACTGAACCACAATGTATATATACTACTGTCCTTGCTTATTTATTAATTTTAAACATTTGTTTATGATTAAAAACAGGTTAAACCTATAAAAAAGAGAGAAAAAACGCTCATTGACTGTACCGACACAAAAAAAACTACATAGAAAAGAACTGGAAAGCTAGTAACTGTTGATTAACAAAACGAAAACGGATTAAAATAAAATTCAACAGGAGAGGGAGTTAGAGTGAATTAAAATCAGTGTGAGATTTAAAAGAAACGCTGTCATGCAACGACGTACCTTATCGCAGCCCTATCACCGACGCTTTCCAATGCCCTTACGTACCAGTCTCCGACATTCACTTCCGTTTCCTGATATTTCTTAATGAAAATATGGTTTTTCAACTTAGTATACTTAGGCCTTTGCTTCTTATCTTTTGTTAAACTAAAAACGAAAAAAAAATTCGAAAGGGGTTTTTTTCAAATTAAATTCAATTAAAACCCCCCATACACATTGGTTATTTTGCCCGGTTAGGTTAAGGTGTCTCCTTTTCGTGTGTTTTACAGGGTTTCTCGTTTATGAGTACAAAGATGACGGATTTCACATCACTGTGCTACTTTTTTTGTAAAACTAAAGATGCTACACACAGATTTGTTCTAGCCCTTTTAGTTCCTGAATTACAGGGTGAAATTTAAACTGTTGCATTTTTCGAGTACCCTTTTATCTGGGTTATCTTATAACTTGTTTAAAAGGTAAAAACTGAATCCCAAAGAGTTTTTCAAGTAGAATTCAGTGGCGTAACTAGTTTTTCGCTGCGAGCTGCCATTTTTGCGAAATATGACTCAAATTTATGACTTTTTAATGGCACCCTGTATTTTATTTATTTGCCATCTTACGACCTCTCTAAAAATGTAATGTAGTATATTCTTATTTTCATAAATAACGTAAAAAATGCTTTATTTAACTTTTTAACATAAATCAACCCATTTTAAAATAGTATTATTATTTTATTTAATTTAATTTACCCAGATAATTTTGCTTTCCATCGTGTTATCTTTATAAACTGCGCTAAAAATGACTTGTGCAGCTGTCAGAAACACGACGCGAATCAGAGTTATTGATATTTCTAATGCCACTTGTGTAATGATTTCACATATAGAAATTTAGGGCGGAATAGCCAATAACGCTTCGTCCTACGTGGGAGACAAAAGCGCGCGATTCGGGCGGTGCGAGCGATGCGTATTTATCAAACGTTTTCTTACGAAGCTGTCCTAGGTAGGAGATTCGCGCGACTGAAGCGGCATCGTAGGCAATTGAAATATGTCGCGCGAGTCAAGCTCATCGCCCGCTGTTGTCGAACGCGTCGGCGTCGCGTCGCTCGCTCGCTTTTGTCGCCCATGTAGGACGAAGCGTAACCAAAATTTGACATAAACAATAAAATATTCGATTGTTTTGATTACCTAATTTAAACCGGCCGCCCATGTTAAGGAGTTAAGTAATGCCTTTTTTACATTGTTTATGAAAATAAGTATACAGTATATCTAGTATTTTTAGAACGCTCATAACAAGGCAAAAATTTTAAAAAAATATACAGGGTGTCCTACTTAAAAAACATAAGTTACAGTCATATTTCGAAAACGACAGCTCCTAGCAAAAAAAAAGTTACGCCACTGGAACTACATGAAAAACTCTACGGGACTCATAACCAAGATACAAAGGGGGTCGAAAAATATGCACAATATTTTAAAATTCTTGGTGCCCGGTGGCGTAGAGGTACAGGGTCTCGTACCTACCAATCTCAAGATAGTGGGTTCGAATCCCACACCCGGCATTTCATAAGCCGACTATTTTTATTAAAATAAAAATAGTTTGGGTACCTAGGTCGACTCAGCCTTAAATGAGTACTTGGGATTCACAATCCTGAGGTAATAATAGGCGGTTGAAGCGTAGTACTAGCCACATTACCTTCCTTGTATACCGAACGGCTCTAGCATGGCAAGCTGCACCTTGCTACTCCCAAGGCGTTAAACGCTATAACGGGAGCTATTATTATTATTATTTTAAAATTCGTCATATATTTCAGGAACTAGGATGGCTAAGACCAATCTGTATGTAGCATCTTTAGTTTCAACAAAAAGTAGCACTGTGATGTAAAAACCTCATCTTTGTACCTCTACGCATAAACGAGAAACCATGAAAAATACACTGAAACGGGACATCCTGTACAGTCCTGTCCATTCGGTTGAAACTGGGAATCAAAAAAACGGAAGTGTATGTGTGGCCTTAAGTACCTACCAACAAGCTACAAAATTTCTAAATTCCGTCGAAAAATCCTTATCTTTAGGTAGAGAAGGCGGATCAGTCCCGATAACTTTGGTGAGCACTTCGAAGTCAGTCTTGCAATCTTGATAGGGGAAAACACCGGTGGCTAGTTCGACCAGCGTGATGCCCAACGACCATACATCGGCTCGGACATCATAATCGGGATTTTGGGGGTCCGGTTCTATCCTCTCGGGCTAAAATTCCACATACAAGGTGTGTCAATATCGGCTCTCACCATAGGGATCTCGGAAACGGTAAGAGATACAGGATGGCTTAAATTATTGTAAAGTTCCTGTTAGTGAGCCCAATGATAATCCGTGTAGTAATTAACCTTATCTTTGTCATTTCCGAAAATATGGCGGGAAGACTGAAATTTCCGGTTTTCGTTTTTTTATGAGTTTGACACAATGACGAAAGAATCCAAGGACAAATAACACCCAAAAGCAAATTGTGCCGATGTCACCAAACAGTGCCGTGGCCCATGGCACATATTTTTCTTAACCTAGCTGTTTGAAGCAATATTATTTATATTTTTTGATAATTGTTTTGACTACGCCTATGGTGTATCATACTAATTAATTACGAAAAAAACGTATTAAAATGTTAACAAAAGGTACAAAACTAGTATCGACATATAGCACATATCAAGTACATATAGATGTTAATTAAAATTGAAGAATAATTATCGAATTTAATGAGAAAACGCTAAAAAGTTGGAGTGGACTGTTTATTTACCTATGAAACGTAACTCCTGGCTCTTTCTTATCGCTGCTTTTACACTTGAAAGCTGAACAACTAATCACCATTGTAATAAAGTTTATACAAAGTTTACTACATACAAACTTTTAAAAATCGCTAAAATTGTTGCTGGCGACCAAATTATGACTCATTGTTTGCCATCAAAAGAATGGCCTCTAAGGTCACAAATTCTGCTGCAGTCCGTATATGGGCGTTACATGTCCTTATATTCTTTAGTCATTGGTTTGACAGTTAGAAAAAATCTACAATGACATTCTCAAAATAAATTTCTTAGCTTCATCATTTGATGATGTAAAAAATAACTTATGACCTTTCCTTTTTCTGGAACCATCATCAACATCATTTTTTTAAATACGGAAATGTTTTTTTTATTTTATTTTTTTGAAGCTTGATGACCTTCCAAATATAGTAATGTGGGGCACTTGCCCAAGAAAAATGTATAATGAAGAATATTCTCATAAGAGGCAATGTGTTGGAGAGAGATGGTTATACGGGTGATTATTGTGTTGGTGACTGTGTGTTAAACATCATTGGCATTTTGAAGGTCATAAACTCCTAAAAATGAAATAAAAAATCCAATTTTCTATTTAAAAAAAAGAAAGTGGATTATGGTACCAAAAAAACAAAACGTCTCAAGTGTTTTTTGGCGTCGCTAAAGGATAGAGCTAAACGTTTCTTTGACAGTGTAATTGTAGATTTTTTCTAACAAACTCGTAAAAAATAAAAACGAAAACCGAAAATTTCAGTTTTTGCGCCATATTTCCGGAAATGACAAAGATAAGGTTAATTACTATAGTCTGTCCAACGAGAAGATCATTGACAGTGATAGATGTGTCTGTCATTTTAATTTTAAAGTAGTTTATTTTATTTTACAAAGAAATAAGTTGGTACAACTGGAACGCATAGCAGGATATATTTAAAATTTGATTGATGAATGTTTTGAATTTGACAAGTGATTACTTCAAAATATTGTGAAAAAAACTGTATAAAACTGAAAAAATGTAATCGATTTATTTTATTTAATAAAACCGGTATGTGTTAATACAAAACAAACAAGAACAAGACACTACATACCAAAAAAATATATAAAAAAAATATTTTTTACTTTCAAGCTTTATGAAACTACCCGCATTTATGATTATATTTATCAATATAACTTATGTACAAATACAAATTTGTAATATTCCACAGGAATAAATAAAACAACATAGGTAAATAAAACAACTATATTTATTATTAATAAAACTATTTTATTAATAATAACACCTACCAGATTTTATACCTTAAAGGTTGATTAATTAACTTTAATCTTAATTTTTTTACCTTTTGACATTATTTTTCTGCAGTACTAAAATCCATTATTTACCTATCGTGTGATGTCGATATTTTACAGCTACTCCAGTTTTTAGTATGTGTTTAGTTTGATCCTTCTACCATATACGAGATGCACTTATCTACGACGAAATGGTATACAAACTTTATCGATGGCAACTTCATTGGTGTATAAGACTTTCTGCCTGGGCAGCGAGTATTAACCATAAACTGTGCTCTGGGTCTACAGTTAATTTTCACTCGATTTTTCCTCCACTTGACTTCAAAAGACACAAAACACACGTAATAATACGAATCAAAATGCATCATCTTCCAAAACGCAGGGTATTTAACAAAAGTTGACACAAAATTATAACCTATAATTTGGCAAGACTTTGAGAAGCGTCAAAAATGACAAAAATCTAAAGGCGAGTTCATACGCATCGGCGTTCGTTTGTCGTTCATCGTTCCGTCAAACCAATAAAATTGAAATACGATCTGTCATTTTTTAAATAAACCAATAAAACTGGTTAAAAACAACAAGACACGACGCATGACGGATTTATATTTAAACCCATCCATAGATAACTTAAAAATTATTAGAAACTATTTTAGGAAAAAAAATAGATTGGTATGGGACGTCATCTGCTTTTCTTCTGTCATCGTCTGTCGAAATCTTACCTGAGAAAAAAAACAGAGTATACACGGATTATCATTGCGCTCACTGACAGGCAACTTTACACCAATTTAAGCCACCCTGTATCCTGTATTACCGTTTTCGAGATCCCAATGGTGACAGCCGAATTTGAAATACCCTGTATATGGGTGTTCCAATATTCCATGGACATAGAACTACTACGTATTTTGGAATCAAAATAAGTTCATTGTGTGTGTGTGTGGACCCAATTTACATCACACTATCCTAGAAACGGCGTAACGGCGTAACGACCTTGAATAGATTTCCAGTAATTCTATTGGCTGAAATTTTTCACAAATGAATTTGACAGATAAAATTTCTGACAGATGAATTTTTCAGCCAATAGAATTTCTGGAAATATATTCAAGGTCGTTACACCGTTTCTAGGATAGTGTGGATGCACCCTAAAGGCTGGCAAAGGTTAGTCTTGGGTCGAGATTTCCGTATGTAAGAAGAGTACAATGCGTTTATAATGTACTGAACAAAGAGAGAACAGTAAACACGTTGCCAAACGTATAAAATAAACCGAGAAACTGTGCACATTGCTAGGAGACGTGAAAGGGGATATAGCAGATTTGTCGCAGTCGGCCAGTCGACCCAATCAGTACCTCTCTCAATACTTAAAGTTCTAGGGAAAGGTGTACATCATGCGTTCAGCTTCACGATTTAATTACGTCTCGTGATACTTTATTTGTTTATTTATTAACGAATCGTTGTAATTTTCCCTATAGCTTGAAAAATTTTTAAGTGCAAGTTAGAAACATTTGCATTTTTAGTAAAAATAAGTGGAATTGAGTTGGTGTTCGACAGTGGTCGCGCTATTAGGACTCTGAATTCAAAAATCGATATCTATTTGAAATAACTGATTGTAGTTTTTTCAAAAGCTTTCTTAACATTTCTGCTATATTTTCTTTGCAGGCAGTATGTGAAAATCTTTATAAATAAAAAAGTTACACGATTGCTGAAAATTTGCTATGCAGTAAAAGTAAATGGATCGGTTGTTTAAAAATTTTGAATGGAAAAAACAACCTTATCGAATTTTTCTTATTTAAACATATTGCAAAAGATCCAATCTTCAAAATAAAAAGTTTCAATATCTGAAATGGTTCTTAAGTTATAGCGTGTTAAAAAGTTGAGTTTTTAAATTCGCGATTACTGACGTTTTCTCGTTATAAAAAAATGGACACCCTAACGATATCCTTATAATTCCATTTCAGATGCTCAGAAACATATCTAATGATTTTATCTAGTTACCTTTTCGAAAAAAAAAGTCTTTTAAAACCTTTTACACAAAAAAAATTGCTTTACTCGATAGGGAAAGACGTACCGGCAACGCCGCAACAGCACACCGTCGCATTTCTTAATGAGATCCCTTACCCAACCGACTTAATATGATCCCTATACATTCACTTCCACCCAACAAAAAGGATCTTCTACCAACCCAAAAGGGACAGTTGCCAGCACGGTATACAAAAGTGCTTCGTTTGTCCGCTAGTGGGCATCAAACTTTAAAAAAATAAACATATTTTTTAAGATATTTTAAGAACCGTTATTTCGATTTGAATGAGATTTGGGGTGTCTATGTTTTCTGTATAGACTTCCACTAAAATTAAGAAAAAGAGCGGAAACGATGAAAAGTACCCCCACCCCTACATAAATTTTAGTAGAAATATTTTCCAACTTTACGGACGGCCCTTCTAGTATTTACTACATTTTTCGTCTTTTGTAAAAAAAACGTCATCGCACATATTTTTTGAGAATGTTTTGTTGCCAAATCTGACTTACAAAAAATATGTTTTGCCACATCAAGCTATGTATGCGCATAAAATCTAGTATGAGCAAATAATCTAGAAAATATGGAATTTTATGTTACTATCACAAATTATATTTGACAATAAGCTTCATAAATTTTAAATTAGTGAATGTTCGGGTTTATTTTTGATTAATGCCCTCTACCAGACAAACGAAGCACATTTGTATAGAGGTAAATTGTGTGCAATTAATTTATTTTGATTCAAAATATAAGTAGTTGTTCTATGTCCCCGGAATACTGGGACACCCTGTATAATGACTGTTTTTAAATAAATTTAATACATACTGCCATATAAGCTGCACAGCCTGCACTCCTTGACTTAGCCATGGAATCCACTAACCTACCGCTTATACCAAAATCACAGAGTTTTACGTTTCCCTTACTATCTAAAAGTATATTCGACGGCTTTACGTCTCTATGTATAACGTTATGATAATCTTTCAAATAGGCTAGAGCTTCTACAGTCTGAAATAAAACAATGTTTTATTAAAAGAAGTCTCATTGGGAGGCAGTGGTACATCTAGATACTGACTCTGAGAGGGGTAATGGTGAGATTTAAGCAAAATACTAGATTTAAATTAAATTTACGCTGAAAAGTATTGTGACTTTGGAAAAAAGTAAACGTAGATTGGCCTGAATTTTGTATTTTGATTGTTATTATCCCCCTTAGATTTAGGTACTTACTGCAACACTAACTTTCCCCAAGACCTCTTCAGGGACTGCTTGCTTAAGTCTTTTTAATAATTTATCGAAGCAAGTGTCCATCAATTCCATACAAATCCACACTTCAGATTCAGTGATAAAACAGCCTAAACATTTAACTATATATTTACAGTCGGATTTTAAAACTACTTCAATATCCATTATTATACGTTTTGCTTCGTCGCTGTTGCCTGACCTCCTCATTTGCTGTATTAAAACAGAATTTTATAATGTAACAACTACCGTATGATAGATTAAAAACGACGTCAGCGATGGCTATGAAATGAAGATCGCTGTCATTTTGTATGTACAATTTAATGGGGAATGTCATTGATGTTCATTTCCAAGCCAACTGGACTCCGTTTTTTTCGATCATACGGTACATACCATATGTTGCATTGCCCACCTGAGCATAGAAACATAGAACATAAGATACCATGTAAATTTTAAAAATGCTGATAAAAGCTTCCCATTTTATTTTAAACAGAAACTTATTTAAGACTTTTTAAAGAACTCCTTAAAATGAAGCAAATTTTGGGAATCAGAGAGGGGTGGATGAATTATTTCAATTAATTTATTACTTTTTTAGAAACTTTCAAAGCAATTTGTAGAAGATATTGAAAATGAACAAATTGCTTCATTTTAATAAGTTCTTTAAAAAGTTTGAAATAATTTTTTCTGTAAAATAAAATAGGGAACTTTTATTTATCATTTTTAAAATTTACATAGGATTTCTTATGTTCATGTCTGCGATGCAATACACTGTGTATAGTGTTATTACCTTCACTGCAATGACTTTACCACTGGGCTTGTGTTTCATTTTAACTACGTGACCGCAAGTGCCATTACCAAGTTCTTCAATATGTTCCATTTCTTTAATATCAGTATAGTACACTTTGTCATCTATTCGTAAATCACCACTGTTTTTCATAATTTCTTTTAATCTTCTCTCAACTTCCGTGTTATCGTTCGCTTTATGTGCAAATGCTAGGTGCCGCGGTCTTTGCATAGTGGGGCTGTTACTGTTGCTATTAAGTCCAACTAAAATAATACAAAAATAGAAATAAAATAAGTGTCAATATGTGGAAAAATTGAGAACAATATAAAGCCAGATCTGAGGACATAAAAATTCAAGCTTTTAAATAATTTAGAACGTATTCTTACTGGGTAAGGAAGGTCTAGCGGGAGGCAACCCTCCAAAGGGAGTATGGCCGCTCATATGAGGGCTTCTGGGAGATCTGTCCTGATTAAGTCTGTCCAAAAGATCGTCGATTTTTTGTTGGGCACTGGACATTTCCGATCCACCCACCGCCAATAGTGAATATTTTTATTTCGGGAACTTCTCAGTACAAAAAAAATAACTTTTTATCCGACATAACTAAAAGCCCGAAAAATAACAGTGACAGGAGACAGGAGGAGCAGAATTTTGACAGTGACGTTTTTGACAAATTCTTCTACTTAATAAAATTTAAGTCCTGTAACATAAGTCATATATACCACCGGACGTTGGAAAACGCGGGGCCATAGTATTTAAGAAGAAGAAGAATAAGTCATATATTTTCTCGAATTATATATGATCTATGTTTTAGTTATTAGATTTTCTGGAATTATTAATCTTAAATTTGTACTCTTTTGACATAATTTAGTTCTTTATATGGAGAGGCACTTATTAGCATTAATAATGTGATTAATAATCTACAAAATTACAACAATGGCATGGCACAAAATAGAAACCATAGGGAAAGATAAAATATAGAAACCATAGAATAACTAACTGAAAGAAATGAAAACTCCTATGTTAAAGCCTGGAAACACGCGCTCGACGCGATCCAAGCGGGCTACTGGCAGAACTAAAAGTTCGCGCCATATTTTTAAATGGACCTTTACTGCCAGTTCATAAGTTTTTTACTTATATTTGGTAATTTCAATCTAGATTATGAACTTATTTGTAACAAAACATTTTACAAAATAAAAATAATGTATTTTGATACAAATAAATTAATAATCTAGATAGAAACCTTGTATACTTGGGGATTAGCAGTCTATTGGGTATACCGTCTATTGGTCGCCCCCTTGTCCCCCCAGTAGACATAAGACAGAACATTGCAGCATAATTATTTTATAATTGCAGCCACCATGGCATAAGAAAATTTTAGATGCGATTCTTCGAAATTCATTATCGTTACCTCTATATCATCTATATCTCTGGTTAATCTAAACATTTCTGTTTATCATTAGCGCGTAATTTAATCTTGGAGCGTAATTCAAAATATGGCAAAAAAACTTAAAATTAAACCAAAATTTCAACTTTAAGTTGTAAAGTTTTTGGTTTAATATATTATTAAGCATTTTATTTAAAAAATGACAGGTTCAATTCCCGTATGATCAAAAAAAAAAAACGGCGTCCAGTTGGCTTGGAAATGAACATCGACGACATTCCTCATATAATTTTATCATTTAAAATGACAGCGACTTTCTTTCATAGCTATCGCTGACGCCGTTTTTTCGATAATATTGTATAAAAGAATTAGTAATAACATTTTACATTTTTGAGTTTTTACATTGAAATTTCTAAAATACGAAAAAAAACTGGTAGATTTAAAATGATCATTGAGTGAAAATATATGCTACATATAAAGTTTATATGTTATAAAAAGTGTAATAAGAGGGTTTATTGTTTAAAAAATAACTGTCTATATAATAAAAAATAATATTATTATTTCAAGGTATTTTTTTAAAACAAACTATAGTGCTACCGTAAATCCGCGCGAAAGCTTGATTGATTGGTGATCCCTATAGGGTAGAAATCTACGAGGGACAGCTTCTGTAGCTTCTTGGTCTTTATTTCGAAAAGCGTTCCACTTTGCCTCGTCTCTGGATCGACAAGACATCCGTCAGCTTCAGACCTGGAAAATCAAACGAACGGGGGAATAAAACATAGATAAAACGAATTTATAGCTGCGCTTTCCAAACATGCTTCTTTGTAATTGGGCCTTTCAAGGGGGGAATTTGTTGCAAATCTTCTTGCAGTGTCGTCTTTTTTTTTCTTCGCTTTACCTTTGGACTGGTTCGTTTGAGAACGTTTTTTTAGGGGAATTAATATACAGGGTGGTTCGAATTGTAATCGGGAAAGTACGCCAAAATATTCTGCAGATAAAAATAAGTAAAACAATTCGTAATAATTATTTTTCTAAAATGCTTAGTTTTGGAGATACAGGGTGTAGAATTTTCATTTTTATTTCGATATTTTTTTTCAAATAATTTTTGAACTACATAATGTAAATGTTTGGATCAAAATTGGTGTCTGGGTGTTTTGTACACAAGAAATTTGATTTGTTTAATTAACAAAATTTGAATTAAAACATGTTTAATTTTTGTCAATATGACATATGTATTGAATATTTCGTTTCCAAATATCCCGGGAACCATATTGCTAGTAGCGCTTTTTACCAAGCGAACGTAAAAAACGACGAAAATGTCTATTTTTTTTACACAGTAGTTTAAATTAATACCGGTAGGGAAAAAATTATTAGTCTTCAAACCAATAAAAAAAATATGTAGCGCCTTTTACAAGTAGGTAGGTATATGAATCATATTGACATCGAAATTAAATTTAACATGTCAAAAAACTCCAAGATACCAATTTTTTTCATCCAAATGTCAACGTTAGTTTAGAAATTATTTGAAAAAAATCTAAATAAAAGTAATTTTTTTTCTAGATTTATATATATATATATATATATATAATATATATATATATATATATATATATATATATATATATATATATATATATATATACTCTAAGAAAATATATATAAATTATAAATATATATAAATATATATATTTATAAGAACTTTTTATTTTGTGTAAACACAGTGTTCGTTACATAATCAAAAAATTAAATATTATATATAGAATAGGATATAATATGCAATATTAATGGTATACTTTTTTTGAATCATTTTTAATCAACTAGTGATTGTCTTATGAACTAAACGTTTTATGAATTATTTTGTCCCCATTAGCAAAAGCAGTGAGTAAAACTATGCTCGCTACCGTAATTGAACTCATCCAAAAAGTTTTTTTAGCTGGAATAATAAATTATAATACAAATTTGATCTTCTGAATATATCAAAATATTTACTTTTTTATTTATATTTTTAGAATTTTCAAAAATTATACTTCCTAACACTTTTAGAATAATTACATAATAATTTTTTCGTAAACCTACTCGCTATCTAAACCCGTGTATTTGTATATACCAGTTGTTTACTATATTATCCGATGGTGGCAGCACCGGCGGAGAATGCACCAAGCCTATAACCTCGGAACACTCTGTATATCAAATTACGTTTTAAAATTTTACTAAATATCCTGATTCATCCTTAATCCTATGCTGTCCGAAAATATAACAGATAGTTAAACATTAAAACACACACGTTTAATTAATTGCAAATTAATAATTTATGCACAGGTGAAGTCTCTTTAAATTGCTTTTAATTAAACATAAACATGCATAAATATCTAATTGGAATGGTTTATAATTAAACGTCCACACATCTAAACAAAATTGCCAATCAATTTCTCGATATTTTAATTCGAGTAACAATTTAAAATAATTTTTGATTGTCTAGACAAATTTACCTATGAAAACGATATAGATTACCATTTCTAGATGTATTAGTTATTCGAAATACTAAAATTGGAGTGCTCTAAGCCCTTATGAGATACAAACCTCGGAATTCATTTACTGTGAACGAATTTTTATAAAACTTTTTGCATTGTATTGTTAATAAGGTATATTACAAAGTTTACCTATTTAAATTCATTGCTTTCACTTTAGTATTTAAATAAACACACACATGTACAAATCATACATACAAGATGGCTCCTGTTTTCCGGAAAAGCTCTGTATCAGGATTCCTATTTGAGATTTTCACTCCAAACCTTTCAAACCTCCAACTCCAAAAATATTTTATAGATATAGGTACAGAGTGAGTCCAATATATATCATTTATTTATTCGAGTTTAGTGAATTTGCTTTAAAATTCTGGTTCCAAAAATACCTTAATACCATAGAGTATATTAAATGGCCTTTGAATTATGACCATGTCCATGAGGACGTCAATATAGACGTCCAGGGACCTTCTGTATGAGAACTTCTAATCGAGACGATCGACTTTTATTGTAAGTTTATAGCTAAGAAACCGCCGTTTGTCAGCTTTTTCAAATTGATAATGAATTGCCTTAAGAACCGTACATATTAACTAACGGACTACAAGAAGAAGATTAAATGAAGCAAATCTTATGTCAAGAAGGCTGCTTCGGGACCAGAACTTACTAGATGTGTTGACTAGGACCAAAAGCAAAGGCATGGTCTTAATGTAAAAATTACGAAAAATGTTAGTGCTTTCTTTAAAAACCGAATATTTCCAACAAAAATAAAAAAGCTAATGAGATGAACCAAAAACAAACCATCGAGAAAGGATGTATCTAGATGATAAAATAATTTTTAAATTTCTTGCTCTTTTAACATATATTTCACAGGGCGTTTCAAACTTTCATCAAAAATATCAACATTTTGTTTTCCCTCGTATAATTAACAGATGGGGAGTTTCATTTTTAATTTAGAAAAAGATACTAAAAAGTCAAATAATTTGGCAACACACTGCTTAAAAAATCATCAAAATCGGTCCATTAAAATAAAATATATTACCCTCTTTAAAATACATCAAAGTTTTAAGGTGCCCATTTTTCGTGCCGGTGAATGTATTTCAAAAACTGTACATTTTAGTCATATACTTTTCTAATGAAACAAACCTTTATTTTTTTACTAGAATCCAAAAATCAATTAATATATAGGGTGTTCCATTACAAAAACATAACTTTGATGTGTAACTTTTTTGGGGACACCTTGTAGAACTTTCTCTACATAATTTTAGAAAATACTTTAAATTGACTTACATAAGCTCAGAAAATTTCACTTCAATACAAACTTTTGTTCTCCTTGCAAAAACCGCGTCGTATATGAAACGCGCCACCCTGTATAATTCGATTTCAATCAAAATTTCAATGATTAGAATATAATCAGAATAGGTATAGCGTATGTATTATGTCGTCATTTATTTATTTCAATAAATTTACTCAGAAAAAGAATTAAAAAAATCAAAAAATTAAGAAGGAAATAATTAAGAATTTACTAAAATTACTCAAGTAAAAAATTAAAAGCAACGAAAAAAAATGGGTAAACATTTTAGTATTTTATCTATAAAACACAATACAGAAGGTTTCATATTAATACATTCACAGTAATTGAATTCCGAGGTAAAAGTCTCTCTGGCACTCCACTATAATAACTGCCTGGAATTTGATATTTATAGAAAAATACCACTATACACAAATA